TCGAACCCAAAACGCAGTCACTTATACAAAAGGTCGAACCCAAACCTCAACCTCGAACCCAAAACGCAGTCACTTATACAAAAGATCGAACCCAAACCTCAACCTCGAACCCAAAACGCAGTCACTTATACAAAAGGTCGAACCCAAACCTCCAAAAATTCGAACCCAAATTCCAAAACTTCGAATCGCAAAGCGAAATCACGCATCAGCAATGTCAACCCTACAACCATCATAATTCGCATCGCATATTTATTAATGTTAACACAGATAAATGGTACGATACTCGCAATTGATACGTACGGAGCATTCTATGTACATGATTACATATCACATCTTTTGCTTTTTCGTGGGGGATGTAACACATGAAGGGATATAAAGCTTGTCTTTACATCCATGGGACAGTGGAGGTGTACGATATCTAGATGTAATGACATCAATTTCTGTACTATCGCCATCATTACTACTATTATAACGCTCGACGTCCTTGATAACTTGCCGGATTAAGGCTTTCGCTTTCCAGGTTAGTTTTATGACATTAAGAAGCGATGGAAATGTGTTCAAAGTTGTTGGGACTTTACAGGTTGGTGTAGGTAAAACTCGACAGACGTATCCTGCTGGACAATCCATTAATAGCATCGTTTGGTGCAGACCGAAATGCAATATCCCTGCTATAGACAGCTTTCTAACTGCACTTTCATCATTATCGCAAAGCTTGAAAAGTTGTATCAACTGGTCCTTCATCATCTTTGGCATCTTTAATTGACGTTCCAACAGTAATTTCGTATCATTTTCGCTATTATAGCTTTTTCCAGTCTCACCACACGCATACTCGACTTTTAATTTTCGTATCAAAAGGTCTGCACGGTGGCCCATCATTTGACGCTTCATTGAAGTCGTAGAAGCAGCAATCCGATTTTCATTCTTGCGTATTCCAGAAGCTATGCTTGCAGACTCTCCTCTGATAACATAAACTTCATCGAGATCACCAAAGCACCTATCAAGAGTACTCCATATGTGCGAGATATACCATGACTCCAGATGGTCTTGCGATAATTGACGACACTCTATTTCCATCAATATGCTGTGAATGACATTTCGCGCCCAGTCCTTGTCAAACGACTCCTTCTGGTCATAGCTAGCATCAAAAGGTCTCTGCTTCCATAAAGTTTCTCGTATTTGTTGTTGGTCAGTCAAGTTGAATTCATTGATGTACTCCATGAGATCTCTTGGTAGTGCTGGAAGATGATTATATCTTAACGTCGAAATTTCATCCAATTCATCCTTTGAGAATACATCAAGTTGCAACCATGTTGAATCCACAGGATTGATTATGAAAGAATGTGCTGAATGCTCATTAGACGCTGCAAGCGCAAAGTCATGCAAGATGTCTTCCACATTCCTTCCACTTTTTAACTTCCACTTCTGAGAGTCTTCAAATAAAGCAAATTGGATGTTGTGTTCTCGTAAGAGACAGTCCACTTCAGCAACATTTGCTGCAACCAAGCCTACCATAAATCCCAAGAATTAGTTTTGGACAACATGAATTCAAGTTAGCATACATCAATACAACATTATAAATTATTATAATTCATTTCATCGTACCATGATCGTACTCATAGTGATGTTTCAGCTGGTATCTATACCAAAACTGACCTAAGCAAATAGCACATCCATAGACCTTGAAATTTTCTTCAGTTTCTCCATCGACGCTTAAATTCTTTTAAATATATTATTAATGTGAATTATCACTTTACCAACAAAAAAATGAGGTACCTTGACGCCGCCAGCCGTGCGATAACCTCTCTCTCCTGGCCCAATGTCCACACCGGGATGTTTGCGAGCTACATGTCGACGAATGCTATTTCTGAAACCAGTCACAATATCACAGAGTGGGCAAGGAAATTTCCAACGGTTTACGACCTTCTTTTCAGTGATCGACTTTGACATTATATGCGCGCGCGTGCAGTGAGCTTGAATCAGGTCAAGAGACAGCTTTAACTCCGCACATTTTGGGGTTCACTCCTTAAAGATAATTGAAACGCCGATACATCTTCAAACTGGTCATCGTCAGAGCTCAAATACCGTAAAATCTTGGATAGGGTATTTAATCATCCGTTACAACCATCACATTCAGAAAATGCATAGAGGTATTCCTATTACATATAAACCCCAAACAAAATTCTATCCACTTACGATATCCTTACCTCATTGGAAATACCAAATCTCTCGTTACCTTCTCTACAACTTTAATGTGCTTTCATTTAAATCGCGACCTTACAGTTGCATATTTCGTACACATCCGAGAGAAAACCAATATGCCACAACCAACACAAATACATGAAAACTGTGGCTATCATGTTGTACAGCGTCGTTTGCACAAATACTTTATAACAATAATATCTTTTGTGATAAATGATGGGATTCTCGAGAAAGATGTGTAAATACAACAATGACACTAATAGGAACCCAGCCATAATGCTTAAGAATATCCACATAAAAAACACCTTATACGACACTTTAGTATCTACACCATAAACCTTGCAAACTGACGTTACACTGGCAACTTCGAACACAAAACGACCAACTTCGAACATGCAACCAAGCCACATCTCAACTTCCCACGTAGAACCATGATCACTCTTCTAACTTACGAACCTACTACAGCCTAATTGAAATATACGTCACCTGTATTTCATTGTAGATTTTTATAATAGATGTTGTATAGCACATAAAATGAGAATTTCGTCCAAGGACTAGTTCAACATACATTTTGATTAACTTGCTGATGATGTAAAGACATCTTTTGTGTGATGCTGATGGCGAAGATGTACGAACCTGGTAGTAATGACTTCAACTTCTTCCCAATGTTCATCGTCATACCAAAATCATAAAAATTCCACTTTATTGATCATATCACGGATTGTTACTTTACCTTTCCAGGTAAGCTCTATCACCTTGAGAACGCTTGGAAATGATTTGATGTTAGTCGGTATTTTGTAAGTTGGTGTAGGTAAAACTCTACAGACATATCCAGCTGGGCAATCCATAGCCAGCATGATTTCACTAAGACCGCAGTGCAAAATTCCAGCTGCAGATAAAATTTCCTAATTATCTCTCGTTATTATCACACAATGTGAAAAGTTGCAGCAATTGATCTTTCATCATCTTCGGCAGTTTCAGATCGCGTTCGAATAACAGTTTTGTATCCTTCTCGCCGTTATGACTTTTCCCTGATTCACCACATGCGTACTCTGTTTGTAGTTTTTTGAATCAGGAAATTAGCGCGATGACACATAATTTAACGTATAATTGCAGTGGTCAATGCCGCCAACTCGATTTCGTTCTTTCGAAGAGCAGAAGAAATGCTTACAGATTCTCCTCCGATGGCATGTACTGCATCAAGGTCCCCAAAGCATCTGTCGAACACACTCCAAATATGTGAGATATACCATGCTTTTAAATGATCTTCACAGAGTTGAGAGCATTCAATTTCCATCATTATACTATGGATTACATTTCGAACCCAATCCTTATCAAATGACTTCTTCTTTGCCTAGGCAACATCAACCTCTTTGCTGCCATAGAGCTGTATGCAGCTGTTGCAAGTCCATCAAATTGAAGTCATTGATAAATGCCGCAAGGTCTTTAGGAATTGCTGAAGTTTTTGACATACGAACGCGGAAATTTTCATCCAGTTCTTCTTTGGTAAAGATATTCAATTGTTCCCGTGTTGGATCAATGGATTCATGATGAATGAATGCGCCACATGTTCGTGTGTAGATTTACGCGTAAATTCACGTAACACGTCTTCCACTTTCCTTCCACTTTTCAACATCCACTTATGAGCATCATCAAATAAAGCATACTGGTTGTTGTGTTCTTGTAAAAAGCCCCTTTTTTGTATGGTTAGTGCTAACGCCAACATGTTCATTGTGATAAAACAATGTCATCCAATGTTAGCGTACATTTATGCAATGAAGGTTATCAGATTCCGCCATAGCTCTGACAGTAACTTCAATTGGTCTAAGAAGTAATTGTCAGTCTTCTTCATATCGATTGACATTCTACAAATATTCTTACGTATCCGGATGGATGCGGTGACTGTAAAAAAGATCAATATAATTGGTTTGCAAGCGTTCAAGTGATGCATCGCAGCATCTTCTTAAATATTCTGGATTACCATTGACTCTGAATGTTCCGCTGCTATAATCATTACCAAACTTGGTAGCTAAGAATACATCCTTACTCCTATCTTTAAGGACTCGAGAAATGACTTTTTCACTGTGGCCCTGACCATAAACATCTGCGTAAAATGTTATTAGCACCAGTTCTGTTCCTGATTCTAAGCTTTAAATAGTCGTTATTACCTGCTGTGTCCCAGAAATTGCATCCTATATCGAGAGCTTTTTTAAGCAAATCAACACTGGACCCATCGTCCGTTTCACCGTAAATACCAGGAGCCTAGTTAAAAATGCTGTTTAACTAATTACTATGAAAGATGTGGCATCAACTATGTTATTTGCCTACCAAGCTCATACCACCATATCCGATAGCAGATATCTTGACACCAGTCTTTCCAATTTCGCGTAGTGGGCTTGCCTGTGGTAGCGTCATATTTGTTCTTGTATAATTTGTCGCAACAACAAAAATGAAAGTAAAATTTGATCAAGCCCCCTTTAAATATCGAAATTGGCGTTCGGAGCACAAGAAAGGTGGTCGTAGTCCACGTCATATAGACAGCAAACCTTATGTTAGAGCCGGCAACCTACTATGGAACAGGAAACCGCTTGAAAGCTGGACCTGCAGATAACATTTGTTAAATGGTAGAAGGTAGAACTCTGAATATTTCACAAAGCATGTTGCTATCCCAATTATCGTATCGACAAGTTGCAAAGCTGATTATTTATTCCACCCGAAGATTTTTCACTGCTACTGGCAGATTTCCATATGGAGCTTTTTATGGACGTCGGCGCAAGAGTTGCTATAGCGTAAATCGCCGGTAGCAGCTTCATGATTAATGATTATATGTTTGAAGTTAGTAGGGTAAACGGGATGTTTTCTCAGCAGGTTGACTGACGCGCGTACAAAATAAACGTCTTTTTCTTCAGTCAAGTGAAAATGAAATTCTTTGTTATTTTCAATGAAGTATACTATTTAGGCAAAAATGGATTGAAGCCATTTACTATGCTTTATTTTTTTTTGGATATATCTACTTATTCATCATATATCTATAAGTAGTCCGCGTCTGCTCGGGTGCTATGAGCTACGGCAACACGTTTATTTCTCTATATCCTTTCTATTGTGATCTCGTATGTCGGGTCACCGGTTAGATTTAATTTAAGTAAAATCATATTGTTAATATTTTCTCAGTTTTTCCTTTTATGTTGTTCAAGTTTTGGCAATAAGCCGCTACGTGAGTCCACATCTGGAGGTGGTGCTGTGGAAAGGAAATATTCTATGCTTTTTTTTTTAAAAAAATAAAAAAATTACGGCGAAATTAACAAATAAGCAATTTTTTTTAAAAAAGCTAAATGGGAAGGGACAAAGGTTAGTTGATGAGCGCAAGCTCGAAGTAATACACGGAAATTAAACATTAGCAAGCAGCCATATTTGTGTGCGCCCAAGCCGCGGGAAAAACGTTATCTCTTTCGACGCGTCATCTTAAGTTTTATCCAGGATTACGAATCAAAGCAAACTTTCAAATATAAACGGATGCTCGTTCTGTCTCTCAACTGTATCCAAGAGTAAAATGTCAGCTTCACTGCCAAAAATGCAATATGTCAACCTCGGAAACACTGAATGCAGAGTATCGAGAATCTGCCTAGGTTGTATGTCATATGGCGACAAAAACTGGGCTAATTGGGTTGTTGAGGAGGATGAATCGCTTCCTCTCATTAAGAAGGCATACGACGCTGGCATCAACTTTTTCGATACCGGTAAGTGCAAAGCTCCTTTCAAGTTAACCGCTGTCATCCATTATATTCACTAACCTTGATCTACTATCTAATGTCTATTCAAATGGCACTAGCGAAATCATTTTGGGAAAGGCTATCAAAAAATACAGTCTTCCACGACATAAAATCGTTGTTGCTACTAAGGTATTTAGCGTCACGACTCCAGAAAAGATGTTTTACCGAGCATATGCAAAACCGAAGGAAGATGTTGAAGCAGATGGATATGTCAACTATGGCGGTCTGTCCCGCAAGCATGTCTTTGACTCCGTCGAAGCCAGTTTAAAGAGACTGGATTTGGAGTACATTGATTTACTCCAGATTCACCGGTAAGATATTTACCCGCCTGCGGAGGACGTATCTTCATTATCATTCAACATAGCCACTTGATCTATTCAGTTTCGATCCTTACACTCCTGTTGAAGAAACTATGGGAGCTCTGAACGAAAGAAACAGACAGGTACTCACTTGCGGGTAGAAGTTGGGGCGTTGTTTGGTGCATTGGCGTGGAGATATATATACTGGGGTAGCGGACGGGTGGACGTGGTCTGCAAAACTATTGCAAATTTGACCATTGGGACTTTGAGATAACACAGCACCAAGTCCAGTATTGGAAGCATCAGTTGACAGAATTTGGACTTGGTCTTCCTTAGGAAAGGATAGGATTGGAGGACTGGTTAGCAACTGCTTGATTCTGGTAAAAAGCTTCAACTTGCTCTTGGTTCCAAACAAAAGGGACCTTCTTGCACACAAGACGAACCATGGGTTCTACAACAGAAGCGAAATTGGGCACAAATCGACGTAGTAACCGGCGCTTCCTAAGACGGAACGGATCTCATCTTTGCTCCTGGGAGACCTCATATCCAGCAACTTTCGTACGTTATGGTCTGTTGGGCTGAGACCATTGGGCATTGCCTTCTGTTGAAATAAGGTCTGCATGTATGCCTTATGCCATGGCATAGCCCCATGATGCAGAACTTGCCACTGATGCACTTCATTATAGTGTTTTCGAATCCGGTCGCTGTTAACCGAACGAAAGTCGCAGTCAGAGAAATGGCAGAGGAAGCCGAGTGCGGCCGGCAGCCCGCGAATCTCGTTAGTACCATCTCGGGGCTGCACAACATCAGCACTAGAGGTAGCGACGTCTACTGCGCTAAGACATTATAAAATAACCAACAAACTTGATCCTGCGAACAGAATGCAAAAGATGTAGTGATTCAGTTGTGGGGATATTTTGGACTGAGATCAGACATAGTTAACCGCTTAACTACTCTGATCTTACGAACAGACGGCAAAAAGATGCAGTGATTGGGGAAATTTGATTACAGCGTGAATTTCAGAAGGCTCCTTCCATTTATTGTTTTACCTCGGAGTTTTATGCTTGCAATTTCTGAACCATGCAACGTCTACGATATGTTGTCACTCTGCGTCATCAAATCAAACACACTTGTTCGTGAAGTATAATCCTAATGTCCCACTCGAACCATTACATTCGCTTCTTCCGTAACAATGGTTAAATCGGCAATCTCTTTAACATTTTAAACCCTCTTGCGCTTTCTATTCGAAAGTATACGTACACTACACCTATATCTTTTACTCCAACTATGGCCAGCTTCAAGAAGGAGGGTCCACCTCCTACGCGGCAGCCCTTAACAACAGCGCTCCCACCAGAAAGGCATACTCAAATCGCCTAAACTGAACCAGCTCGCCGACCTAATCCAGTTCCAAAGCCTCACCTCACTTCTCGAAGTGGACACCCACAACTTCCCTGCAAAGAAAGTTGACTGGTTTCTCTTTTGTGAACCAGTACAAGAATCAATCAAACACTCTTTAAGAGTGTACAATAGCAACCATATGTTATTTCTCAAACTTAATACTAAAGTTGCAGACCTAACTAGACGCTTCAACGAAATAGACTACCCCTCTTTCACCAATGTAAGCATCACCGTCCCCAAGTTTTACTTCAACTCTACCCCGTCGCAAAAAGACAAGGGCTTTTCCATGGAAGACCAACGTCGCAATATCGAAAACTGCAAACTTAGTGCTCTAAACAAAGTCATAGAGCTGAAACAAAAAGCTGCAAAAATATATAAAATACATAATCCCGATCTTCCAGTCCATCGGCGATCAAACTGGTTTGATTGGCTTCGAATGGTGTGAAGCAAGTTCCACGTCTTACACCGAAGCAACCATGCAACGGGATACTTGGAAGCGCGGTCCTCTTAGAAATGTTGATGGACTAGGACGCAATGAACACGGTGCAGAAATCATCGTCATGGAAGGATCGTCAGGACAAACGAAGGAGGATGTCACTCACACGAAGGACGATACCTGGAAAAATATACATGTTTCGATCTGCGTTCTTGAATCCTTGTTGAGGCAGAATCCCGCCGCACGGCTATCAACTGCTGAAAACTTGAAAGCCTTTTCCATGCAGTCTGTTTGCTCGACAATCACCTTGTCAATCACCACCCTTGACGCTCGCAACCCTGGCCAGTACATCCACCAAGAATGCCTACAAGAATCCCCCTGGGTTACAGTCAAAGGCTGGATTGGCTAAAGCTTTTTGAACTGGTTGCATACTTGGTGACAACGTTGAGGGATGTGATTCGGTCTCATTCTTTTCAATGTAAAATTCCCACTCGAAATTCGTAGAAGGGTTCGAAACTCTCGTGACTTTCGACCTCATATAAACGGATATTGGTGGGAATAGAAGAAGGAGGACTTTTTCCGAAGTTAATACACTTATTATATGGCAAGGTAAGGTTTATATACTTAGCGTATAAGCAGGATTATTTGAGAAGTTCGAGAAACGTGAAAGATCTACACCAACAAATTTACTCATATAATCTTTGCAACTTATTAGGAACAGAATTTTGTGGTCCACCAGTTGCAGAGGGAGAACTCTGGCATTGATGAAATCGACAGGACGGACACCATTCAGTTTAACCTCACGAATTTAGATTAGTTTTGCTACAATGTAATATACAGTAATAAAAAGACTACACTAATCCCTTTGAGACAATCATCAAATTGTCACGCTGATTGTTCCCTTTCTTTTGCGATGCCAAGAGGTGGTGATATTCTTCAAGATTCCAACCAAATGCCATCATTACCTTCATCAGTCCCCATTGTTCTGTGCACAACGCAATATCGGTATATAGGTGGTTGCGGACTTTTAAACATGGTTTTGTGCATTGATGACCATTGAGAAGATAGCTCCTCACATTTTTTGGTGTATGGAAGTTTCCATAGGAGCATTGATAGAAGCTGTTTCTTGGCTATTTATCATTTTTGCTTTTTGCTCTGGGAATAGTCAAAGATAGGTAGACTAGGTTGGAATAGGTTGGGATAGGCAGGTTCGGACTTTTAAAAATAGTTTATGCACTATACAATGGGGACTGATGAATGTAATGATGGCATTTGGTTGGAATTTTTGACGAATATGACCACCTCTTTGGCATTGCAAAGAAAGAGAACAATTAGTGTGACAACTTGATGATTGTCTCAAAGGGATACCCTATTTAGTGTAGTCATTTTATTACTGTAAAAGGCATATATCGTATGCCTCCTATGCCTTCCGTAAAAAGCAGTCATGCCTTCTATGCCTTCCGTGAAAAGCAGTCATACCTTCTATGCTTCGAAAATCATAGAAAGCATATATGAAAGCACAGAAAGCACAGTATAAACATCCAAGTCAACACTGAAGGTGTAGTGTCTCTTTGTAATAATTTTATGGCGCTTAATTTTTGCCTGTGCCGCTGCCAAGAACTGTTCTATTGGTTTTAAAGCTCATGAGAGCAAGTAGGGGAAATTTTTTTACTGTATTCAGTGAACCCTACTAGAACACATTACTTGTCAACATTAAATGGTATGTACTTCCATAATTATGAGAAATGATTAACATCAAGGTTATTATGCTAAGTACCAGGGTTTAAATTGATCATTGGAATGATATGACGCTGAAGTCTCACTTTATGATTTGAAGGTCTTTGGTTCACGAGTTTGGAGCGCATGAGGTCTTTACCAAAATAAATTGCAAATCTCCACTCAGAAAGTTGTCTAAATGAAATGTTGCAGTATTGAAGATTAGCAGTTATCTTTTTTATCTTTTTTATTCTTCTACGAGGTCTCTTGCCGGTCGTCAAGCTAGAACTCTCACTCATTCCTCAACAGAAGCCATGTCAATACCTGCATCGCTAAAAGACTGCCCAAGTCAAGAGGGGCTGGGAAGTACTGGCAACATCCTTCAGGCCGAACTTTTGGAGTTGCATGCCTGTTAATACTTCGCTTTTGTCAAATAACCAGACATCTCCACATTAAACCATTCTTGCTTCTCTCAAGCCAGCGTAGCGTGTATTTCACTAAAATGCGCATGCAGTATCAAGCTGCTGTGTTTGGGTACATTCAACTAGATCGGTTCAACAGGTGCCCAACATAAGACATGATTGTGGTCCCAACAGCCTTCTTCCTGGCTCACTTCATCAGACATTCCTTAGATTTCAGAACCTGGGCTGTATAATTGACTTGGCCAACTCGGCAAGGAAGAGGAGAACATTATTATGCAACCTACAATATGTTTTTTCATCACTTCAAAACGTCAGATCTCGTATACGAGGGTGTCCGTAAGCGAATCGCACACTACCTTTGAACGTGTAGATAACTGGGAATCGTTACTGCTACTGAAGACGGATGAACGTTTCGTTTCCCATTTAAAAAAGTATGTGATTTTGAAATGGCCCTTTGGATTGTGCTGGCCATAGAAAGATGCAATTATTGAAATCGAATGTTATACAAATGGAGCAGCTGGGGAAATCCAGGTTTGGCATCAAAGAAATTTGTCTTGACTCCTTAATTTAGCAGGAAGGATCGACCTCAGGGCAATTAAGGCAATTTCGACAGTCTGGAAACAACACTGGTCATTCATTTTCCGAGAAGACAGATTACAAAGTCTCACATACAACCACCTCAAGAATGCCATGTGGAAAACTTTATCTGAACGCATAATAGATGACAGCAAAAAATACAAAAAAAACAGCATATGGATACACAAAGGGATAGTGGACTGGACGTCTCAGAACGTCCATATCACCTACCCAAGTATACATATTGCTGAATAATATATCTCATTAGCATCTGCTCCTTACATTTCAGTGAAAAATTTACCAATGTCATAAATAAAGCCAATTTTGATCATTTAAAAAAAAAAGACCTCAGGGCAATTTTTTGTTGATCCTTAAGATACACTTTGCTTATCCTCGTCATCACCTCTCTTACAATAAAACTGGGAAGAGATGGTATGCGTGAATTTTTCATACATTGAGTGGTGGTTCCCAATTATGAATTTTATTATCTTCCGCGTCAACCTTGAAATGATATACTCTGGGAGACCTCAGTTAATGCACTTGCCTTCATCCCATGTAACTAAAATTTCTCATCAATGGCAATACTTACAGCTACCAGCAAAAGATATTTAGCAAGGTAAATAGCACACATTTGCGAACTTCTTTCCAATCGCCACACATTAGTACACAATCACTATGCAAACCGCAATGGCGTGTCAATAGTTCGCGAAAACCACACTTAATCGACAGAGATTGACTTTCACAGTATGCTATCCATACAGGGTTTTATGTTTCGAAAGTAACTACTAGTGTTTTGAAGGTTGGGGTAAATTCTCACCTCGTACACTGCTGTTAGTATATGGCAATGTAAACGGATGCTTAATTCTTACATAGCTGTCAATAGCACAAGTCGAGAGGGAGTAACTAAAATGTATCTTCCTCATAAATTAATGGTCGCCATGTCTTAGATAATTTCCAATAGCACATTTATAGATGATCTATCTCCAAGGAATAGCATGTTTCTCGCTTGTCATCATAATATTCCTCCGTCTCTTGTATGAGAAAGTTGGAAACGGCAAGCGCTGCACAGCACAAAGTATCAATTATGTATGGCTATGACTTGATATCTTGAACTTTGCCATCTTTTACTTGAGTGGTTCAATTTAAGTGTTGCGCCTGTTGATGAATAGTCTCGGCAACTTATTGTAATACGATTCGGTGCTTAAGTCACAGTCCTGAAATTATCTGGAAGTTGTTGTTGTTACCCTTACCAAAAGGTAAAGACTCTGATGATCAATAATTGGGGTTTGGAGGAAGATTCGTCCTTGTGTAAGCCATAGTAAGATTCAGCTGTCAGGTTTGCTCAGAGTGGTAACCAAAGGCAATATATAGTATGCTAAGATTTTCGTCTGCAATCTCTTTGATACCTCAATGTGCCGCCGGACTCGTCTACTCACTTGTGTGGAGAACGTAGCTGGAGAGACCTACAGCGAAGTCCACAATGCTATTTTTATTGTTATTTCAAACCATATTCATAGTACTATTAATTTCATTCTTCAGGTTAAAATTGGTGTCATGTCTACATAAAAAAAATAGGATTATGGTGCGCTGTGTTTTCACTCATATCCGACCTTCTCAGACTTTGTACGGTGCATACCGATCTTGTCGACTTTATCTCGAAATTTCAAGCTGGATTAGCCTGATATATCACCAATTTGGATCTCATAGTATACGACCGCACAAACATGTCTGTAAAGAACATTATTGGCCATAAGCCCGAGTGCGGTCCAACAAATATAATAGCTCGATTTAATTTTATGAAAAGCGAGTGCAAGGAGAATGGGGATACGTTTTGTATCAGAATACGGGAAGAAAACCGCAAGTGATCAGTTGTTTCTAAGTTTCACATGACATCGCTTCTTTCTATTCCTCGATGAGGTAAAGAGCTGCGCGAGCTTTGCCATAGAAACAGTCGGCGTACAACGACTCATAATGGTTGGGGCATCACTGGCAGGGACGCAGACTCGATCAAAAGCATCGAGTACCTTTAAAACGTTTGCCACTTCCGTTACAAAACTGGTCAAGTTTTGAAGAGAGTCCGGAAGTTTGATGACTGCCAAGTCAATCAACCCGTAAAGTCCACTGGCAGGCAAGACCAAGAGGTAGAACTTTATTGTTCTGCCGATAATTTGCATACCCAACATACCTTCCATCTGCTGGGAATCAAGTGCTTCTTTGCAGAAGATTGTCACTTTCAGCAAGTCCCAGCAGATAAGGTAGTTGTCTTGGTCTCGTGCAGCAGACTTTGCCTCTCCGTAACCAAGGTTGGTGGTCCATCTCACACCTAGGGACTTGGTGATGCAGATGTCTGGTCTTTCATTGGAGCCATTTGCTGATTTGGCTTCCAATGTAGACTCATTTGTCCAACGTAGGTAGACATTGTGATCGGGGCTGTCAAACAACCCACAGAGGAACGGGTCCACAAACCTAGTGCAAAGCTCAGCCTCACCAAAGTCTTCTTCCAGCGGCTGGTTTGGTAGCTTCTGGAGTAATAACCCCAATGCTTTGGCAAACTTGTGAGCATTTGGCTCCAAGGACAGCGAAATCATTCGAACGTTTGCCTGCTCCCGGTTGATCTTTTCATTCAGCAAGTCGTCGACGATGGATATCAAGCTGCTGGTGACAACCAACGGTATTGGTTGTCGCTTGATACCATACATCTCCTCAACTGAATCAACAGCTGCATTCCAATTAGCATAGCTAATGAAAGCTGAGACATCCTGTGGGTATCTGTTACGAGTCAGCCAAAGAACAGATGTCGAAGCCAACGCCAAATGCACATGCTCCTCTAGAGAGTGCTTCCATTTGGCACTGACTGATTGCTGTAGCTGGTGGAATGCATAGGAGAGGTTGAAACCGTTCACAATGAGGTGATCACTGTCCGGAAGCGAAAACACGATGCCCTCAAGCGAGAGTTTTTCATCGTTGGGTTGTTTTCGTATTGCAGACCCCGAAGAGCTGCTAATGGTGTCATTGTTATCAAGTAATTCAGTACCAGAAGCATTGTTTGAGGAAATAACTTGCCTGCCCTGTTCTTGCTCTTGTGGCAGTATTTCATCGGTGGTTCTTTGCTGTATGGTAGAACCCGCAGAGCTGCTAATGTTATCATTGTTATCAAAGTAATTCAGTACCAGAAGCAGTGGTTGAAGACGTAACTTGCCTGCGTTGCTCTTGCTCTTGATCTTGCTGCGGTAAAAATTCTTTGTGCGTTATGAAGAAATGGGTTGCAAGTCCATTTAAATCATCGAAGTGGTCAAGGCAGGCTGGGCACGAAAAATTTTCGGTACTGGGGCGACTATGATCAGGGTGTTGCAAGTACAAGAAACTGCTACTGTTGTATCGCCGTGTTGATTTCATAGCTACAGGAAACTGATAGCCATGGGAATCTCGCAAATGATCCCGTAATTTTCGAGGGGAACTGAAATTATTTTCGTGCTTTTCTTCCAGGAAACATTGGTTCCTCAAATAAACAAGTCGTGGTTCATTTGCCATTTTCACGTTATTGGTAAAAGACGATGGGTAAAACGACAAAAGGCGAGCGGCCAAACTACAAGGTCCGGATCACCACTTTATACCTTATGCTCGTCTTATTGCATGATTTGATTCCTGCCGCTGTCTATTCGTATACTTCACCTTAGTGTTCCGAAAAACCAGTATTTGAACCAGCATAAGTTACAATTGCTAGGCTAGGTTTTAGACGACTTCTCGAGACTGGTTGTAACCCGTACTAAACAGGTACTTACCTGTTCCCGAACACTTCGTGATTTCGATACGCATAGTTTCAGCTATCTTATAAGAAATACAAGCAAGACAAGAATAACGGATTTGCCAGAATGTTATATGGAGGTGGATGGCTGATTGCCAGTTGTAAAGCCAAGACTGCCTTTAACAAAAATGTATTGAAAACCTTTTTTCATTTTCTAAACAGTTGTCTACATCTCGAAACTATAGACCCACATTAAACGAAATTTACATAAAAAGATCGTTGAAAAGAAACGATATATGTATGAATGCATGGTGTTTCTAATTATTTCTTACATCTATAAGATTATGAAGGCCAGTTTACAAGCCAACACGAAACAAAACCTGCTTGCCCTTCTTTTTACTCTTCTTGCCATTAGGGAGAGGTTCATTATTTTCGGTTGCATCATCGTTTGATGTAGAGTCTTGGCCCCAGCCACGGCTAGCGTTATCGCCAGAGCTCTGAGTCCTTCTCATATCAACAATGAGTTGATGCTTTGGAGGCGCAGTGGGAAGAGAGGGAAATTCGTTTTCCGTTCTTCGTACTGTTGGACTTGGTGATGGTGCTCGTCGATTAACAGGTGCCGACGAACCACTAATAGACCATGGTGTTTTGGTCATAGTCACATTCCGTGCTGGTGATTGCGGTCGTGATGAGGGTGGGGTGACTTGTCGAGCGGTTACTGGTGTAGATGCAGCGGCATGAGCGACCTTGTCCCAGACATTGGCTTTACTGGTCTTTGTCTTGGTTCCGCCTCGCTTGGTATTTCCACTTTTAATAACAAGTACACGTTTTGCTGGATTACTAGCATTGGTTCTCTGTGCAGCGCCAATAGGTGATAAGGAAGGGAAATTTTCGAGCTATCGTTGCATTGACATTAGCATTTGAATATGGGGGTTGCTTACATACATATCTCAAGATTTGCACTTACAGAAGTCCTTTTGTCACGCCAATAACGAATGATTTCAGTTTTCTTACTAGTGTTATCTAGAAGCTCTTCAACTCCTCGTATTATTCTGGCAGTCTGGTCCACGTCTAAGTTGAGCATATCGAATAGTTGATCAATGTAATTTTTGCCATCCATGGTTGAATTTCTATATGCAGAAGTGATTTGCCGGAATCGCTCCATTTTTCGCTGATCTCCATTTACATAAACACTGAGTTTCTCTAATAACGCAGAGTGTTTTTCAATTGTTTCTGCTGGGGCATTTATGGCGGCGGTGGATGAAGCTTGTTGAGCTGACGATGTTGGAGTTTGACCTAACCCTGGCCAATCGTCGCTGCGACTAAGCGAGCCAAACCCTTCTGGCTTCTTTATTCCTTTCGATTTAGCTTGGCCAGGCTGCTTTTTGTCCTTGCCTTCCGCTCGTTTGGAGGTCTGTAGACTAAGCTGCTGCATTCGGTTGGTTTCCGATCCGATAGCTGGGAACTCTTCGGAAACATTGGAAGCTGCAGCCGCCGGTTGCGTTGACTTGGCCGACGCTTTTTGAGATGACTCTCTGGTATTGTCTCTTCGGTTGCGATCGCCTCCTCGAGATGGGCCGCCAGAATATTCAAAATTGACATCGACTTTTCGAGCCTCCAACTGTCTCGCTCTTTGAACTCTTCCTGCGGAAGAACCATGAACTTCGACCTAAGACAACTCTGTTTAATCATTGCTGAAAAGGATGGTTCGATAATCAGTAAAAAGAAACCAGCATCCTTACCTCGTGTGCCTTGAGATCAAGGTCAGAGTCAAAAACGATAAATTTCTTATCAAGACAATCCCTCCATTGACACATATAGTGGTCCTTGTGGAAATGCTTTGCCTGTGAAAACAGGATATAGACAAAAAGAAAAGCAATGATGTTTAGAAAATATTGGGGAAATTTCAGTGAAATATCAGAATCTCACCAGCTGGTCATAGTTGGCATAGTATTGATGCCGAATGCCATTTCTAACACAGATATGGCACTGTTCATGCTTGTCTCGACAATGCTCAAACAGTTCGTCATCTCCGTAGAACGAGCTCTTACAAAACGCACACTCGGGATGGCCTGTGAAACCAGAATCGTCGTCTTTGTTGATTGCTTTGTCACCAAACTTGTAATGTTTTGTAAGTTGAGAAGAGGTAAAAAGTGTATGTTCATGGGTGAAGATTTTTTTGAATCTTGTACATAAATCACTAATTCAAAAATCATTGATGAACATTTGGTTGCCGGTAAAAGACATATCAACGTAAATAGCACTTACCACAACAACAAATCATGTTCCTTCTTAACGTGCCGCTTGAGCTCAGGCCAGCCTCCGGCACAAGCAACCTCACACGCGGGTTCCGGACAATTGAACTGCAAAAGAATCATGGAGTCTTGGAAGATTTGCTGGTCTTCAAAACGAATGTTCAAGTGCTTGTCAATTAGTGGGGTGTCAGCTTTGGTATAGTCCTGGAATAGCTTGACAGGGTCTTTGGTGAAGACGACCTTTTTCTGTTCTGTCTAGAATACACAGCCAAGTAAAATGTATTAGAATAATGCAACAAACCACAATGTAACAGTGATTGGTCCTTACTTTGCAGTATGCACAGTTTCTTGTCTTATACAAGGCTCTCAACCGCAGAGAGCAAATATGGCACGTTCTATGGTTGCATTCCGAAACAGCAAAGGTGGCCACAGGCTCTGTGCAAATGAAGCAGAGCTCCCCTTCGTCTTCTTCTTCTTCTGGTACAGATTTCTGTTGCTTGGACGTATCCATTGAGATGGATTATGAGTAATCACAGAACAAAGTTGACTTTGCGATTATCTTTAATTTTTATTTTTATTTTATTTTGGCGGAGCACAGTCCAAGCAGGTGCTTTTGGCTTCACACTCAATCTAAAGTGAAGATTGTTACCATCTGATTATAAATGCAGCAGTATCCACCACGGCCTCCTCCGGGCCATCCACTTCGTAGTATTCCAGGTAAGCTTACCGATACCATCCCACTTGAACAGAAAAGCTACACGTCCTTATACCTGCTTAACTAAAGGCCAAACACCACCGCCATATGGCCAACCTCGGCCACAAACTCCTCCATCAATGGTGAGGCCACGCCCTCCCCCATCACCTGTTCAATCGATGCAGAACCAATTTGAGTCCACGTCTATTTCTTCCAATGTACAGTAATTACTCTCTATCGTACGTACTTATCATGAAGTGCTAGTGCTAATCCCAGCTATACAGTCCCCTGGACAGAAAAGTAATCGTGCAAAAAGAGTATTTCATCCCGATGGATCTCCCCAAGGCGCTATTCGACCGCCTGTTGGAACAGTTCATTCCTCACCGCAAGTACCTGGTGTACGACCTCTCATGCCTCAAGGTCCTTCGGTGCCATCGGTCGCTCAGCCGCAACCCCTTCCACAGCAACCAAAATCTCGGATAGATCCCAATCAAATTCCAAGTCCTATTCAAGTTCAGGATCAAGATCAACAATTATTTGCTGGACAGGATTATGGAACATGCTCAAAGACTTCTGTTCCGTTGGCCACCACTCAGGTTCGCGTAGTTGATCAAGGTGAGTAATTATTTTTCGCGCTGCTCCAAATATCGGTTCTGCGATTGTTCTCGGATCTGAAATGGTTGTGCGGTGTTCGACCATGTGTGGGGTATGTTCAGAAATCCGATCCTGACTAAACTGCTTTCAATCTGGTAGGAAATTGCAATCCAAAATTCATGCGTATCAACACTACTCAGATACCCATCAACGATGAATTGGTTGAAAAAACGCATATCCCCATGTCTCTGATCGTACAACCCTTGGCTAAGCTTCGACCAGATGAAGACCCTGTGCCAGTCATTGAAATGCAAAAGGAAGGTCCTGTTCGATGCAGACGATGTAAAGGATATTTGAACCCTTGGTGCCTTTTTGCAGATGGCGGAAGGAAGTTCGTCTGCAATTTGTGTGGATTTGACAGTGATGGTAAAACTTGAACTCTGCTTTTTTATGTGTAATGAGTTGCATGCTAGCTCGATATACTGATCGCCATGATTTTTTTTTAGTTCCTGATGAATACTTTTGCAACTTGGATATGACAGGGAGACGAACTGATTATGACTATCGACCAGAACTTCGTTATGGCACTGTCGAGTACATTGTTCCCGAGGAATATTGGACCAAAAAACCACATCCTATCCGCTATCTCTTTGCCATTGATGTGTCCATGACTGCTGTGCAGAGTGGGATGCTTGCGTCATTTTGCCAATCCTTGAATGACATTTTGTATGGAGATCACGCAGGAAATGGTTTACCCGAGGGTGCAAAGATCGGTCTGGTCACCTTTGATCGCAACATTCATTTTTATAACTTGAAGGTAATGTAACTGTATTATGGATGATTTAGGTCGGCAATACCGATAAACTTACTCTAAATTAAAACAGGCCAATTTGGAACAAGCACAAATGATAGTCGTTTCTGACGTTCAGGATGTTTTTGTCCCGCTACACGACGGTTTGTTTGTGGATCCAGAAGAGTCCAAGTAAGTGCACTCGAATGTTTGTAAGCCGGACATAGGCAAACGGATAGACTAACAGCATGCAATGCAATTGCTCAAAGGACGGTCATTCAAGATTTATTAGTCAACCTACCCAACTTTTACGCTGAAACCAGAGTGGTAGACGTGGTTTTTGGCTCAATTATTGCAACTGCCTTGAGTGGCATGGTAAGGGTCTATGATCACTTTATGATTGAACTGCTGAGTATGACAACTAACCGATTGTTCAATAGCAGGAAAGCGGAGGAAAGTTAATAGTATTTTCCACCTCCATACCAAAAAGAGGACTGGGGGTTCTCCAAGCTCGAGCGCAAGTCAACAACAACTATGACGAAGAAAAGTCATTGCTCATGCCTATCGGTACAGCCTATAACACATGGGGCGTTGATCTTGTGAATGCTGGCATCTGCGTTGATCTCTGGTTTTTCCCTGTTCGTAGTCTCTTAGAAATGACGACAGTTAGTCAACTGGCATCCATGACTGGCGGCGATATACACTATTTTCCAAACTTCAATCCGATCAAGGATACTATCCAGATAACCCATGATTTGCGACATGGTTTGGCTCGAGAAGCAGGTTATAATGCTGTGATGAGAATTCGGTGCTCTAATGGTTCGTTCGTGCTACCTTCACATTATCAGCGTATTGTGCATAGCATAGTGTTCACTGACTTTGGTTATTTTCATAGGTCTCACCATTCATCAACAATTTGGTAATTTCCACATGAAGAATAGTACGGACATTGAATTGGCTGGCATCGACCAAGATAAGGCCATTGCATTTGTTGTGAAGCACGACGAAAAGCTGGATGCAAAGCTTGATGCTTCATTCCAGTGTGCTATGCTATATACCACTGCGACTGGCCAGCGAAGAGTAAGAGTGATCAACCTTAGCTTACCCGTGACTGATAACATTGGGAATGTCTTCCGAAGCGCACAGATGGATGTAACCCTGAACCTCTTAATGAAGCAAGGTAACACATTGTTGTGCTGAAGGGGGGGGGGAAGAGTAGTATACATGATTTGTACAGGTCTCATTTTTTAACCTCAACCCACAGCTATCACTTTGGCAGGAAGCAAATCAACTCAGATGTTGCGCGACGAGTTGGCAGACAAGTGTGTAAAAATCCTGTCGGCCTACCGAAAACACTGTGCGCTTTCCAGCTCTCCTGGTCAATTGATCTTACCCGATTCATTCAAGCTACTCCCACTTTACACGCTTGGCATGCTTAAATCGGTGGCATTAAAAGCCAACCCTAACCTCAGTATCGATACCCGAGTTCACCAAATGAAATTAACCAAGAGCCTGGGAATTCTTGACCAAATGGTGCTACTCTACCCGCGATTGATCCCCATTTCTCATTTAGCTCCAGAGGTAAGCATCTCGTCCAACGTTTCAAGGTTTCTTTGTTCTCATTGGGAGCCAGTGGACTTTACTAAAACTTAAAAAATAATTTGTTGGGGGGATACAGCACGGCCAACCCGACGCTTCCGGCAACGTTCAACTTCCAAGTTCAATGAGATTATCTTATGAAAGACTGCTTCGAGATCATGCTTACTTACTCGGTATGTTAGGAAGAACTAAACTTGTTCTATTCTTTTTTCCACTTCCATCCTAAACAAACGCTGTCGTAATGTTAGAAAATGGCCAGGATCTCTATATATGGCTTGGCCGGGATATTTCGTCTGACTATCTCCAAGCTGTATTTGGCACGGACGATCTCCAGCATGTCGACCCAAGACAGGTACATTTTATGATGCAGATAACCCATATGATAATAGCCTAGTTAACAAAAGCTGTCTGTAGTACATTATGCCCACACTCGATACTGCGCTATCAAGGCAAACCCGCGACGTTATTGGGGCGATCCAGGCTCAACGTGCTTGGAAAATGCCGGTGCACATTGTACGACAGCAGCTGGATATGGAGCTAGAGTTTGCCAATCTACTCACTGAAGACAAGAACAATGAACAAATGTCTTATGTCGACTACCTCTGCGTAGTTCATCGTCAGATCCAAAATGAGGTAAAGAAGGCTAGGGCTTTGAATTGGATGCAAAATTAGCTCATTCTAACCAATCCGGCGATATAGATAACGCAAGAGAAACAAGATAATATCATGGCTAGTGCCAGTTATTGGACGCATCGATTTTAGTTGAGAAAGAGGAAGATAGTTGTGGTTTTATAAAAGTTGAGATTAAATCGACCGCTGGCGATTGAGAATCCAGAAAATTGGAGTGAAAAGGAGAGAGGATCCTCACCAAAATGTTCTGGCTTGATTCCATCATCACAGCTCCAAATAAAATAATGTGGTGTGTGTATTTTTTATTTTGTCCATGCCAACCCACGCAAAACCTGCCCCCCCCATGGCATGAGCCCGGAGCATCGGGCGCTCTTTCACATGTTTATGATGTCTATGCTTTGTTTGCTATGGCATATAAAGAGGCTTATAAGTAAACCCATCTTTTCCTTCTCCCTTTGATAACCCTTTTGCTCTTTTAGCTCTACTTTAAAGCAGATATGGCACACCATAGTGTCGATTCAACTGCGCCACAGGAGGTTGAAGTTCGCGATAACCCGTCCAAGAATCAGTTTGATGTCTTGGCTCCGGAAAAGTCTTTGGACCAACCTGATAGTCCAAGATCTTTCTTTCAGCGAGTTACCGCGATTCCCATTATTAGAGATAGTATCACAGGGGTTCAGCAGGTCGCCGATAAATATCCCACCACCCGTAAACTAGCAGGTTACGTGGATCACGGAAGACAAAGTATCGAATCTATTGGTGGTCGTTATTACGAACAGTACCAAGGTCAGTTGGGACCCCCTGTTTCCAAGCTGAACGCTCTTGGAAATGGCATTTTGGATAAAATTGAGACCAACGTCCCTTTGATTTCTCAACCTACCGACCATGTGGTGTCTCAAATTACGGCTCCTGCTCAAGCCGCCTACACTCGTTTGAATGGATATCTGGTCAAACCTACTGATTATTTCGAGGTCCTTGTCGACACTTATTTGCCACAAGGAAAACCTACGGAAAATGGCACAGAGGAAAACCATGACGCCGCTCCAGCTGTTCGCATCTACAACATTGGCAACACTATACCTGGAAGAGTTGGATACCGTATTTCAACCACCTACGATAACATCAAGAAAACCCCAGCTCGCGCCACTCAAAAGACGCAGGAGGTTTTGCTATTTTTGGGTGACAAAGCGTGGAACTCAGCATTGACGGTTAAATCCATCTTGCCACCTGCTGTGCAAACCCATGTGGTGGATCCAGTACTGGAATCTGCTCAGACTGAATACAACATCCTCTATGGAGAATACAAAAACCCTCAAGGTGACATTCTCCAAAAGACTCGCAATGTGGTTATCCAATCACAAGATCAAATTCTCAGACCTCTTCTACTTTCGTGGCAAGATACCTTGAAGGTGTATGGTGATAAGGCCGCCAAAGGACGAGACCAAGCGAAAGTCTATGTGCAAGATAAGGTAGCTAACAACAAATAAATGCAGGACGATTATGTTTCTTCAAAGTCTGTCGCCGCCGCCCATTGCGCATCGACATGGCTCTTTTTTAAAAAGAACAAAATAGGACAGCTATCATTTCTTCCCTTTTCTCCATGATCTATCCAAACATACACCCTATATCTTTCCCCCTCTCTACAAATTCAAAATACATCTCACTATATGCGCCCCTATAAGCTATAAATCACTCGTATATCCTACTTTTTTGTTTCATACAAACAGTGTGTTTCGCTTTTAATGGCTGTGGAATAATAAGATTCACAATTAGAAAATGATTTCTTTGTTATCGTATTTCAGATAATAAGGATGGAATAATAATAGCAGAGGGGAACAGAAAATATATACTGTGGGGGGTGGAGGGATGAATTTTAAACAGCTGGACTAGTCTGTCGGTTGAAGGCATGAGCAACACGATAGGTCTCAACCACCTTGTAAACCTTATTCCATGATTCCTTGACAGACTTGTGCTTGATAGCATCCTCTTGTCTGGCCAGGAGCTTTCTCTTTCTTGCTGGAGTAGGGAACAAATAAGCTGTAAGCTTGAAGTTCCAGACACGGAATACCCATACTTTGATCTATAAAATTTCAGACAAGATAGGAAGATATCAGATGATGGAAGTTGGGGGGTTCAAACAACAGCGCCATAATAAACTCACCACATCCAGCAGCATAAAGTAGACAAGGGAGATTCCAAGGACGGCAAGACCCCATGGCCAGCCACACGGAGCAACGTGCTCTGTCGGTCCGAAAACGCCATAGACTGAGAAGAACAAGGCAACCACCTGTGTGCCAAGAATACAAACAGTGAAGAGCCAGTGAGGAGGTTGTTCCCACCAGTAACCAGGTACACGAGTGGAGAAGATAACAAAGTGAGGAGCGGAACTAATATGGAGATACATGATGGAATGGAGCACATCGTTATCTACATGGAACACATCTCGAGCAACGTAGAAGGTTGCAAAAGATAAGCCAGCCAAGCACATAGCCAAGATACATGAGAGTGTCATTAACTGACCAATTCTCCATTTATCAGGGCGATCCGATATTTGAGTATTATCAACTGAGATAACCAGAGTGGCAGCATCGTTCTAAGAACAAGCGATGATTAAAAACAGTGGTATATTGGAGGATAAAATTTGGGAGAGTGCCACTTACCAGTACGCAGATCATGATCAATAACACAGCAGGCATATTCCAGTCCTCAACAAGAGTGATGATGAACATGAAGACCAAAAAGTGAATAGTGGAAGTGATTCGGTACAAAGCATAAGAGCGAAGTCGCTGGAAAATGGCTCGAGACGTCTTAATGCCATCGACAATAGTAGAGAGACCAGGAGCTAACAGAACGATATCGGCTGCCGATCGAGCGGCGTCTGTGCAGCCATGGACAGCAATGCCAACGTTTGCCTTTTTCAAAGCAGGAGCGTCATTGACACCATCACCTGGTGGAGGGTTTGTTAGTATGTCTCAACGCAGCGATCATTAAATTTGTCGTTCGGCTAAAACTATGTCCTTGCTTACCCGTCATGCCAACAAGAAGTCCCTTCTTTTGAAGTAGTTCAACCACTCTGTACTTGTGTTCAGGAATGACTTGAGCAAAACCGTCGGCACGCTCACAGTGCGCAGTGACTTCTTCTTCACTCTTGCTAGGATCCACAAGGTGGTTGGCGTCAAGAATAACACGACCCATACCAAGACGAGCAGCTACTTCCTTGGCAATGATGAGCTGATCACCAGTGACCATTTTAACGTCAACTCCCATTCCGTTGCATTCGCGGATGGTGGAACCGGAATCAGGTCTTGGAGGATCCAAAAGAGAAATCATACCAACGAGTTCATACACTTCGGTATTGCCAGGGATAGTACGAGCGACACCAAGAGCACGGAGTCCACGCTTGGCAAGTGCATTGACAGCACGGACGGCATCGTCGTTGCCACCGACAAGGTTGATAATGACTTGAGGTGCGCCTTTAGCGACTTTGAAGATATCTTGGGTTTCCAAATTAGCAACCGTAGCTTGTGTCATCTTGGTTGTAGGATTGAATGGAAGGAAACTGGTGACCTTATATCCAGGAACATCATGGGAACCTTCTTGACGAGTTTGTAGAACCTGGAGAGAGTTTTCGGCAGCTTTGCGGACAGCGCTTTCAATAGGATCATTGGCACCCGGTTCAGCGGCAAGATACGAATAGAGAAGGATGTCATCAGCAGTGTAGCCCTTCTCCAAGTAAGGCTCATCAAAGGTCAGCTCATTCAAGGTAAGAGTACCTGTTTTGTCGGAGCAAAGTACGGAGACGGAAGCCATTTCTTCAACAGCAGTCAAGCGCTTAACGATAACCTGCTTCTTGGCCAATTGCTTAGCTCCAAGCGCCATGGTGACGGACATGACGGTAGGGAGACCGACAGGAATGGCGGCTACAGTGAGCACCAGACAGTTTTCCAAAACGTTCTTCCAGTTGCCTTCCTCAGTACCCCTAAAGTGAACCATCTGGTAGACGAAGATGATGATGACAAGAACGACAGTGGACCAAATCAGTACGTTTCCAATTTTAGCGATAATCTTCTGGAAATGGCCTTCTTCTGAGGTGATGGCGATCAAATTCGCGGCACGGCCGATAAAGGTATTTTCACCGGTCTTGGTGACGACAGCCAGCTGTTGACCTTGCTTGACAATAGAAGAGGAGTAGACAGTGTTTCCCTTGTTTTTGCTTACAGGGAGAGACTCACCAGTCAGGGCAGACTGATCAATTTGCAAATCTCCTTCAGTGGCTTCACCCGTGACACCAATACCCAATAGACGAGCGTCAGCAGGAACAATGTCACCAAGACGAAGAACGATGACATCGCCTGGAACAAGGTCGACAACATCTATTTCCTGTAGTTTTCCATCTCTCCAGCATCGAGTCTTGAGAGCCAGTGTCTGCCTAAGGGCATCCAAAGCGGATTCAGCCTTGGATTCTTCAATAAAACCGATGAATGCGTTGATGAACAGGAGGGCAAGGATGATACCAAAATCAATCCAATCTCCCACGACAGCAGCAATGATACAAGCGATTTCAATCAGGTAAGAAATGGGGCCAGTAAAGTACATGAGAAATTTCAAAAACGGGTTGGTTTTCTTCTCTGGTAACTCATTTTTGCCGAATTTTGCTAGGCGCTCTTCTACTTCGGACGATGTAAGGCCGGTGGCAGGGTTGGTGTTGATGAGAGCTTCTAATTCGGGTGATATTTCATCTTCGTGCTCATGGTGCGCCTGCTCTTCTACAACTTCGTGCTTTTTCTCAAGATCTTCTATATGAGACATTTTTGGCGGCTAGCGGCAATATGCGGCGGCGTAGTGTTTTCTTTCCTTAACCAGCAAATAATGATACAAGTGCGGTGTGTAGCAAGCACTAGTTTATGGTGTAGGCTACGGGTGAGTAGGAGAAGGTAGGCAGAGAGAAAGTAAAAAAGAATATGAAATAAAAAAAAAAGATTTGGTAAATAGCAACTGCTTGGGCTACTATTAAGAAAGAAAAAAGAATCAAAATATATATGAAAATCTGGTTTCATCTATGGGGGCCTTTTATACGTTTGGGGGTGCTAATGCAATGCCGCAAATTACGGCATGTCCCGGATCACTTTACGTATGTGTTAGAGTCAACATGCATCCGCTGTTGCAAGATAGCATGGCGGGTTCAGTACGTCAATGGAGGCATGTTTCTTGTCGTCACCGACGGCATTTTATTTCATTCACACAAGGGATATTAAGGATTTTTTTTTAAGCATAAGCAAAAAAAAAGACCGTGAAGACATTCGGTGTGCCACCACAACAATTCGCTCAGATGGCTGCTTTATCATCTTTTGGTGTATACCTGGCAAACACAATTGAACATGCATGTAACCTTACACGGAATCCAATCCAAGGGGACTGACAGCCTTAAGATGGGGGCTAATACGGGAGATTATAAGCAAGGAGAAAATTCGATACCTTACATTGCCATGTTTATTTGTGTGCCCTCTCTTTTTTCAAGAGGGAATCCCGTCTTTCGACGAAAGGCTATGTTCCAGTTGTTCCATGCTCGCATGACCTGGAGTATCCTGTTTCTAATGGAAGCGTCGTCAGGTACTAATTTTGGGAAGAATCATGCAAAAGGAGCCCACCTCATCCCAAAGAATAAAATAGTAAAAATAACCAAAAACATAACATCAGCATCATATTTGAGGGGACTAGGGCAAAGGAAGCGTTAACTAAAGATGTTTGATTACGCAGAACACACTAAACTCCCTGTACATAGAAACATGAGATGCTTCCCAACCCGTTTCTGCAGGCTAGCTGTAAACTAAACGCAAATTAGATTCGACCCAATGTTAAAGAGCCCTTTAACATTACAATCCGTGGCGATTGAAATTTTTTAGCTATATGACAATCGTCCCCCACCTCGTTTCGCTAAATTGAAGGATATATTCTTGTTGCTTTTTACTTGACAGGAGCCTGCTTGTCCACGTGCTGATACTGACTAGAGTGCCCTTTTTCCAAAATTTCTAAACAGCAGTGTTTATGACCAACTCATGCATACTGCCACTGATCATGTATTACTTCTAGAAAAGCTTTTTAATCGAACTTGCCGTCATTGCAAGTCTGTCTGTCTTCGAATCAATTGCATCATTGCCTACTATCACAAGATAGTGGGTGCTGTTATGATGAAGAATGAGAAGCAGTTTAAAATGTTGCATAATCCGCTTTGGTTCGATCGCATTCAGGACGCAAATGTTTTCATCGGAGCCGTACCTTGCCTATCTTACACTGGCTCATAACAGAGAGGCATTGGCTAGCATTCACTCTTAAGTGGGTGCATTGTATTTGATTTTTTATTTACGTTGGCCGACCTTAGAGAGGAAGGGGTATCGGAACTCTGTAGCGCCATAGCTGGAACTACGTACATTAACACTCGAAATTACATACAAAAAACAAAATTGAGGAGAAGGGGAAAAAGCTCCAGCTTACATAGCCTCGCTCCAAACCATACCAGCCATGGCGATTGCCTCCCAATTTTCTTCCGGCTCAGGCATCGGCTTGGTGGATGATGGTTCACTTGTTAGAGGCACCTCTTGGACCTCACTCACGGCAGGTATGACGACGACGGCTGCCTCAGCAACTTGTGCTTGAGCGGCCATTTCAGCTTTCAAAGCTGCTTCTTGTTCTTCATGCTGCTGTTTGGCTTCTTGATGGGCTCGCTCTTCTTCCTCTCGGCGGTACTCCATACATAGCTGAATTTCCAAAGCTTGACGATCTCGTTCAAATTCACTCCACTTTCGCATCTCGATTTGTGAGCTATCAAATACACCTTCCTTGTCACCATGGACTTCCTTTCCTTCACCTTCGACTTTTCTCGTTTCTCCCCATGAGAAATCGTCAAAATGCCAGTATGCGTACACCGGTAGCACAAAATTCCAAATTGGTAGAGAGAGCAGATAGATCTGGTAAGTAAAGAAAATCGGTATCAATGAGAATGTTCCAAGGATAAACACATGCACATGTGGCTGAACTTACCAGCATCCAGCCGACATACACCAGCTTGCGACTGGTCATAACAATCAATACGGCAGGAAGTCCAAGAATGATAGCGAGTAAAATCAACGGAATCACGGCAGGTTGGCCAATGCAAGCCAAAATGACCAGGTACAAGGTGAAAGAGATAGCAGCCGGCAAGGCAAGCGTACCCACCAATTCCATGAACACAACAAACTGCATAGAAAAGCAGAAAGTTCCACACAAATCTTGTACCAAAACAAGTTCCATCAAATTATGAATAGTAGAGTTGATCCAGCGGCGACGCTGTGATAGTAGTACCGAAAAGGTATCAGGGACCACCGTCTTACAGACGGCTTGAGGAACAAAGATCATCTTGCGTTTGGGGAACGTCCGTAGCATAAGCGTTGACAAGTATCGATCTTCTCCCAGCAGCAACAGATTCTTCTTGTGCAGAGTATCGACGACATTTTCAGAATAATGCTCCACGATATCTGGATTGGCCAAAATAGGCACCCAGTAACCGTTAGGACCTTTGGGAGCCTTGATTCGATACATGCAAAAGCATCCTGGCAGACAAGTGACACCGCCAAAGATGGATTCAAAAGCTTTGGACTGGTGGTGAGAGATGTAGTATTCAAAAACTGTAGATATAAATCGTCAGAAACCATAAAGTCCCAAGACGCGTCCCCCTTTTTTTTTCATCCCCTTACCTTGCATCATCGACACCCAACTATCCGTCTTGTTCCCAATCTTGGTCTCGCCACAAAGCCCTGCAATTTCTGGATCCTTGACCAAGCATGAAATCAATCTTGACAGCGAATCAGGGAAGATCTTTGTATCGGCATCCACCATGAGAACCGACTCATACTTGTCAGGCGTAATACCGGCAACTCGCCAAATACTATTGAAGATTTCGTAGTCCAGGTGAGTCATGCGCTCGTCGAACATGACCTTTTGTAAGAACGACATGAGGATGATCTGCGAATCGCGCTTGCCACGATTACCTGGTTTCTTATCATGCTTTTCATCAGGGGACCCGCACTTGGCAATCAAAATCATAGGAACACGCTGTTGTTGTGCAGGGCCGACGGTAGTGCTGTCGTAACGGTAGAAACCAGCGTAGACTTTGGCCATGTTATGCCGCTTGGAGCCATCGGCGATGGCAATGTATGAGTAGGGCTGGACTTCGTCTTTGGGAACAATGAGATCACGCATCATGGATAGACAGATATCCGGGGTAGACATCTCGTTGCCTGATCCAGTGATGACACCATCGGCAATAGCAACAATCAATTTGTGCGAATTGGGATAGTCTGTGGTAGCAATGGAGTCCAGTGTCGTTCGTAAACCTTGGATGCCCTCAGAGTATGCCGTGACGAGACAAATAGTGTGAGCCAAGGTAAAGTTGAAGGGCTTGTAATTTATATCTGGTTGCGCAACCAGATGCTTTGACATGGGCAACGGACACTTGATGTCACTGAAAGGATTGTATGGAGTGGTTGTCGAAACGGAAGACCGGCGACTGACTGGGAACGTCAATTCGCTTTGTCGGCGAGATTGATTGAAATCAGCCTTGGGGTTGTATATAGTCGATGGGTTGGTTGAGTTGGTGCCAAGCGTGGACGAGAATGGAGAAGTGATGGTGGATCCGTAAATGGTGGATACCGTAGCGCTAGATGGACGGCGCCACATGTTTTGATTAGAGAGTTCGAACGATCCTCCGTATTTGAGCTTGCCTGGTTCAGGTTTGGTAAACCGAGACGTCTGCGGGATAAGAGACTTCTTGCGTGGAGGATTGGTAGGAGGATATAAGTACGGAGAGCGTGTGATGTTGGCTGGGGTATAGATGTCGGCGGTCCAGTTTTCTATCTCCTGTTCTCGCTTCATGCGATCAGCATACGACTGACCATCCTTGAAGTTACCTAATTTCCAGGACAGGAACCATCCAAATGCGACCGCTAGACTGAATTTAACAACAATGACTCCCAAAATGACAGCTAAAGAGATGTAGAGAACAATGTTGGATACAATGCATCCAAATGTCATAGTATCCACCATGCCTACTCGAATGATATCAGAGAGACATTCCGCCTCCTTTTTCCAGGACAGGCCATTTTGGGATCGATAATTTGTTACTGCATATGACATGTCGGTACCAACGTAGTCTGAAGCGTTGGTTATCAATTGATCGATCAAGCCTCCGTGAGGAACATCTAGTACGTTACGAGGAAGTGACTTGAGCAAGTTCAGATTGAGGACCTCTCTGTAAAAAAGGATGCGAGGGATTTCATTTAAAGAATCAATAAAAGACAATAAGATTGACATACAATATTCTTTGAAAAATAAATTTCAAACGTACCCATTGTAAATAACGAGGTGATCACTAGCTTTCACTTCATGCCATGTATAATAGATTCGACCAGCCTTATCAAAGCCACCTTGGGGCTTAGGTACACCGCTATTTTGAAAGGAGAAGAACATGCTCCGTGCCGTAGGGGAAAGATGGCATCCAGAATAGTTGGCATAGGTAGCTGGGTCTGGCACGATACCGGAATGCGGATCAAACATGCGGCATGGAAAATATGTAGGAAGACGATGGCCCTGTTGGCCAACATTGACACCAGCTTTTGGAACGATGATATCCATGCAGGCTTCGTTCACCTTTTGAAACAAAAAGGTAGCATCCATGCCACCCGCGGAAACGGGCTCATACATGATATTGGAACTGGTGTCGGTGACTCCTGGAATAGGAGGATGATCTGACCACGAGGCAAGCATATAAGCCCAGCCGTCGATGGAAATGTAACCTTTGTTTATATCGGCGACGTGAAAGGACAATGGAGGGGTAGGACACACTGCTTCGGTGAAGCCAAACGTCAAAAATCCAACGGCACCCATAATAGCCAAGATGCATGTGATGAAGCCAATTTTTTCTCTCCAGGCAGATTGGGATGCTGCATCCTTTTTACCTGCAGGGGGGATGGGATGGCGGTTAGCGATGAGGACGCTTATGAATCTAGCGCTTTGGCCATATGTTAATGGAACAAGTCAGCTTAGTTTTACTTACCTATGGCGCGAAGAAAAGGAGTAGGAAAACAGCATGTCACAAGTTTACAATAGAGTTGCCATGCATCCAAACGTTTGGCGGAAGGCGGCAATTCAGTTGCCTGTGGTATAATTGAAATGACTTCTCCGTCAAGCTTTTCATACGGTGACGCTTTTTCATCTCGTCCGAGGATACTGGCTCCTCTACCAAGCTTTGTAAGTTTGGCAGAGATGGTAGGGCGGTTTCCAGTGTTGCTTGGAGCAATTTGTGCATGCATTTGGGCACGTTTTCGGTAATGGTATTGTGGATGGTTGACGTTAATGCGCTCTCTTTCTGGTTTAACCAGAGTTCGTTGCCGTTTGATCTGACATGGCTGAACGGGTAACTCTTCTTCTACAGGGGTGATGATGACCTCTGGTGAAGGATCATGCTGGACATTATTTGTTTCAGACTCAGGTTCGACAATGGCAGTATGCGCTCGATACAACTGATATATGTCGGCATCGATATCCATGATGGATAAATAGAGTTTATAGATGGGTGAGGTGGTTAAAGGAAACTATGCAAATGTGGTTGAATTATTGTGAGCAGGTGGCGATCATGTCAAGCTAGGTGTTGTAAATTGAGCGTACACGTTGCTGTTAAGCTGGCTGGGGATCTTGATGAATACTGTTGAGCAAGAAATGTATACTGCTGCCGTCGCCGATGTCACAGTACTGATGCAATTGAAAAAGTCGTAACCGTCTCCAAAATGCCAAGGTGTAGATACCAAGAGTTGGAGCCAAAAAAAAAAAAAGTATTATGAAGTAAAAGAAGAGATGGAAAGAAGAGGTAAATTGGCTCATGTTCAGGTTAGGCCAGGCCATGGATCCTACGCTACAAGGAGTACCATGGTAGGAGACAAGGGAATAGCAAAATAGGGGCGCGTCCCAACAAGGAGCATTTAGATCACAGCATTAATACCATTGGCCTCTAAACCCCCTTTCGTGTTGCCTACTTGTTACTGAGGTGGTTGCGCGGGTCAGTAAGAACGGACCTGTATACGAAAATAGGAGATGGGAGGCAGGCAGTCATTTTAGATGAAGGTGTAGGAGTGGCCATGAGCCAATATTTTTTATTTAACATGTTATTTTTAAATACACCATGGTTACTGATGTCTGTCTCTATTTTTACGGTGGGGCCAACCATGAAAAAGTCATTTTTTAATTCTTCGGCTGCTGACACCGACTCGGTTGCCGACTTGAGCTGACAAACATCATCTGGTGACAAACAATAAACACTTGCTTGTTAAAATAAAATCATGCTTTGGCTGCTTTGTACTTGCCGCGGTTTGCTCCATAGCTTGTATTTTTTTTTTTTTCTTTTCGTTTTGGACATTTCGCCCAAATGCTGACCTCGGCCAACTTGCGCTATCCGTAAGTCAAAAAGATGTTTTGTGCTACGTACTTCATGTGCACACTTGGTTCGACATTAACTTTTTGGTTGTCATGAATGCCGGGTTCAGACTACATCGCAGGTGAGGACGGCGGACACTCCTAAACACCCGCATATGACCCTAAAATTAACTGATTGGCCGGCATAGGTTGCAAGCTCATCATGCTCTGCTGGTAATTAATTGCTTCCCAGTCAAGGACAGTGGATTAAATACAGCCGACGTGTCGTACTTGATATTTTATGTCACATCCCGCCCTCACAAGTTACCCAAAGTTGCTTCGTACATGGAACACAAATTGATGGAAGATGTAAAGAACAGGCGCTCCCGGTAAAGACAATGTCGTTCAGTAACAAAGTTGAGTCATCTACCAGATATACTAACTTCCATCTCTTCGCCTGGCCATTTTACGAAAAAAAAAAAATTAAACTGTATATACACCATTTCGATCAACATTTGCAACAAACATTATAAACATCGGACATACACACATATGCAATACAACACACAAACATCATACAAACACTGCAGTAATATCGTCCTCATGCAACACTTGGTAAATGAACTCATTGTAAAATGTCATACCAATCTTAACCTCTTTGCCGAAAACGTTATCCGCATGTTAACCTTGCTGGCTACATCAAGTGAACCAGATGTTGCCGCGGCTGCAGCAGAAACAGTAAGTTTGCCCTGAACCAGATATTGTCGATCGATGCTCAGAGGAGGTTTAATTTTACTTAAATAACGACAATTTAATGGCACCATTCTAGTTTGATCACTTTTCAGCTTATTTCGATGGGGACTTGCTGAGCATTGACCGAACTATAACCGACTTGTACGAGCAGCTCGTCATACTGTACGCTGAAATGAGTCAAGGAGGTGGTGCTGAAGGCGATGGCACCCTATATACCCGACTAGTCGGCTTACGTGGTATCCGTACAGTTGCTTCGTCCCGTATTTTTCAAACATTTGCCGGTACAGGGTATCCTCGCAGCATTGCCAACAAACTCGAAACTCTTATTCTTCCGGCTGCGCTATGGAATCTGGAGGTAAGTAGTTTAATCGATGAAGGATGGACGTGATGTAAAAATATTGGCCAAAGTCAATATGTGGTTGTTAAATGTTGCTTTTTCGCATTACTATGACATCAAAGATACCAACCCAATCCAAGCATTTTGGCCAGTTTAAAGATAATGCGTCAAGGAAGGATAGTATCATGTAAGCCAATGTATCTGTTTAGTATACCACCGTCGTCCAGTCCTTCCTCATCTATCCATCACCATCAGGGATACGGCCAGTTTTTCAACTGGTTCAAGTGGATCGCTTTGGGCGTCCACATGTACCCCAGTGTCAGTTCCAAACGAAACACGCATGCTCGCACTGACGATCTTGGATGAATGCGGCAAGATTTACCATAGCCAAAGAGTACGGCATTTGATCCACTCTACCTTTCAGTGAGTTTCAAATTGATAGCATTCGCCTCGACCATTCAAGGGATTGATACTGATGGCATTTTTAAAGGTTTATGGATACAAACGACAAGTGGTGGCCTCCTCTGTATGGCGTTGAAATGTACAAAGCACTTGTTCGAGCCATTAAGCCAGAGCACAGAAAGGTTTTTATCAGCGAAATGCTAGCCTATATGGAAGCAACACAGCCCAACTGGAGTTCACCTGAATCCGTGTTCAGTAGCAGTGCTACATGCTCGTCTGTTTTGAGTAGCATCCTGTTGGACGAAAACATACTTATCCCTGGACTCAACGTGGTTGACGTTATGACCTTGATTATCCATGTACTTGAAATATGGCTATCATTTCAGGCAACTGAAGACGTCAATCATCACAAAGCGGTGGCAAAGCATATGATAAAACTACGCCTTACTGCTTGTATTAGTAAGTCCTTGGTTTAACCGGGAGTGCAGACTTTGTAGTGCACAGTCCAGTAATGGTATGTCTACTCTACCTAGGTTCAATGGCTCTTGTCATTTACTACGACCAGCAGATACCCGATGTGGTTTGTTTACTATTTTCAATGACATCCAATCGAGCTTCCCTGGAACTTCGACAATGCCTAGTAGCTGCTCTCAAGCTGATTATGAAGAAGAACAAAGATGCGTTGCTGAACAGTTGCGATGGTAAGAATACCCAGGTACGGGCCATTCCTGTCGGCTACATCCAACCCAGTCTATCTCTGCTTCTGGACTCTGACCCTGGTAAGCCAATTTGTGGTAGAATCGAGTCTTTTTATTTTGTTATTGTTACCCCACATTAAATCACCATTCTTGCATATAGTGATCCGAGCTGATTTTGCTTTGTTGTTGATTAATTATATGGAACAAATTTCGGATACCAACTTGAGGCAAGTTTAGTAAACGCGGTTAACAGAATGGCTGGAACTATGCGACGCTAACAGAACAACACTACTCACAGTGACAAAATGCAATTTATCCATGCTCTGATGAGGACGATTGAGGAATATGGTCGACTTGAACATACGTTGCCAACAGATATGATCGCACTTCATGGCTTACTGCTCACTTTACTCAAGCTACGCAATGCAATTAGCTTCACGGTCGGGCTTCTCTTACAGCTGCGGGACAGTTGCCCAGAAGGGGCTCGAGGCATACTGCAACAAACGATTCTCATACAAAGCTTACAGCAATTGGCTGTCGTTGCTGAATGCGCTTCATTTGGCGACTTGATGATCCAAGCGGAGACGAAGGCAAAGGAACAGCATCAATGGGTAGACAAGTTTGGATATGATTCTGGAATGTCGTTCAAAAGAATACCTGCGAACCTGGAAGACTTAGTTTCCAATCACAATAATCAAGCCACCTGTCTACCTTCTCGACAAGCGATGCTCGACGTTTTGGCAGAACATACAAAGTTTGGCAGTGACCCCGAGTGGAAGGACCTATTGACATCACCGAAAACAATCACATCATCTGGTAAGTGATGAACCAGCCATCTATGGCACTTTCTGATAGAAGCTCATTTGAAAAACGCTAAATGGCCGGTCGATTTAGGAGCTGAACTAGAAAAATTTAGGATCAAGTCTTCGCGCGACCTCAAATTGAACATTGTGGTATCTAAAGCCATTTACTCTGATGTAAGCAGACAGTCCATCATGGTCGGTGTAAGCGCTGGTTTACTCATACCATCCATTTAGATCATCATGAGCATTGACAAGCATGTTACCAATGGTAAGTCTGCTCCCATTCTTAGTGTAACATCCTGTTGACAACTTGTGTGTTCAATTCATTCTTCATAGTGCCACCCCGAGCAACATCTCGTGGTACATTTTTACGCCAAATCCAAAGCGCCCTTGATACTCGTGACATTGATGAATTCAGCCTGCTTAGCCATGCTCCTTATGACGTTGAATAAGCTAACATCCTTCTGTGAATCGATCTATGTTTATCCCTTAGTTAACAGCCGCAAACCCCCATTATCCATTACCCATATACCCGGTCGTTCGTTAACATACGTTACCATTCATATACATAGTTACCAATAAGTTTCTTCAAGGCTTATCATGTTATATACTATACTTTGGACATTAAAATGATGTTTGAAACCCATCGATGGACGAATGATTTTTGTGCCCTCCGTCATGGTTGACAAAGCTCGTGATGCCGTGTCAATGTTGGTACAGGCACTAGATAGCTATTAGTCCGATGGCACCAGCTGCTTGCTAACACTTGATGATATTATTGCAAGGCATGCAATAAAAAATGGAAGTAGGATGCAACTGATACCCTCGTTAAACCATTGGGTATCGTGGCATTTATTTTTATCGCCTTTCTATACTATAAGGATGACGATACGGTGATTTCAACGATAGGCGCAGCTTTACTGCTTTCTTATAATGGCACAAGGACAATAATTCATTGCATGCAATGATATAAAAAGACTTTGTCATCAAAATGAGGTGTTTAACTTAGCGTTCAATTGTTTGAGCCTTACAACTGAATTTTCACCAGTTCAAAAGGTTTTTTCCTGATAGCTACAACATCAAGAGTTTATTTAAAAATGCTGCAAACGTGCAATGAATACCAAAAATCTCAGAGGATGAACCAGTGAAAATTTTATAATTTATGTGCATTGAATTATTCAGGTGGCATATTGGATAACAGTGGACGAACGCTCTTGATTCTTCTTATTTCCACTTTCTCAAAAGTGGTTCAAGGCATCTCGTTGCTCCCTACAAGCAGTATAAATGCACGATATATACACCGTCGAAAGAATTTTTGGGTCTTTTATCCGTAACTTCTTTATCCCATACTCCGATGAACCAATGATCCCCGATGAACCGCAGCGGACCAAAGAAATTTGCTTTTTTTCACAACTTGTCTTTTTCACTTTCTTTCCTCTCTGCTTCCGAAATTTCTATCTGTCATGGTGGCCACAACTAACATGCCTGCAGTGTACATTAGAGAAGTGACACCTCAAGATATGCAGCTCAAGGACGAAATTAAGCAAGTCGTCAATGCTGCGTACCGCTCTGGTAAGTGATGACCGCAGTCTACCGATACTCAAGAGCACTCTTCTAATCTTGCTGATAGAGGGTGGCTGGACCACCGAGTCAAAAATTGTTGCAGGCGAACGAGCCACCATGGAAGAAATAGAGAAGGCTATCCAATGCAACCGTGCACCCAATATCTTACTACTTGCCTTCATGTCCGATGAGGTAGTTGGTACAGTACAAGTACAGCACAATGAAGGTGATGACGAAGCTGAAATTGGGTTGTTCAGCGTTAGTCCCAAGCGTCAATCTGGAGGAATCGGTGGTAAACTGATTAGAGAGGCCCTCCGAATGATCAAAGAGGACCTTCACTACAAGCACGCCTGCGTTCATGTTCTTGAGAACCGAACCGACATTCTCGCCTGGTACCGCAAACTCGGCTTTAAAGAGACGGGTGAAAGAGTTGCTTTTGTATGGCCTGAAAAGCTTTTAGTGAGCGATCTTCACTTTCTGACGCTGAAGATGGAATTATAGGTCACACACAATTCATTAAAATGATATAATAAAAATTATCCCCCGTCGCTCATTTTCTGCATCTATTTCCAACATGATAGATCTGCAGAGGAAACACTGGCTGTGCATAGCTCTGGTTTTTCTGCTGTTCCTCAGCTCGCTGCTTTCATCCTACACCCCTTCGCCATCATTACTGAAGGATTGCCCACCCGACACCACCAGCCCAAGTGAGCCGCCTACTACTCACATTTTCAAAAACTTGAATGAGCTATCCATCACCCATGCAGACGAATTCAATGATCTGATTCTCATTACAGTGTTGGTTCGTACTAGCCAGATCAACGAGGTGCCGGATCTACTTTCGTTGTTGGGATCCTTGAGCTATCCGTTACACAGGCTTGACATAGCGTTCTTGTTGACCGATGCCACCAGCGGCTCACACCCTGTGTTCGAACACATGCTGTCACACAACCAACATTCATTTAATAGCATTGTAGCGTATGGAAAGAACATGGTGACGGATTTGCCAAAGGATAAGGCTCATGCATTTGACTTGCAGCCGCTGATGAGAGCTCAGTTAGCTCGGGCACGCAACTACTTGACTCGATCTGCTCTAAAAGACGAACACCAGTGGATTTTGGCCATGGACGTTAGCCTGGACCACATACCGCACGACATTATCCAGCAACTCATGTCCGTGGATGTGGATGTTGTGGTCCCCAATTGCATGGTGAAGCGAGACGATGGCAAGATATGGGGGTTCGAGAAATCCAATTGGCAGGACACCGAGCTTTCCCTCACCATTACCGACAATCCGCAAGAGGATTATATTTTCATGGAAGGTAGGTTCAGTGGCATGGCATGTGTGGTGTGCAGAAACTGATGGACTGAACCTTCGTCACCTAGGGTATTGGGAAATGCAAACCCATCGAAGGCTCTTGGTCGATATGCCAACCGATGCAGATCGACATGCCAAGATTCCGCTGGACGGTATTGGATCTTGTTTCTCACTGAGTAAAGCGAGTATTCATCGTACCGGCGTTATATACCCACCCTTCCCCTATCTTCATCAAATCGATACCGAAGGATTCGCACAAATGGCCAAGGCGTCGGGATATGGCGTGTATGGACTTCCTGGTGTTCTGGTTCTGCATTCACCAGAGGCTCTTGATTTTTAAAACCCCCCTCCCCACGCATTGAAAATAGAAGTACAGCCAGCATGGGATCTGTTTGTATGTATTGCTTTTCAACACATCTAAACAAACAAAACATTTATTGTAATATAGTTCCTTCCAATAAAAATAATACGGTGAACGAGATTGCGAATGATACATTAAAATAGAAAAAAAAAAAAGGGTCTTTACTGTTACATAATACAATGGCGTTTAATCATACCATACTCGCGTACAATGAGAGGCACGGGTCTGCTCCCACGGGAAGACGGGTTGAACCTGAGACGGAGGAGGGACAGCAGGGTCATAAGTGGGTGGTGCGATGGAGGAGGAGATAGGAAGGGACTCGGTTGGAGGAGCAACAGGAGGTGGAGCAGCCACGGATGGAGTGCTTGGAGTAGTGGATTCTCCGTAATAGCGATTATAAACATTCCACCACTGCTGAACAAGATCATATTTATCTTGCGATGCATTGGACGGTGGAGGAGGACTATGCCATGGTTTAGTGGTGCCAATAAAGTGAGCAATGGCGATGTTATCGCGATTGACATGGTAAGCTGGCACGTAACTACCCAAAGGAAAAAAATTATTATCAATTTCCTATCCCGAAACCCACAGTGCGACTATAAAAAATCAATGCGTACCTGTAAACTGCGGTAGGCGTGGTATTGTAGATGAAGGGTAGTCTGTGGTCAGACGAATTGGTTGACCATGATGAAAAATAAGTGTTGAGTAAACCTTGATCGCCTCCGTCAAAGGAACCCTTGGACGCCGCTAGATCACACAATTGCCGGTAGGTATCTTTGTTTGGGACAGCGACAAATACCCCAGAATTAAAGCAATCTGGCCATCCAGCGTCGGGTGCCGCACTGAACTCAGGTCGATCAAATAGTTCATCCACCAATCGCATAGGCAACACATCCGCATCCAAAAACACCACCTTGTCATAGTCGAGCTGCCAAAGTTGCAGCTTACTGAACGTCACACCCAGCTCGGGTCTTCCCAGCAAAGCCAAGTTATCCGCTTGTCCCGAGTCCAGCTTGTCAATGTCAATGATGCGATCAAACACCAACCTGAGATCCTTTCGAATGGTCTCCGACACATTGGCTGTCACCATGACAGCAATGTCGCGAGTGGTACCTAGTTCTCGTAAACGCTGGGCAAGCACAAGTGCGCCAGGAGCATACGAGTCAGTCACTAGCAAAGTGACATAAGCCTCAGTCATGGTTGGTTGGGAGGGAGAAAGAAAGAGGATGAGAAAAAAAGAAGAAGGAAAAAAAATAATAGATTATATTATGTTCGATTAAAGACGATGCCCGGAAACCAAAAGGGAAAAAAAAAAAATATGACCACATTCTATCAATTATAACCTTCATAATAGAGCGGCCTGTCCAGCCAAGTAAGATATTAGATCCGAGTGATGAGCCAGTCGAGAGATAACAAACAACGCAGCCCGTGATGTCTGAAACAAAACGTTAAGATTAGCCAACTAGATAGCACTACAACCCTTTTCATTTCAACGTACAATGGTAATAGCTTCACTGGATACATTTTCCAACGTATCGCAGGCTTGATGATAGCATGGATCCAAAGGAGCGTTGGCTAATCCTCCATGTTCATGACGTTCCTGGTCGGTCTTGCGCTCTCCCGCTCCCGTTAAAACACCGCCTACAGCAAAAGAGGTTTAGTGATCTTATCATGGACGGACCTTTTAAAATGGGAAAAAAAAAAAGCTTGACTCACCACTGGGGACGTCGTTGAGAAGAAATGGAAGGAAATCACTGCCTGCCGTCATAGATTCCAGCTTATATGGAAGACGTTCCAATTTGAAAAACGTCTCAAAAGCTTTTTGAATTTGGATCGACGCTGTGCGGACAGATAAGGGCGCATCCTCTCCATCATGGACCTAAACAATAGGTAAATATTGGCTATCTCTCTGGCGCGGCCGGTTAGTACTCACCAGACTAATATAATTAGGACTGCCCAGCATATCTAAATTAATGTTGGCTACGATCTTTTGCCACTCGTCAGGGTGGTCACGGCGCATGGAACGAACCCACTCTCGAGATCCAAGCAGGCCGATTTCTTCAGCTCCCCAGAAAGCAAAGACAAGTTTGCTATGGGGTAAAAATTGTTGATGGGCTTCCGATAAGACAATGGCCATTTCCAACAAACTACTTGATCCAGAGGCATTGTCCACCATCCCTGGACCAGCAGGGACAGAATCCAAGTGAGCTCCGACGACAATGCGTTGGCTGTCATTACCGAGTCGACCGACGCAGATAGTGTTGTGGGTATTTTCCAAGGTGATTTGTGTCTTGGTGGTAAGCGATAAACGCACGTGTGAGATAGACCCTTTCAGAGTTTGACCCACTGAATGAGAAGCGGCTATCACTGGAATGGTCATGAGAGGGTCACCTTGCTTCCAATCGGTAATACGCACTCGACTGAACAAAAGGGAGGTCCGATGGATGGAGTTGTAAAAAATGATAGCACTAGCCCCGGCTTTCTCTGCATTCCAAGCAGCGTCCCAAATGTCACATGCCTTGGAGGAGACAGGTTCTTCCATCAAAGCAATATGACCGGCCACGCCTTCGAAAGCCTCAGCGTTACAGCCATGGTCTGCTATGTGGACGATGGGATGATTGGGAAGAGACGCTGATTGGCCACCGTATCGCATACCTAATAGAAAAAAAGGCTATTAATGGCAGGAATGGACTCTAGCCCTTATCCTAGTTACACTACTTACTCCAAAAGTCAACGGAGTCTTGATAGTCAACGGTGACATTATCAGCAAAATGAGCGGTCAAGGTAGGTTTTCCCAATTGATCCCATACTGGCACTTGGAAGTGATGCACTTGCAAATCGCAGCGAGCCCTATCTCGCAGTTCCTGCATCACATAGGCTGCCGAGGCATTATACCCATGCTTAACACTCCGCGAATTATCATGGTGGCGAGCAATGTCGTACAGAGCCTGCAGGTGGCGATGGATGTTGGAGGTATGTAAGCGAGCAAGGATAGGATCATTATCGAGCGGCAATGGGTCCTTGTGAGCTGTCATGAAAATAATGGGTAAGTAAACGGTGCCTGGATGATACCAAACCCAAAAAAAATATTTAGACTTTTACCCCACTCTCGTTCAAAGTACAAAGTAATGACAGAAATGAAGGCAATGAAAAGAATGATGGTGGCAATGCCCAATGGAAGTAACCACACGGTGTGTTTACGGAAACCTATTCGACGGCCACGAGTGATACTTGGCGCCGGCAAAATGGACGATGAGCCTCTGCTCTTGTCTGTGCGAAAGGTTAGATTCCATTCACGGAGTAGGCAAAAACGGGGGGATACCATACCGGAATCCGTGCGTGCAACAGCAGCAGGTCTTAGCAATGGCCGAGACTCATCAGCAGACATGATTCAAGTAAGGCAGAAAGAGAATGCCAGGTTTTATTTTTATTTTATTTGGGTGGTTATAGAAAACCCAAAGAGGTGGCTGGTGAATTCGCGTTGACGCTGACGGACGGAACCAATGAAAAACCTCTTTCATACCATAAACCGAAAGACACTGGGATGATTTTTTAAAAAACAAATCTATAGTATATTTTTTTATTTTCATTTCATTCATTGATTGATTCCATGGAAAAGAAATACAACATCGGGCAGGCAGGGAAAACCATTACCCTAGCCGTAGAGTTTAGTTAGCCCGCTCAACCCAATGGCGAGCGTTGCGGAACATACGGAGCCATGGTCCAACTTGTCCCCATTGTTCTTCAGCAGGGTACCAAGAGTTGCTTTCCTTAAGAATGGCACGCTCAGGATGAGGCATAAGAGCAAGCACACGGCCATTAGGCGTGCATACAGCAGCAATGGCATCAGGAGCACCGTTAGGGTTGAATGGATACTGTTGAGTAGGCTGACCATAGTTATCAACATACTGGAGAGCGGTTAATTGACTGGCCTTGAACTGCTCATAGTCTTGGCTGGAGCGGAACTCAGCTCGTCCTTCACCATGGGCAACGGGAATAGGAAGGGCGGAGCCTTGCATGCCTTGGAAGAAGATGGAGTTTGTTTCTTGGCTGATGCGAACCATGGTGGTACGGCCTTCGAATTGTTCACTTTCATTTCGCTTGAAGTTGGGCCAGCATTCAGCACCAGGAATGATTTCATGGAACTGAGAAAGGAACTGACAACCGTTGCATACACCCAGAGCGAAGGTATCATTGCGGTGGTTGAAGAAGTCATAAAACTCGTTGCGAGTTCGTTCATCGAGCAACGCTGACTTGGCCCATCCAGAGCCAGCTCCGAAAACGTCACCGTATGAGAAACCACCACAAGCAGCAATACCGACAAAGTCCTTGAGAGTGACTTGGCCACTGATAAGATCCGACATATGCACATCCACCGCCTCAAACCCTGCCAAATGGAACGCAAAGGCCATTTCAATTTGTCCGTTGACACCCTGGTCACGAAGGATAGCAACGCGAGGTCGGCTAGTGTAAGTGGCTACAATGTTATCAGTAGGGTTGAAAGTCAGGTTGTAGTGAAGACCAGGATCCTTCGCATCCAAAATACTGTCGTATTCTTGTTGAGCACACTTGGAGTTATCTCGGTGAGATTGCATCAAATAGGATGTCTCGGACCAAATACGCTGGAGTTGGATACGGCTGTCAGCAAACACCGATTGGCCACGAAGAGAGAATTGGACAGCATCTTGAGCATTGTGTTGCTTGACCTTGCCAATAGCATGAATGGCAGAGGTAGGAACACCACCGGCCTCGAAGGCTTGAATCAAGGTGTTCAATTGAGCCTGTTCAACTTGAATAACAGCACCCAATTCTTCGTTGAACAAAGCAGCCACAACATCATCGTTGTGCACCAAGTGATCGAGCTCAACATCGACACCGACGTGACCCGTAAACGCCATCTCAGTCAGGGTAGTGAATAAACCACCGTCAGAACGATCGTGGTAGGCGAGAATGGGGCAGTTCTTTTCCGTGCTGTCGTGTCTAATTTGTTGCATGACATTGAAGAAATTCTTGAGAAGTGTAGCGTCTTCCACATCGGGAACTTCGTGACCGATTTGCTTGTAAACTTGAGCCAAAGCAGAGCCACCCAAACGTTGTTTGCCTTGAGCAAGATCAATGAATACCAGAACACTGTCGTCTACGTTTTGGAGTTGAGGCGTCAAAGTCTTGTGAGTATTGACAACGGTAGCGAAGCCAGTGATGATCAAAGACATAGGGGCAGTGACTTCATTCTGCTTGTTGTCTTGGTCGTTCCACTTCATCTTCATGGACATAGAATCCTTGCCTACTGGAATAGCAATGCCAAGAGCGGGGCAAAGTTCCATACCAATGGCTTGGACAGCTTCATACAAACCAGCTCCTTCACCAGCATGATCAGCAGCGCTCATCCAGTTAGCGGACATACGAACATACCCAATGTCCTTGATGTTAGCAGCAACAAGGTTAGTCAAGCATTCAGCAACGGCCATACGGGCAGAGGCAGCGTGGGAGATCAAAGCCAAAGGTGTACGTTCTCCCATGGCCATAGCCTCACCGGTGATGATGTCTTCACCGAGGGAAGTGGTAGTGACCGCGACATCGGCGACGGGAACTTGCCAAGGGCCAACAAACTGATCACGAGCGACCATAGCCGTGATGGAACGATCACCAATAGTGACCAAGAAAGACTTGGAGGCAACGGCAGGAAGGGAGAGGACACGCTTGACAGATTCACGGATAACATCACCACTCTGAACATATGACTTGAGCGAAGAGTCGAAGGGAATATGGTTGGATTTGACGGACTCCGTCTTGCGAGACATCTTGGGAGGTTTGCCGAACAACACCGACATGGGAAGATCAATGGGAGTGTTGCCAAGCAAGCTATCTCTGACAATCAACTTCTCTTCCTTGGTAGCCTTACCAACAATGGCAAAAGGACAACGTTCTCTCTTGCAAATGTCGATAAACGTGTCAGCACGATCAGGGCTAATGGCCAACACATAACGTTCTTGAGATTCGTTACACCAAATTTCCATAGGTGACATGCTGGGATCATCCTTGTGAACATCTCTCAATTGAATATCAGCACCGAGACCAGAGTCATGAACAATTTCGGGTAAAGCGTTGGAAAGACCACCAGCGCCAACATCGTGAATGGATTGAACAGGGGTGTTGTCACCAAGGGCAACGCAGAAATCAATCACCTGTTGAGCACGACGTTCCATTTCCGGGTTATCTCTTTGCACCGAAGCAAAGTCCAAATCAGCACTGCTCTGACCGGAAGCCATGGAGGAGGCAGCACCACCTCCCAAACCAATCAACATGGAAGGACCACCGAGAACAACCAACAGTGCACCAGGTGAGATAGGCTTCTTGAGAACATGAGCAGGTCGGACAGTGCCGAGACCACCAGCAATCATGATAGGCTTATGGTAACCGCGAACTTCTGGGCCATTCTTTCCAGGCACCTCTTCCGCGAATGTACGGAAGTAACCAGTCAAAGCAGGACGACCGAATTCGTTGTTGAAAGCAGCACCGCCAAGAGGACCTTCGATCATAATATCAAACGAGGAGGCAACATGGCTAGGCTTGCCAAAGTCGGTTTCCCAAGGCTGCTGATGGCCAGGAATGAGCAAGTTGCTGACCGTGAAACCAACGAGACCAGCCTTTGGCTTTGAGCCTTGGCCGACAGCACCTTCATCACGGATCTCACCACCAGATCCCGTAGCGGCACCAGGGAAAGGAGACACAGCGGTTGGGTGATTATGGGTTTCGACCTGCACATGGAAGATGTTAATGAAATTGAAATAATTGAGGCGAAAAAGGACTCAGTGGCAGGAAATATACCTTGCAAATCATGTGGACATCTTCTTCATAAAGATCATAAGCAAAGTTCTTGCTGCTATCCGGTGCAAAACGAGTTCCCTTGGAACCCTCAATGACAGCAGCATTGTCAGAATAAGCTGAAAGAGTGTACTGAGGATGCAACTTGTGGGTATTCTTGATCATGCCGAAAAGAGAGTGGGGTTTGAGTTCACCGTCAATGGTCCAATCTGCACCAAAGATCTTGTGACGACAATGCTCAGAGTTGACTTGAGCAAACATGAACAATTCAACGTCGGTAGGGTTACGACGCAAAGCATCTTGTTGTCCAACAAAAGCATTGATCAGGTAATCGATTTCGTCCCCGGCAAGAGCAAGGCCGAGCTCAGCATTAGCCTTGACCAGCTTTTCACGAGCCTCAGCGGTACCAGAGGATTGACCGAGCAAATCCACCACAGTCAAAGGAGCAGGCGATCCGTGCTTGAAAATAGCTTCCGAAGGGGGAACGGTGTCCATGAGGACTTGGGTCATACGATCATGAATAGAATCGGCGAACAGAGTCAATTCTTCCTTAGTCAAAGGGGTACCGTCGTTCTTGGAGATCAAATAAGCCACACCACGTTCGATGCGCTTGACATGGTTTTGAAGGCTGCAAAGGTGGGCGATGTTGGTGGCCTTGGACGACCAAGGTGAAATGGTGCCTTGACGGGGAGTGACCAAGACGATGGATCCGGCTTCAGTCAGGCTAGGGCCTCCTATCAAGAAATTTTCAATGGCAGCAGCGCTGTTGGCTGATTCCTTGGAGCTCAGGTTGGTTCCATAGCTAAGCAAGTTATCCAAAACCTGTCTGAGTTCAGAAGGCAGAGATTCGTCCTTGAGTTCTACGAAATGAACAAAAGACGCCGAAATCCCGGAAACAGAAGGGACCTTGGGCTGAATGGACTTTAAAAGAGCATTAGCCTTGAAGTCAGAAAGTGCTGCTGTTCCATGCAACACCAGCATGATGTGAGAGTTTTTGGAGGTAAGTTCGTTGACAGCCTATTCAAACTGGGGAAACAAAAAAAATGTTGAGATATTCAGTCGTATCTGTGACTGCTGATCCAAGTCACGTTAATTCCGTGTCCTGAGAGAGACCTCCAGCAGAACCACTTGCTTCGTTATGAAAGACCACACAGTATAGCCCATATCAACCAGGCACTCCCCAGATCTTTGAATAGTAGTTGCGCTAGTTTCATCTGTTCATAGTCTATCATCTGTTCTCCAAGACATCGCTGCCTGTATCTATTTCCAGGTCCGTTGCTGCAATTCTGAGTCACTGTTTTGAGAGGCAGCGCATTTAAACATCTTAGTATGTTTCACCTGCTCCAATCATTCGTACAGGCATTGTAGATATCGTACCTATTTGAAAATACAGTATAGGAAAAATCCTCAATGCTCCCAGTTGACTTGATCAACATGGTCATCACCGTCACGGCTGATATTTCAAAGTTTGGCGGTCAGAGCCATAGCCATCCATATGAGCTTTTTCATGAAATATACGATCCAACTGATGCCTAGGGCATTACTTACAGATCACTGTCTTTTTTCTACCGTGAATCCCTCATAATTTGATTTCAATTGACACTATATCCTCGTTTTCGCATATAATAGAAATTGCAATGTGAAAAATTTTCAAGACGACAGGCGCCAAGTTACTTTTTGATGAAATTCAAGCGCTATTCTTGTGAAGCCAGTTGATCTTTCCTACATTTAAATGGTTCCCTTTTACATTGAATTTATTTCTCGAAATACAGATATCTTTGATTCCATTCTAATGAAAAGACGAAATAATACTTCGCATATGTCTTATCTGGCCTCTTCAACTCCGTTCCTTAGCTTTCATCGATCGATTGGACCACTTGCTCACCTTGACTCGATATTATCAGCCTCGAGATAGCCAGCAAATGGTCTGAACTGGCAAGACCCTCTTCATCGGCACCTGTTTCCAGAACCAGTTGTAGCCAGGCTTCGAATTCATGTTCAGGGAGTTGATTGATGTTTTCATTCAGCCGTCCACCCAAAAACCCTTCACATCCTCGTAACTCTAGTAATTGGAGCTCAGGAAAGCTTTGGATCAAGCTTCTTACATCGCCAGGACGAGCATGGTAGGATAGCTGCTTGTAATTCCCTGTTTGGAGGAGGTCGCGATAAAATTGGCTCTGGTTGGCCAGGCGTGCAGGATCTTTCGTTGCAATATCTCTAAAATGAGCCAACTGAGATATGTAAGAGGTACAAAGAAGGCTTGTGGAATTTTTCTTCAGAATTCGCAACGCTTCTGCCATGGCTTGCCTACGTTCGCTCAACTGCACAAGGTGGTACAAAGGACCTAATAGGAGTACAGCGTCGAAAACGTCATTTTCAGGTACCACTTGAGACAGGTCACAAGCATTGGCCTGGGCAATGACAATATTGAGTCCCTCGCATTGAGCTTTGGTTCTGGCCATGTCCAGTAACACGGACGACAGATCGATCAGCGTCACTCGATAGCCTCGTCGAGCTAATTCCAAGCTATATCGACCGGGTCCACCGCCTATGTCCGCCACAAGAGCAGGTGGAGGCGGCAGATACTTTAGGATGGTAGTTAGTGTAACATGATACTCTATTCTATGCAGTTCCAAACGGTCCCATTCATCATGACGAAACTTGTCGTAAAGGGTTTGTACACCGGTGATATCCGTCATGATGCGTGTGGGCAATGGGAGTTGGAAGAGAAAAAAAGCAGAGAAGTTTTGGATTTTTATATTGCTGCGCAGATGCTGTGCTGTGCCTGTGAAATTAGAGCCTAGGCAAGCCAAGACGATCAGCGACTATCGAACGACCGGCTGAGGTTGTGTTACGGATATGAGACTGAATTAGGTAGCTTGTTGTTGTTGTTATGAGCAAAATGCTAGCAGCACAATAGAATGAAGTGGGGTTTATTATATGATGATGTTTGTAGCGTGTTGTAAATTCAGTTCAGTCCAGATATTCATGATGTTTGGATGAAGCAACGCTATTGAAATTTAAAGCTGGCGGTGTGAAATTTTTAGTTGGGAAGCTATGATGTCAGACTCAGCTGGTTCGCCTATAAAAGCAGAGGCCAAGTTTAACCTTTCTTCGAACCACTCGTTCTCCTTTTTTCTCACAAACAAGGTACGTTTTTACACTATACCATACTGCCCCTTTGCTTTAAACTGACATTCCTTCAGCATGCAAATCTTCGTCAAGACTTTGACTGGTAAAACCATCACTTTGGAAGTTGAGTCTTCCGATACTATCGACAACGTCAAGCAAAAGATTCAAGACAAGGAAGGTATCCCACCGGACCAACAACGTCTCATCTTTGCCGGCAAGCAGCTTGAAGATGGCCGCACTTTGTCTGACTACAATATCCAAAAGGAATCCACCCTCCACTTGGTCCTCCGCCTTCGTGGTGGTATGCAAATCTTCGTTAAGACCTTGACCGGAAAGACCATCACTCTGGAAGTTGAGTCATCCGATACCATTGACAATGTTAAGCAAAAGATTCAAGACAAGGAAGGTATCCCACCGGACCAACAACGTCTCATCTTTGCTGGTAAGCAACTTGAAGATGGCCGTACTCTTTCCGACTACAACATCCAAAAGGAGTCCACCCTCCATTTGGTCCTCCGTCTTCGTGGTGGTATGCAAATCTTCGTCAAGACTTTGACTGGCAAGACCATCACTCTTGAAGTTGAGTCATCCGATACCATTGACAATGTTAAGCAAAAGATTCAAGACAAGGAAGGTATTCCACCGGACCAACAACGTCTCATCTTCGCTGGTAAGCAGCTTGAGGACGGACGCACTCTCTCTGACTACAACATCCAAAAGGAATCCACACTTCATTTGGTCCTCCGTCTTCGTGGTGGTATGCAAATCTTCGTCAAGACTTTGACTGGCAAGACCATCACTCTTGAAGTTGAATCATCCGACACCATTGACAACGTGAAGCAAAAGATCCAAGACAAGGAAGGTATCCCACCGGACCAACAACGTCTCATCTTTGCTGGTAAGCAACTTGAAGACGGCCGTACTCTTTCCGATTACAACATCCAAAAGGAGTCCACCCTTCACTTGGTCCTCCGTCTTCGTGGTGGTATGCAGATTTTCGTCAAGACTTTGACTGGCAAGACCATCACTCTTGAAGTTGAATCATCCGACACCATTGACAACGTGAAGCAAAAGATCCAAGACAAGGAAGGTATCCCACCGGACCAACAACGTCTCATCTTCGCTGGTAAGCAACTTGAGGACGGCCGTACTCTTTCCGACTACAACATCCAAAAGGAATCTACTCTCCATTTGGTCCTTCGTCTTCGTGGCGGTGACTCTGCCTAAACTATCATACAATCGTACCCTGTTTTTTTTTTTTTTTTTTTCAGCATATCATCCTAATGCACTCAACCCATTCTCTATTGTTTACTCTGTATATGACCGCGCGAGCTAGCGAACCAAACCCTTATGTGAAAACTTATGCTACACTACCAACCCATATTGCAAACCACTATAGCTCACCCCATAAAATAAAACACGAGTATAGGAATGAATAACCCATGAATTGGTGTATGATTATTGGGAATAAGAAGAAAAGGGGACAATTTTTTTTTTGGTAAAGGTCCACTGGGGAGGATCTCAGTAAGCGTTTTCAGGGAAAGGGCCAAACTCTGAGATTTTTTCTACTTTTTGGCCAGTGGATGAAGGCAAGTAAGCGATTCGCAGACGGAATCTCAAGGGAGTCTAAGGAAGAAGAAGAAAAAACAATGGGGCAAGTTAGAGTTGAATCCAGTCCTTCCATACAGCACTTTCCTGATCCCTCTCTTACCTGCTGAGGATTAGCAACTCGCATCATCTGCTTCTCGCTACTACCAGGCTGAATGACATTGCTACTGGCAGGTGCCATTTGCAGTCGCTGGGTTTTTGGAACGGCCGCCTGGAACTGCATATCGGAGATAGTACCTTGGCTACCATCGTTAGCAAAGGTGATTTGGATATTGATGACCGTTGGGTTCTGCTGGTCTCGAGAAGGCGTGAGATAGATCACCAAACCATCTTGAGCAAATGCTTGGTGTCTGTTATCTCGGCCATTCGTGGCAGAAGGCAAGGCTTGGCCAAGAGAAGCCATGTTCTGCAATCCACCAGTAGGCGAAGTAGCACGTTGTTGTTGTACTTTGGGTGAGGTAGGCGTGTCTTGGCCAAGCATATCGAGCAGACTGCCGCCACCCATGGAGGGGGGAGGGGATTGAGGAGCAGGTTGAGATCCTGATCCAGAACCGAAAATGTCAGCCAAGAGATCCATGTTGTTACCGGCCGGAGGTGCTTTGGAAGTCGTGGAGGGGGATATTGGTGAGGCCTCGGGCGTAGCTTGTGCTGCTCCTCCAGACGCAGTACCAACACCCATCAAATCCAACAGGAGCTGGAAGGAAAAGAAAGTGAATAAACATGACTTGCCGTCAGAAAGGCATCGGGAAGCCCACTTACATCTTGATCACTTGGTCCAGCCTTAGAGGAGTGACCGCCATCCAAAGCTAAAGGGACGTTCGATGAGTTCACACTCCATCATCACTAGGCAAAGGCAACTAAACTTACAGGGAGTGCCACGACCACCGGTAGTTTCGCTCATGAGTCGCTCTTCGGGAACAGGCATACGCTCCAACACCGCTGGTCGAATGTTGTCATAACTAAACAGATTGGTATACTCGACAGCACGCTGCTGAATCTCTACCTCCATGCTAGATGTAAATTTCTGAAGAATGCCTTGAATACGATGAAGGACTGTGGTATCGTTGAATCGAGCAGAGAGTTTCATCAAGGATGTAGCAATGTACTCGCGAGTGACTTGGTTAGCGTAAGGTCCGTTCAAGATAGATTCGAAAAGGTTGAGTATATCTCCTTCCGACACCTGTGAGGGGGGAATATCCAAGTCAATGCATATATACATAAGGGTCTGGACGTAGTTAAACAATATGTACCTCCTTCATGACATCGTCATCTTCGAAATTGCCTCCAGACACCAATACATCACCGTATTCGCCAATGACCCACACACCAGCCAATACCAAGGCCTCCTAATATATAATGAAAGGCTCTCTTTAGAAGTGTCCAGTCGAATGTATGCAGCAACTCCATTGTACTTACTTGAGAAATGTCGCTCTTGAGAGCAGAGTACAACTTTTGTACAGTATATTGATGCAAATCAGATGATTGCGCAACCAAGCGAATGAATCCAGCCAAGTTTTCTTCTCGAACATAGTTTCCAGCCTGCAAAGAAAAGAGATCAGCATCACATCGACCGGACCATCCAACCCAGGGCCACCATTCCTTACCAACTTTAGAACGCGAAGCATGGTATCAATGTGCCATCGTCGGTTGGGAGCAAACTTGGTAGCAGCCAATGCTATTTTGATGGTCATGCTCTGCTTGAACTCACTATCAGCAACCTCAAGGAAAGCCAGCAACTCACGAGTCAAGACTCGGACGTTGCTCTCATTAATCAAAGCAAAACTGAGTTCCAAGGCACGGCGACGGATAGAGATATCGCCATCACGTAAACAGTCCATAATAATATTTCTATGACGTTGAACGGCTTGCGTATCGATGTTGACAGTTTTGTTAAGGGTCTCCAAAGCGACATAGCGAATGTTGTTATCTCGGTTGCCTAAGAACTTTCCGAGAATGTTGACAGCAAGGACTCTAAGACCTGCTTCACTTTGAATGCCCATGATGGTCAACACAGTTTCGTAGAGAATAGAGTTACCGACATTTTTGGAGCTTTCGGTGTTGGTGGCGACTTGTGCTAAAACATCGTTCATGGCATCTGATGCTTCTTGGTCGTTGGCGGCCAAAATACGCATGAGTCGGAGGATCTTAACTTGAAGGAACGGGTCGGTGAGGCCGGTCACATCATGTTCAGGCGAGAACCCAGCCGTGATCAAGTTTTTGAGATTTCGAACCAACAGTGGGACAGCCTATAAGAAACCAATATAAGCCTCAATTTTAACAACATTTTGCCAGCCGGTCCTCACCTTCTTGAAGATTTGAAGCGTTTCTGAGCTTTGTTGGCACATTTCTGTTATCAAGGTAATGCCAGCAATTTGAACACCATGGCTTTTATCGGCCAAAAGCGATTTGGCTTTGGATACAAAGTTTTCCTGCAAGTCAGGCACTCGTCGAATGATGCGAAGAGCACACAAAGCAGCCTGGAAAATGAAAATCGTTTCAGTGATGCATGTTGAAAACGCGGATCAAACCTCGACGGCATACCGACCTTTTTCCGAATGTAAGTGTTGGAGCTACCGAGTAGCTTTTCCACTTCTCCGCACAAATCGCGTGCCATTTCAGGCGACGATATATTACCTAATGTACAGAGAGCCAAGCCAACAATGTACATATTCGAGTGGTTCATATCACTACAAGCAAAGAATATAAGCCGAGCCGTTTTCAAGTCAAACTAGGACACCGATGGACTTACTTCTTCAAGCTATTGGTCACCAAAGTCAAGACTTCGGTCTTTTCGTCAATCAAAAGCATGATACCCAAGTAACCCAATCGCTTATCAGCAAATTTGGGGCCAGCTACAAGCTTAAGGCACTCCATTTGACCAAAATGAGCAGGATAGCCCAGCATATGAATGTACAGTAACTTTGAAACGTTGGCATGTCGACTTTCGCTGTTTTCCTCTTTGAAAGCAGTACGGATGTTGGCGGATTCACGCTGGATGACGGCACGTTCGTCTGCAGCGGTTTTGCAAGCTCGAATGGCCTTGATGAGATCTAGATAGAGATGGACGCTTTTTAGCCAAGAAAGTAGGTGGTGGACAGACAAGCCATGCGAACTCTACCTTTCAATCTATACAGGGGGAGCTTGGCAAGAATTTGTTGCGAGATGCTGTTGATGCTGTTCATGGTGCAGACAGAGATGTTTCAATGGACTCGATGCCTCAACGCTTTGAAAGCAATCAGAGATGCGATGAAGGAAAAATGCCACGGGATGAGCCAACTTCACTTCGGGCTTTACAAAAACTACCCGCCAGGCCCCCCCCCCCCAAATTTGAACTCCCGCCTGGCTGCTGTAAAGACATCCCACACAACAAAAAACGAAGAGAGAAGAACAGAACAGCTTTCTAAACCGAATGCTAATGATGTTCCGAGGAATGGATAAATATTACCTTGAGAGAGGCGTACCTCTCGCATTGTTCCCACAGCCCTACAATGCGACCTATCAACAAATTCGCCCATTGGACAACCCACCCCTCTGCTTACCATCCATACCCTCCGCGCTACGTTTTCCCTCTGCGTCGTCAATGTAATCTATGGTAATAAGCATATTTCATGGAACAGTAAGAATGTCTAGGGCAACGGTGGAAATGTCCCAAAGCGGAAAGATTGGATTAGCGTTGTGTCAGATTGCTTATGCATAACTGGAGGAATATAAACCAGATCTCTAAATCGGTTCGAGTTTCAATTGCCCTTTCTTTCCATGAGTTACGGTAGGAGTTTGAAGGACTGGTACTATCAGAGGCAATGGTTCATGCGATATCCACAGAGAGATGGATCCTCCTCCAGTATAGACGACCATTATGCTGAAGACCAGTCGAGCCGGTCCATGTCGTTGGCCAGTGATCATTTGCAGGCTGCTCGCAGAGTGGACACCAACCGATCACTGAAACGAGGTGAATACTACCTTCGACGACCCACCAACAAAGTCAGGCTTCGAAGGATTCCCGAAGGAGGTCGTCGTGTGTTCGTTAACCTGCCTTTACCGAAAACCGAACGAACTGCCCAAGGCCATCCCAAGCGACACTATGTATCTAATCGCATCAGGACTTCCAAATATACCCTGTTGTCCTTTGTGCCTAAAAACCTGTTCTATCAGTTTTCTCGTTTGGCCAACGTGTACTTCTTAGGCATGGCCATATTGCAAATGTTACCGTATTTCGGTATCAATTCCCCGGTTCTGACAATGCTCCCCATTTGCTCGGTGCTTTTTATTTCGGCGGTCAAGGATGCGTTTGAAGATTATCAGCGACATGTTTTGGACAATAAGTTCAATACCCAGAGTTCTTACACCTTGGCTGGTTATCATAACGTCAACTATGCCGCCAAGACACGCTCATGGTTTGGAAAACATGAACCCTCTGTGGTGCCAGAAGAACTACAAGGCAAATTTCATCATTCGTACTCACAAGATGTTCGCGTAGGTGACTTTTTGTTACTTCGAAATGGAGATAAGGTACCTTCAGACTGTGTGCTACTGGCGTCCTCAGATGAAACGGGCGTTTGCTACGTTGAAACTAAAGATCTGGATGGAGAGACCAACCTTAAACCCCGCCAATCTGTGATCGATACCATGCACATTCAGTCTGGCCAAGAATGTCTGGATTTGCACTTCTATGTGGAGTCGGAAGCTCCGCACCCAAATCTGTATCAATTCGAAGGAACGTTGGTTCTACTGGGAAAACCAACCGAAGACGAGGAGGCGCATTTAGCCCCACGAGCTTCAACGTCCAACTGGGAAGAAAAAAAAAAGACACCGATTACCATTGACAATATGTTGTTGCGTGGTCATATCATTCGAAATACTCGATGGATCATAGCCAACGTCGTATTCACGGGCACTGATACCAAGATTATGCTGAACTCCGGTGAGACGCCCACGAAACGAAGTGAGATCGAAAAGGAACTGAACGAAGAAGTAGGTATTATTATTTTTTTATAGAAAAAAAGAAGGGAAGGAATGGCATGGATGAGCTCAACGTTGATGGTGGTTTATAGATTTTTGTGGCCTTTATCTGCTTGTTCTTGCTATGTCTATTGTGTGCAGTTGGAAATGGTCTTACCATTGCTGCTCAACGACGGACTTTGGCTGCGCAGACATTCGACGATGTTTCAGGTTCTCCAGCCTGGAATGGATTCTTAACGTTTTGGTAAGTGGGAGACAGGAACGAATATGAGAATGGCAACAATTAGACTAATGGCATTGGTCATTTCAGGGCAAGTTTGATTATCTTCCAGAATATCATTCCAATTTCCTTGTATGTGTCCATCGAGTTTGTCAAAACCATGCAGGCATTCTTCATCTACAATGACCTTGATATGTTTGATGAAGAATCAGGTGCCTTTTGCATTCCACGTTCCGTAAGTATTAAATTTCTGCGTAAGAAAGCATCATCAAATATCCAAGCAAACCAACGTACTATTTCGTTTACCAGTGGAATCTTTCCGACGATTTGGGTCAAGTCCAATACATTTTCTCTGACAAGACTGGAACACTGACCAGAAATGTCATGGAGTTTCGAAAATGTACCATTGGAGGCAAGGTATATGGAGACAATGGATTTTCACCAGAGTCAGAAGGAGCCAGAGGAGCCAGGTTGCGTCAAGAAAGAGAAACGGCCGAGACCAATGGAGATTTTGGGCAGGAGAAAGTGCGCGACCCGGAAGCAGAAGAACAGCAATTTTTGGCGCAAAGAAAAGCGATCTTTGAAGAATACAAAACGCTTATCCATTCGCAGTTTGATCCAAAATACTCAAGCTTGGATATCGATAAATTGACCTTTGCTGACCCTGAAGTGTTCAAGGACCTGAATGGTGATAGTGACGAGAAGACGGGCATCATGACCATTGATGAAAGAGAACCCTTGACGATTTCCCAAGTGCCACCCAAAAATCGACAGCAGCAAGCTGTGAAAGAATTCTTTACAGCGATTTCACTGTGTCATACGGCGGTGGTGGAACGGATCGATAAACACGGAAACGTAATAGATGATTCGCTGGCAGATGACCTTGAAGATGGCACCACCAAGCCTGAGCCTGATATCATCAGTCATGAGAAAGGACACGGCAGTTTTCTCAAGTCTGGAAGCAAAACATCCACGGTGAGCGATAGCTTGGCGTCATCGAATCCCTCTATGACGGACGGTGATTCATCCTCTCGACCCACACCCGTAAGCAGTAGTGCAACCAAGCGGTCGAGGTTCAGGCAAGTTCTGCATAATCAGAAGCTTCGAATCACGAACAGAAGCTCCAAGCTGTCGCTACGTCGATCCGATCGAAGAGGAAGTCGAGGAACTGAATTTGACGCTGTACCAGGCCAGAAAGCAAGAAAGGTTGATACCACAGTTGAGGAACAACTTGCCTACAAATCCGAGTCACCGGATGAATCTGCTTTGGTGACAGCGGTCAAGGATGTAGGCTTTACTTTCCTCAAGCGAAAGGGAAATATTTTAACCATCGACATTCTCGGTCACCTATATGACTATGAACTACTGAATGTCATCGAATTTAACTCGACACGTAAACGAATGAGTGTGATTGTTCGCCGTCCCGAACCTTGGAACGATATCATTGTGTACTGTAAAGGAGCAGACAATGTCATGATTGAGCGACTCAGACCCGGCCAAGAGAATGATGTCAGTGAGCTTTCCAAGGATATCGAGGGCTTCTCCAATGAAGGGCTGCGCACCCTCGTCTTCGCATATAAGAGTATGCCAGATGAAGAGTACGATGTGTGGAGTGAAAAATTACACAAAGCAAGTACAGCGACGGAAAATCGAGCCGATGAAATAGATTCAGTGAACGAGGAGATTGAAAAGGGCTTTACCTTACTTGGCGCTACAGCCATCGAAGACGAACTTCAACATCAAGTACCTGAATGCATTGAAGCTCTAAGAAATTCAGGCATCAATGTATGGGTGTTGACTGGAGACAAGGTTGAAACGGCGATCAATATTGGCTATGCTTCCAACCTACTTGGAAAGGACTCTAAACTATGGATTTTACGAGGTAATCCAGAATCAGCTGAAGTTCTCTCCGACTTTGAAGATATGATTGCCAAGATGGACCGAGAGCGTGAAGAAGTAGAAACTGAAATTGATAAGAATTCGCAACGAAGGAGCATTAAACCCCTTCCAGAGTATGCGTTTGTAGTGGATGGTCTTGCTTTAAAGCATCTTTTGGAAACAGAAGAATCCCAGGCTAGACTTTTGCAAGTCGTCTTGGTCTGCAAGTCGGTGGTATGCTGCCGAGTCAGTCCGCTTCAAAAGGCATTGGTGGTGGAACTAGTCCGCCGTGGTCAAGGAGCCGTGACGTTAGCAGTTGGAGACGGAGCCAACGATGTTTCGATGATCCAAGCCGCCAATATCGGGGTTGGTATTTCCGGACAAGAAGGGGCCCAAGCTTCCATGTCGGCTGACTATGCTATAGCGCAATTCCGGTTCCTCAAGAAGTTGCTGGTGGTTCAAGGCCACTGGAGTTACGACCGAATCTCGGAAATGATTCTCAACTTCTTTTACAAAAACGTCGTTTGGGTGTTTGGTGCACTATGGTTTCAAATTTTCAGTGGATTCTCCGCCAACATCTTTTACGACTACTCGTTTTTACAACTGTACAATTTAATATTTACCGTAGCCCCAACCTGCGTTATAGGCAAGTATCTACCCTCCATTGACTCCTTCACTGCCCCATGTTAACATTTTTTCTTTCTTGGTGTCTAGGATGCACCGATCAGGATATCACCAAAAACTATTTGTTTCGATATCCAGACACCTACGAAATTGGCATTCGTAAAAAACTATATACAAAGAGACGATTCTGGTTCTTCTTTCTCGAAGGCATCTACCAGTCATGCGTCATCTATTTTGCCTTTCATTTACTTTATTTCGACGGGGCACTGCCTTTACAAAATGGCCTGGCAAGCTCTTATCTGGAACTGTCATGCGCAGTGGCCATCACGATTATCACCGTAGCCAATCTGGAACCAGGCTTCAATACTCGTTATTGGACGTGGTGGCAGTTCTTCTGTATTGGACTCGAGATTGTTCTCATGGTGATATGGGTGTTAGCCTACAGTTCGTTTCCAACGTCTATGCAAGACATTGGTTTTATCGTGTTTGGCAATCCCAACTTCTGGTTGACTGCTGTGTTGTCTATCATCGTGGCCATGGCGCCCCGCTATATCATCACGTACTATCACAGTTGGATCCGTCCTAATAAGATCACCATGGTCCGGCAGATAGAAAAGTCTGAAAAGCATAGAAGATAATCCATGCTGTTGTTTGAATATAATACACTGCTTTCATGATCTCCCCCCTTGAAGTGTAAAGTGACGCAGGTCACGGGAACTGAGGCGAAAGGGATGAAAGGCGAAACGAGACAACTGGTCCTCCGCCTGCATTCCTGCCTGCCTGAAATTTGCTGCTGACTGAGCATTTTCGTTTGGGTTTGCTGCTCTATTAATTCTCTCCTGCTACCGTTTGAATTCTTCTCTACACGCTTTTGTACCAAGCATTCTGAGATCTTTCCACACCACATTCACACACACAACTCAGTGCGTGCAAGTGTTTATATTGAGAGCTCATTAAGAAGCCTACCTACCCCCACTTTTTTATGGACCGATCACGTTCTAGCAACTCTCAGAAAGTAAAAAGGACCACTCTTGCTAGCTCTCCCCATAAACCCTCTTTATCAGACACAGACACCGCAGCAACCACCAGCCCTTGCCATTCCAGCAAGGATCTTCGAAAGCAACCTAGCACCAGTTCCTCGTCAAACTTGATTTCAGACCAAAGCACGTCAGCCAGGTAGAGTGGTTTTTTGAGGGGCCTTGTGTTGGCTATTTGATGCTCTTTGTAACACCATCCTTCACTAGTAACTCCACACGCAAGCGGAATAGAACCACCAACTCTAATTCTAGTAGAAAATTACCACGAACCGAACTCACTGCTCGTAAGCGACAACTTTCCCCCAAGAAGAAGGCGAACCAAAAAGGCAAAGACGCAGTCCAGAGTACTGTTATGTCTGGCAATAAACGTGGACATAGACAAACTAGTAAAAAATACATGTCCTCCAACGACGATGACATTCTTTTAGATGTCAAAACCAAAGGCAAGGCCAAGGCCAGCTCGTCATCCAATGGAACGGGGAAGAACATGTAAGAAATGAGCCTCTTGTAAGACACCCCCCCTTCCTCTATAGTAACCTCTCTTCCAGTGAACGACGAGTGGGCAGAGCCGGAAGTCGTGCAGCCAAGAAACAAGCTGATCCTAAAACACTGGATGCTACCGATGAACAAGAAGAGAGCAACAATGACGCCATCTCTCGGTTTACCAGCTTGTTCAGTCATGCAGACAGTGACACCGTACAACATGCATTGGAGGATGAAAATTATTCCGAAGACGAAGATGGCGATGTGCATATGCATACCTTTGACGATGCCGTTGAAGAAGAGTATGACGACGACGATGATGATCCAGAGGAGGAAGATGAACACGTAGAGGACGACGAAGAAGATGATGATGATGAGGAGGAGGACGAGGAGGATACCAAGGATGAGTTTGACTTTACTGGTGCCGAAGGTGACATGCCGGCTGATATGCGACGATTCTTCGCCAGTATGCGTGGACTGGGTGGTGTACGCGATATGATGTCGGACCAGTCAAAGCGAATGAAGTCCATTCTCATCAACTTGCGCAACCGAACTGATCCTTCCATGCAATTAGTGGCCCTGCAAGGTTTGGCTGAACTGCTTTCTGTCAGCACGGAAGATACTCTGGCTGGCATTTTCAACTCCGAACCGTATGTGAAAGAATTAGTTCATATTCTCAAAGGCAGCGAGTCCATGATTGGCCACGACGACATTGACGATGCAACCTTGGCTGCCATTATGGCTAGTGGTGGAGATTTTGGCGCTGGTAATCCTGAAATGATGTTGTTGGCTTGTCGATGTATCTCCAACCTCATCGAAGCCATGCCAAGCGCTATGGGCACTGTCGTCTACAGTGGTGCTGTGCCAGTCCTTTGCCAAAAGCTGAAAGAGATTCAATATATCGACTTGGCTGAGCAAGCCCTTAGTGTAAGTTGTCCAAATGGGAAATATATACGCTTTCGCCCATGTAACTCACACATACTCTCACCATCTTAGACCCTTGAAAAAATATCGGCAGAATTTCCAAACGCTGTGGTTCGAGAAGGTGGATTGAGCGCCTCCCTCATGTATATAGATTTCTTCAATACCCATGTACAAAGAACCGCCCTCACTATCGCCGCCAATTGTTGTCGCAATATTTCATCGGATGCCTTTGCACAGGTACAGGACATTGTACCCATTCTCACCAATACCATCACCTATTCCGATCAACGAGTGGTAGAGCAATCATGTCTTTGCTGGCTTCGACTGGCCAAGAGTTTCAAGAACCAAAGGGAATCGTTGGAAGCCATAGTTTCAGAAGACTTGCTAAAAACCATGGTCGGATTTATTGCTGGATCGGGGTCGTCCAACTCCATTGGCCCACAAGTGTTTAGCAGTCTGATGCAATTCCTCAGCATTGTTGCTAAAAGCTCACCCACCTTACGCATCAAACTTCTTAGCGAGAATATCATTGATATTTTATTCCACATTCTCACCGGTGGTGTCGCCCCGCCTACGGAAGACCTTCAGTCCACTATTGTCGTCTCCTCCATTGCGCCCAAATCCAACAATGCTATCTTTGAGATCTTGGATATTCTGGTAGGATTGTTACCTGACCTACCTACGGATGGCATTTTCAGCACCAAACCTCAAGCACTACTCAAGCCCGATGGCACGCCAGTAGAGGCACCCATCGCTAGCAGAACCCGATCATCCCATAGTCGGACCAATAGTGATGAAGTTACTGTGGATGAATCAACCGCATTATGGAGGGAACGACCTCATATTGCTGAACGTATATGTCAGATTATGGTCCCTACTATGTTTGAAGTGTATTCTTCTACCGTTAACCTACAAATTCGACAAGTCGTCATGACCATGTTGCTGAAAATCATCTACTTTTCCGATACCCAAGTCCTTGAGCGTGTTCTCATTACCATTCCTTTGGCTGGATTTATCGCTGGTGTGTTGGCGCAAAAGGAGCATTCATCCTTGGTTGTTACCGCCCTGCAATTGGCTGACCTCCTGTTGACTAAATTACCTTCGCTGTATACATCGCATTTCGAAACCGAAGGTGTTATTTTTGAAATCCGTCGTTTGGCCAGCTCGTGTGATGACAAACAAGCCAGTTCAGAAGAAACCAAGGCATCGTCGTCCTCTACCAGTTCAGAAAAACCACCCACCACCGCGGAGGAAGAGGTCCAAGACTCTAGTCAAGCGTCTGCAGCTGACAAGTTAGAATCCGAATTGCAGGCTATCTTTGGCGACCGGGAATTAGATGTCTCCTTCACTTCGGGGATGCGTCTATTTGATCGTCTCAAGAAATCATCGACCTCGGGCAATAAGAGTCAAGGAGACACGCAAGAATGGCTCAGTGTAACTGCGCAAAACTTTCTCATCCTGTACTCTAATACCACCAAGATTAGCGAAGCATCTCACACTGAGGGTACCGACCATTTGAAACATGTAGCGGAATGTCTCCAGGGCCGTAGCCAAGACATGACGCCTAAAGCCGCTTTACAAGAGATTGCCGCCAGGTACAGATCTGGATCAGGTATCAGCTCTTTTGAGTTGATGAACACAGGTTTGATCGACGGCCTTTTATCGTATGTAACCACAACTGGAACCGAAGGTAAGCGAATATTTCCAGAGCTTGGTTCTTTTTTTTTTTTTTGCCATGAAAAAGATACTGATCTTTTTACGGTGTATCCAATAGATGCTGAGCTCAACTATCGACACCACATGTTCATGCATGTTTTCATGGGTGGACCTGATCCTGACTCCAAAGACCATGACCTTCATGCTACCACCACCGAGGAAACGACCAATGTTTTCCATGTTCTTGTCAGCAAATTGCAAGATTCTTTGAACAGATTGGAATCCTTTGAAGTCGTCACCCCTTACCAAGGCCCTGTAGATGGTAAGGCATTACACCTCCACCTGATGATGAATTTCATATTCTGGTTTTAAATTAAGATACTTATATGCTCTTTACTTCCAATACCGCTGTATTTCAACATTTTAGATATGCGACGAAATCCTACAGGCATGTTGGCCAAACAATTGAGGCTGAAGTTGACTGGAGATGGAAGTGATATACCTAGAGCATACCAGAATCTAATCGTGTCTGTGCATGCTGTTGCCACGTTCAAAGCCATTGATGAATACCTGCGACCAAGGATATCAAGAACTTCCCTGGAGTCTCGTGATAAACTTCGAGCAGGGATTTCTCGACGACAACGGAAGAACAAGGAGGCTGATGCAACTGAGTCCACGACCTCGCAAGCTTCCGAAAAGCCAGAGGAAGCGTCCGACGCTGCGTCCAAAGATGTTGCCGCTGATGAAAAACAGGTACCGGCCAATGACAGTGTCGAGTCCAGTGACGTAAGTGGAAGTTTCCAAAAGGTTTTTGCTTTGTTACTAGCCTGTTGACGAACCCACGTGTCATAGGATGTAACTGCAGGTGAGATCGGAACCGACACACCGGTCAGCGAACGAACGGTGGAGATGGAGATCACAGATGAAGGGGTGGCTACGAAGGAAGATCGATCAGCAACGTCAAGTGTAGCCTCTGAGAAACGAAGCAAACCAGAATCGTATTCAGCAGCCTTGAGTATGAGCAGCAAAGACTGGCATATTGAATTCGCCATTGACGATATCCCCATCACCGTTGACACCACCATCTATGGAGCCATTCATCAATATGAAAAACGGTTAGGGAACAGCCGTAACGTATGGACCGCGACCTATCCCATTACCTACAAGAAAATTGCTGGTGAAAGTCCGGCCAAGGACACCAAACCCGAGGTCAATGAGACCAACGTATCTCCGTTTGTAGTATCGGACATGCCAAGTGGTCAAGATGAATGCAGCAAGATCCTACACCTTTTACGAGCGCTGGATAGTATCAATGCTCGATGGCCTGAATTATACAATGGCGATGCCGATATTCGTCGGTCCAAATCCAGCATCAAAACCCTGTTCAAGCATGATTTCCATAACCGCAAACTCACAGCCAAGCTCAACCGACAGTTGGACGAACCATTGATCGTAGCGAGCTCCTGTCTACCGGAATGGTGTTATGATTTGGCCAAAGGGTTCCCATTCCTCTTCCCGTTTGAGACGCGGTACCTGTTCTTACAAAGCACGTCCTTTGGTTACTCTAGGTCGATGAACCGTTGGATGAACCAACAGGCTCGTGGCGGGTCACTGGATACAAGACGAGATGAAAATCAGCCTTTCTTGGGTCGTATTGACCGACAGAAAGTCCGTATCTCTCGATCGAGAATGCTAGAGTCGGCCGTCAAAGTTCTCGAACTGTATGGCAAATCTCAATCTGTTCTAGAAGTTGAATATTTCGATGAAGAAGGCACTGGTTTAGTAAGTAGAAGTCGATTCGCTCTTGCCCTTTATTCCAAACCGTTGACATTTTCCTCTTGCAGGGTCCTACATTGGAATTCTATGCTATCATCTCCAAGCAGTTCTGTAAAAAGTCCATTCATATGTGGAGAGATGATGACGATAAAGATGGTAGCCAATACGTAGGTGCCAAGCTTGGATTATTCCCTAGGCCAATGTCGGCTACTGTGGCCAATTCGGACAAAGGAAGGTGAGGAGAAAAAAAGAAAAGACCGGCCAAGACCATGATAGCTGACCCACCATTTAGAAAAATCATCAATCTCTTCAAAGTCCTTGGTCAGTTCGTCAGCAAGGCCATGCTGGACTCTCGCAACATTGACATTCCTTTCAATCCTATTTTCCTAGCCAAGATCCTGGATCCGGCTTACGCCACTGACATAACCACCATAATGGTACGACGACACTTTGCATGCTTTTTGGGACTTCTTGTTGCTAATGTTCTTCATTGTTCTTTTTGCTCGCCCCTAGGAAATTGATGCTCCACTTGCCAATTCGCTACTACAGCTACAGTCCTTTGTAAACCAAAAGCACGCCGTGTATGCTACTGGACAAGCACCGTATGATACAGCGCTGGCTTCCATTCAAGTACAAGGAGCTACCCTGGATGACCTTTGCTTGGACTTCACTTTACCTGGAGACAGTGACATGGAGCTCAAGGCCAACGGGTCCCAGATTCCAGTGACGATTCACAATGTGGATGAATATTTGGGTCTGGTGATGGAAGCGGTGACTGGGTCTGGTATTGCTCGTCAAGTGGAAGCCTTCCGATCTGGGTTCGATGGCGTGTTCCCTGTCAATGACTTGCGGCTGTTTTCTCCCGATGAATTGGCATCCTTATTTGGAAAAACTGTCGAAGACTGGAGTTATACAACGTTGGTTGACGCCATCAAGGCGGACCACGGCTACAACATGGAGAGCAAATCCATCAAGTCTTTGGTGGAAATCATGACGGAGTTCACCATGGAAGAACGTCGAGAGTTCCTTCAGTTCATCACCGGTAGTCCCAAGCTACCCATTGGAGGTAACCGACGCTTTTTATGTATTGGCCATTTTTTGTACAGCAGAGTGTTTTAACTTTTTTTATGATGATGCTTATCCAGGTTGGAAGAATCTTAACCCTATGTTTACCATTGTTCGCAAACCGCATGAACCCCCTCTCACTTCCGACGACTACTTGCCCTCCGTCATGACGTGCGTTAATTATCTCAAGCTGCCCGATTACTCTGGCAAAGATACCATGCGCCAACGTCTATTGACGTCCATCACCGAAGGCAAGGGAAGCTTCCTCCTCTCGTAACCCTGTATACACCGTTTTTCTTCCACCCAGGCAGCCAGCATCCCCCCCTTTTACAACCACCTGGTTCATTCGTTTCCAAGCTCCTTGTTTGAAATATTTTCCTCTTTGTCTTTTCTCAACAACCTGCTTTTTCGTCCTCCAGCATGTATAATAGTGCACTTGGTCCTCTGAACGATCAAACTAGAAAATGAAAAAAAATCCCGAAAAAAAAAAAAATTCCACGGTTCACTGGGTGCTCGTTGTTTTCTAACGCTCATCTTCTATTTCGGTTGGTTTGCTTTTGGTTCAAAAAATTTACGATTAGACAAGATGACAATACAATAAGACGACGGGTTGAATACATGTGCGTAGAGATGAAATGGAGTGTGAGGCAATTAAAAAAAAATAAAAAAAGCGGTGGTTGGGGGCCACTTGGCATAGGCTGAGAGAAAAGAACATGTACAGGAAGGGCAGACGTGGTAGGGCCAGCCTAAGGAGATGAAGGGGGTGGGTTATATTGGGGAAGGGTTTTAAGCTTATGAGGGGATAAATGAATTAAAAGTGATCGGACATCACGATTTCCAGTCAGTAGCGGTTGGCTTCTCGCTCCAAGGATGGAACCGACATGCTCTCCGTGCTTTCCGTAGACGCATTGCTTGTGGAACTCTGTTGACTAGTTTCACGATTGGTTTTAGGCCGCTCATCATGGCCTCGAATAGAAGATTGGCGATGCATCACCGATAACGTTCGATAGGGTTGAGAGATACTTTCGCCGCTGCTAGATCGTGTCAAGCTTTCCCAGGTCCGTGGCGCTTCGGCCGCCGGTGGTGGGATGGTGGACGGTTGTGGTTGCGTGAAAAGACTCTCGGTGCCGCTGCTGCTACCCAAATTCCCAAGGGAAGGGCTGTGGGCTCTTGAATCTCGCATTCCTCGTCTCAGCCGCGGACGACCTAATGCTCGATCTGGTAGGTAGGAGACGAATTTAGAGTGTAGGGGAAAGATAATATAAAGGGGGAGAAAAATGGCGTCAATTCGGTGTTGAGGTCGAAAAAGGGTTTGGGGTTAAAACCAACTTACCTGATCCTTGCTGTTCAAATTGTCGAAGATATTCTTGATAGTGCTAAGGGAGGAATAAGTATGAAGGGAAAAAACCTCCCCCATCCGAATGAAAACCTTACATTGTAACTATCGGTCTTCTTGTATTCAGCAACTTGCTTCAAGTACTCTTGCTTCGCTTTAGCAGCGGTATCTTCCCAATAAAACTTTTCATCCGCAGTGATTTGCTTCCATCGTTCACCCACCACTTTGGCTATGTCGGCAAACGATAATTTTTTTTCTTTGATGTTGTCTCGAAGGGCGTTAGCAAACATAACGTAGCCTGAAGCAGGCTTAATCGGCGCATTTAAATCGGCTTTTGGGTGTCTTCGGTACTGTCGTTTGCCGCTACTACTACTTGCATCTTCATTGATGATAGCATCATGACGAACAGTCGTCGTATAATCATCTTCTTCTTCGGTGGATGACGCTGCATTACGATTTAAAATATCGGCAAACTGCGGTCGGTGTCGCGGCGATGAACATGACGAGAGAGGGGAGTGTTGTGGTGGTGGTGCAAGGTTATCAGAATACTCTTCATGGTATTGATGCAAGTGGTACAATGGTTGTGAGGTTGGAAGGCCTTTACAGGTGGCTACATGTCTTTGTAGTAGCTATATGTCAAAAAAATATGAGTATGACTGGAACTTGGGCGCATTTTTTTCATTTTCTTGGAAAAATAAAAATAAAAAAAAATAGGGAATCCATTATATGGAAAAAGTCGCTACTCACCCGCCGATGCCCTCGTTTGATATTCATTTCTATCAAATCATTCTCCGTGATATCCAATATCTGTGAAGGGAGTGGGAGGTATTTTTTTTTCTTTGTTAAACATGTTTAAATCAGTGGAGTTAACAAATCAAAAAGAATTCATACCGTGGTCACTCGGTCAAAGCCCTCATTGACAAAGGTGTCATAGTACTGAGAGAGACCGCATTCTACTAAAAATGCCTTCACTTCTGGCCAATGTTTCAGAGAAGCCGATGGAATACTTGATCCTTTAGGCATAGAAGAGGGTGGAAGTTTTCAAATGGGCGCCCAACAAAATTTTTGCTCAGTAGCACAGCTATTTTCGCCTTGTTCGTTCAAGATCTATACAATTCGTTTTAATAACATGGCAATGAAAAAAGTATATAACAACACCTTGCTTCCAGAAGATCCTTCTTTTCCTTCACTGTCTGCCATATAAACCGTTCCAATAGAAATCTATCCTACGAAAAAGTAATATTGGCAGGATATGGATATAAAAAGTTCCCAACCATAGCGAAAATAAAAATAAAAAAGAAGAATTGCAAATGTTCTGCTCCAGTTATGGATGGTGAACTGCAAAAGACGATCAAGCGCCAGACTCAACAGAAACGACTTGTACTCTGCATAAGCAGAGATAACGCTTTGTACATGCAGAGTGGAATAAAAACATCCAGCAAAGCCATCGCTCCATTACGAGAACATGAAATAACCCACCATGGTGGTGAAATACAAACAACAAAATGGGATATTTTCGTCGTTGTTGAATGAACAAGCATCGAACAGAGAAAAAAAAAGAGAAAAGTCCAGGAGCAACATGCTGTTGTGTTCAAACAATATAAAAGTCGTTCATACCTTTGTTGATCAGTCGTAAGGTTGCGAAAAGAAACAGTCGAGTCACTACCGGTCAAAGCGAAAGCGAAAAGTTTGTAAAAGTGAAAAGGAAAAGTGTAGCCAAGTCTAAAAAAGAGCTCTAGGCAAGTAAGAAAATATAAATCATTGAGTCTTTGACCGGAGCTTGTATTTTGGTTATATGTGTGTGTAGCTTCCCTTTCTTCGTGGGCTTTTTCTCAGTCCATTCGTAGCCAATGTAAAACGCTAGTCTGCACCAACGTCAAGGGGATAGCATCTGAATTTCCTTAGCACACCTCTGGGGTTATTCCTCCCAGCGCAGTCTGATGAACAATTTAAAGCCGCGTGAGCCACATGGGGAAGCGGTGGATGACACCATCACAGACTGTAGCGCCGACTTGAAGAGCTAAAAAATAAAAATAGTGTGCTACAAGAACCGAGCGAATCTACATGCGAAAGAGTCATGAAGCCTTTCTGACATCTAGACTACGTACTCTTACTTGATATGATTCTGTTACTCTAACGCTCTAGATCGACGCCTTCATCCTTATTGGTGCAAGGTCTTTAGTCGATGTCGGACCCCTAAATCCATCCAGGCCCCTGCCCTTATTCTTGGCCGCAAAAGGCATTCTTGGAATCTGACACCATAGGTGCTCTCTAGGCTGGGAATGCTTGACTGAGCTTTCTCTGGTCAAGATGACACCATCCTGAGCTTGGCTCTGAGTAACCAACCAATAAAGTGAAATTTTTTAATTACACACAAGGTGTGGGTATGGCCTGACTTGTACATGAAAATTTGTTGACGACACTTTACGTCTCCGCAAAAGGAGTCAGCCTACATTTCAACCTCTTTAGCTCACCATGTGTAACAGGCCAAGTCAAGCAAACGGACTGTTCCTGCTGACTGTCCATGGCCACAACAGAAGGGGTCAATCAGATGGAAAGGGGTTTGGTTAGGAGAAGAATGAAAATGGATGGCCATTGATCGGTGTGCTTTCAGCATGTACAGACCTAGCTTTTTCGGTAGGGAGAAGAGGTTTAGTTAAACCAGCAGGAAAAAAGTCAGGCTACCGGCAAATGGGTTTTAAAAAAATCAGTTGAAGAGCGCGCCGGCTACCCACACCAATCAAAAGCCCTGAAAAATTTGCCCATATTTTCTCTAGCGCCTAAAGGTAGTTCCTAGCTTGCTTGATACTTTGCCTTTCTTTCTCAATGGCCGATAGCACTGACTGGCATTCAGTTTCAGCGACGGGTTGCAAAGGAGAAGAAAAAAATGGGGGAATTTCTTAAAATGGATCGTGGCCAGCCTTTCCATGGGCTTTGTCGAGAAATTGACTGGCTGGGCTGGACTAGCCAGGCCTAGTCACGTCAGAAAAATGGGCATCTTTGAAATAATTGCCCATCTGCGTACCAGAGCATTTCATTCGCACCAATTTCAATGCATAATGTTGCCCATCTTGCATCCCATCAAGCCGGATCTTTCCAACAAAATTCAAGCCTTTTTTTGCAATCCATCATGTCCCATGCATCTCTGCCTTGTTGCCATTCTGAAATCCAGTGACCTATTCAGCAGCAGACCTGGCCACCCCCATACTTTTGAAAGCCCCCTCTTGCCAAACCATATATGCCTTCGTGTCGGATGGCTCACCCTTTATTCACTACCCTAGCGTAGGCCAATTTCTCCGCTGCTGTCCTACTATACCATCTCAGCTGTCAACGCCGCCCGGAAGTCTGCAAGAGATAGAAACAACACATGCGCACTACGCAAAAGGTAAATGAAATGTCCCCCCCCCCCGGACTCTACCATTCATTTTGGTAAGGATCAAGTCTATGCTCTATATGCAAGATTCCGTTTGTTTCCGCTACGACTGATGCCATCAGGTGGGTTGCACATTGAAGAAAGTTTTTCGGTTTTCCACACGCCGCGCTTGGAATCGCACGGCAAGCAAAAACATCCCCCCAGAGAACCCCACTCCCCCAAGTCAAAATCTAGAATGAACTTGGGGTGATGGATACTGCGTTGCGTACCAAGGCAACTAGGTAAATGACTAAGCGGGTTTGGTCCATAGCTGCTGCAGTCTCCACACGCGTTACACTGGAAGACGGCTGTTGCCATATCGAGAATGAAAACGATGAATAGTGTGCAATGCATAGGAGATCATTTACTTTATTCGCGATATCGATATAGAAAAATGGAAAATGAATTTTGGGGTCAGTAATCCGATGAAAAAAAATAATCAAAAAATCAATTGAGCAACAATAGCATACAAAAGCCAAATAAACCTGAATGAGTTTTTAGAAGAAAAGTATTCCTTGCATCGCTCCTCATGCTTTGGCACGCCAGCGTTGGAATGAATGAGGGGTTTTCTCACTAAACATCTTCAGGGTTACCTTTAGAATGCAGAATAGAAAAAAAAAAAAAAAAAAAGTTCAACAAATGCGTTTGTACAACAAGAAAAATGCAACCAGAGGGAGATATGTGTGTACATTGGTACATGATAGTCCAGGATAAATGGAGAGAAGGTAGAATCGATTGAATAAAAAGCGATTATAATAATAGCAGGAGATGAAGGTAGAGAGAGGGGGGGGACACTGCGAGAGTGAGTTTAAAGTGAGCCTGGGGGTAGAATCCCTAAGAAGAAAAAAAAATACGTTCCAGCCGTTGGAGGAGCACACCGATGAGAGTACAACAGCCCCAAGTCTCATCTTTGATCTATCGTGGGACGTTCAACGATGCCTGAAGGGACCGATGGATGGCATATCGCTGGGTATTAAGGCCGCAGACTTCATTTCTTGATGGAGCATAGCAGAAGAAAATTGGAGATCCAAAGGGGATGTTTGCATGTCAGACATTTCTAGAAGGAACAAAAAGAAAAATTCGTTAGTGTTAAAATAATGTGTTCCTTTCCATATGCATGAGCTAAAACCGAGCTTACCACCGTAAAAACTGGTAGTTCGTTCTGATTCAAAGTCTCCGTCATTGCTGCTATTATCGTCGTCGTCCTGTTGCTCGGCATGATCGTCCCCGAGCGGAGCGGGTTCGAACAAATATTCGGCGGAAAGGCTATTCCAGTTACTGAAAGATAGCATATCCAGAGGAGCGGAGGCAACAGGTGGGGGAGGGACGTCCATGTCACTTAAACCAGATGGCACACCTTTTAAATTGCTTTGCTTGACTAGCTGAGCTCGCAAATGTTCGTTATCGAGACGCAGTTGTTGGATCTCATGTCGATATTGCTGCTCCCTTATAAACGTTTGTCGCACCCATTCCAGGGCTTTTTCGACGATGCGACTTTTTGAAGGTCGTCGGTCATCTTGCAGGTTGGGTAACGCATGGGCTAGTTGTTGAAATTTCACATTTAAGGATTCTCTTCTAGCGCGTTCGATAGCATTGTGCTCAGCTCTTCGATCAGCCTTTCCCGTTCTAAATAGAAAAAAAAAAAAAAATTGTGTGTGAGAAAAATTATCTTGGAGATAGTGTATCGCAGAGCACTTACTTTCTAGGAGAAGTCATGCGAATGGGTGAAGTGGGCATCTCCATATCGAGCGGAGATCCTGCCGTAATGCGTACATTCTGCTGTTGGCTCAATAAGAGCATCTGGGCCTGCCTTTGCTTTTGTTGAGCGAACTGCATCTGCTTCTCCCATGATGGAGCGAAACCTCCCATGCCAGACATGAACGACTGAGCATGCTGTTTTAAGCCAGGCGCCGAGAAGAAACCAGACGGCCACATTCCGTGATGTTCTGAAGAAGAAGCTTGAGCTGGGTTCATCCTTTATATTATGCTGTTATCACTTTCTGTTTTATTTCTTGCCCCGAATATAAATGACGTGGGATACGATTTATAGGCTGGGTCGAAAAGAAAAAAGTAAAGCGGGGGATAGATAATATATGACCGTGAGGGAATGAAGAAGAAGAAAAAAAGATTCGTAAGGCAAAAGTGGTCGAGCCGTAAAGAGAGAGAAAAAAAAAAAAGGTACTTTATATATTCGCGGTGCTTAGGGAGTGGCTGAGATGAAGGTAAAGCAATCCATCACATTCTCCCACTACCTTTTTTAACCGAACACGATGAAAACTCTCTACGAAAAATTCTCGAATGGGGTAGAGGTGTATCGGAATTGCCTAATCTTAGCCAGAGTAGTTTATTTGGTACCTTACATCAGACACTGGAAAACGATGAAAGGAATCGCTGACTACAGCGTTAAGCATTGTATACACAAGCACACAGGTTGGTCGTAGCATTACAGATCGGCAATTTCGATGGGTTGGTGCAACGTCGGATTTTCCTGTTGAAGGTGATCCGGGTTGAAAGCAGTCGATGAGGTCAGATAATCCTGCTTGGACCAAGCGCGGAATACATTGGAAAGTAAATCCGTTGCCTTCTCGCCCCTCACACTGATAACAATGATGGACCCTCTCCAGTGCATTACGCCTCTCACTTGAGGGCTAGCCATCAACATGCTCGGGGTTTCTACATGTCCATTTTCCAACACCTCATTGCCAGTTATCTACACCTCTTTCTTTCCCCTGTAGCCATGAAATTACAGCAACCCATCCTCTATTACACGGACACGCTATGGTTTGCTGAAAGAGTGGGAGTATCGTGGAACGCATATCATTTTCCCGATTTGAACCTTCACTTCATATTTCCATTTCAGGTTTCGACTCTAGTAGTACCCCATGGTTCGTCTATTCCACAGAGGCTCTAACCCAGCCAGCAAACTGACTGCCAATATACTCAGCATATCAACAATACACTGGGTCGCAATCTCCAAAAACGGTTATCCCTTTGGTTTTCTTGTAGCCGGATCCCTCATTTCCGGCAATGTTGCCTGAGACTGAAAAACAGCATGGGTGGTGCAAGATCCAATTGCCTGCCATGCCACAACTTAATCGAATTATCAGATGGCCAGTCACTATAGACATAGGTGCTGACCAAAACTGATCGGCCTGATCCAAGCTCTATGATCGATAGAAATGGCGTCGCTTCCTTGTTTGAGTTCCAAACACGCAGGGCAACGGTCAAAAAGGCACAAAGATGTTCAAAAAAAAAAAAAGAAGGATCTTTATCTACAATTTAGTAATGCTATTTTGTCTATGGAATGGGATGGGAGAATAAAAATTTCATTTTAACCATGGCTTGGGCGCAGGAGGTATGATATCAGCCTATGCAAAGTAAAACGACAAATGTCAACGGTAAGTATGAAACAAAAATGACATGGGAGTGTCCCCCCGAAAATGAACTGTCGAGATCGTGGACAGATCGTCTCTGAAAATGCACGGAATTGCCCCAAAAAGATCTGTTGCCCCCCTCGTACGCCCTCCCAAAAAGCTAAAACATCTCCCAACTCAGCGGTCATCCTGACAGCCCAGCCGCATCACGTACGTCCAGAGCAAGACAAGGAAATACAATGGGACATACCTTGGACAATAGACTTGCAACAGAGTCACTGGGTTGTGCGCCAACCGTGAGCCAATATTTTACTCGCTCAATGTTGAGATTGACGTGCTTGATTCCGTTACCGTCGGGTATGGGGTTGTAGGTGCCAATGGTTTCTAAAGGTTTTGAATTTCGTGCAGTTTTGGCATTGGCGGCAACAATGTGATAGTACGGGAGATTACGACGTCCATGTCGAGCAAATCGCAGGCGAACCACCATGATTTAAGTTTTAGAGGGTAATGACGAAGGGGAGAAACAACAAAAAAAAATATTCCATGGACAGCCCCCAGGTGACAACACAGCACGTGATACGATGCGCTAAGCCACCCTCGCGATGGACCTTTTCCCTCTCACCACCACCACTCTATGGCGGTTTTCTACGCAAAGGTATAGCCAAGAGCTGCCAGCTGAACCAATGTGCGTCTGGATGGCAAGATGTTGCCTACCATTGGGGCTATTTTCGCTTAATAAACAAGGGGTAGCACAAGCACATGGTTGTATACCTTGCGTGTGTCGCCACCGTCTGTCTCTCAATATCCCTTTCAACATTGGCTGGCGTACTGATGTTTGTTTGAAAAGAGCGTTACAGAGAAAAAACCTCGACTAAATTTAACAGGTTCTGTGCACATTATGACGAGCTGAGCTTATCTAGATCCAGCCAGTCTCATCGAGCCAGCTCGATTAACTTACAGTTTTTACAATTATTTGTTGTTACCATGGGACGCCACGCCTGGTGATTTAGAATTCCCCCTCCGTTCTCAGATGTTTAAAGTGTGAATAATGTTATTGATGCAAGAAACATCTTGATACTTCAAAACAATGCAAGCAGGAAAAAAAAAAACAAAGCAAAGCAAAGCAAAAAAGATAATATGGACAAGAAATACAAGATATCTAAAGTAGATAGATGTCCCGTCAGCATATCAAAGAATATGTATGTAAAAAGGTAGAAAAAAAAAACTGCTGTCAACAGAAAAAAATACAAAACAATCGGTTGGATCGATTTTATATCTCTCTCGGTGACATTAAAAGATGAAAGAAGAAACTCCAGCATAGGTTGGTAAAATGATTTGCTCGCACAATAGTTTAAAGAAGAAACAATAAATAGAAAAGAAAAATCTTGATATCGAAGGCTTCCAGTAGAGTAGAGTAGAGGTTTTGAGGATGATGACGGGGGTATACTCGGTGGTATGGGGTAAAGGCGGTGGGGAGATGACACTAGGCGATATGAATTTTTTTTTTTTCAACACCAAAAAAGGTCGTCGACTTTTCACATATAGCCAGGCATAAAGTTTGAGAAACTGGCTCGGTTGGAAGATTTTTCTTTTCCGTTATGTCGATGGATTCGAATATGTTGGTTCAAGTTATCTGATCGAGAAAATCGCTTTGTGCAAGTTTGGTATGGGCATTCGAAAGCTAAAGGATACAGTGTCAATAGAAGTACGGAACCCATCCCTCCTCCCCTCAATTGAACCTGTACTTACGCTTCTCAAGGGTATGGATGGATCGAATATGTCGCTTCAAGTGCTCAGATCGCTTAAAGACTTTACCGCACCCGTCCAGCGGGCAAGTGAACATCTTGGCAGATGTATGCACGTTGGGGTGGCTGGACACTCGACGGCCACGTGATCGTGGTGCCTTGGTGGGTTGTTGTTGCTTGGCATTCTCTCGCAAGTCAAAGGACGGGGCCTCCATGGACATGCTATCTGAACGAGTTTCACGGCACATGGCAGAGCCAAGTGACATTAATGGAGAAACGGGAGTCAACGGTCTTGAGTTGCACATATCTGGCATCATGTTAACAGAATGGTCGTGAGGTCCTCCATACGATCCAAAAGTAGCGACGTTAGGTGGTACCATGGAATGAGGTGAAGCTGGCGTCATGGGCATGCCACCAAAGGGAGAGGTCTGGCAAGGGTCAAACATGTCTGGTCCACACCCGTGGTCGGATCCAACTCGAAGTCCAGGAATCATGTAGGAGTAATTGGCTGTCAATGGGTCCAATATGGTAGGCATCTGTGTTTGAAAACGTTGGTTCTGGTGACGAGCTTCTTGTTCTTGGACATGATACATTTGCTGATAATCATCGCTGCTATTGGAAGGCGACGACGGTAATCCATGGAAGTCACTGTCGTAATCAGAGGTAGGTAATTGCTCATTACCCGTGTTGGAGAGCATGTCAGCGTAACTGAAACGTCTGGACATGAGATTGTTTTGTTGATTTTGTTGATCAATATAACTTAGTGTCATTTCATCGCGATGCATAGGGGCTGATGACATGCGATACATGGCTGGACTGCCGATACCCGAATCGACTGGAGATGCGTAGGATGATGGTGAACTCATGCTTGATGTAAAAAAAAGGTATGGTATGAAGAATTGAGTATGAATCTACTGGTGAAGAGTAGATAATAATGAAGAAGAATATATGAAAAAAAAAAAAAAGTGTTGTTAAGGAAATAGAGAAAAAAAGGGAGACCAAAAGGGGGGAAGGATGCGTTTTATATGTAGGATTTTTTGTTCGAAAGAGAAAGAATCCTGACTGACTGGTTGGTTGATATCTGACCAGTTCAAATAACGTTGGAGAAAGAACGAAGGTTGATGGGTGCGAATTGACGTTGTGTTGATATGACACACACGGTCTGGTTACAAAACAATTAGGTTGAGCTGGTGGTTGGGCTAGATGAGTTGAACCTTGCAATCAGAACCAAGTGATAACCCGAATTGGTGAGGTAGATAAAGATTGGTAAGTGGGTCGTATGTTGAGAAGGAGTGGGAAGGCGTTAAGTCCACTTGATTTCCACAGCCAAAGGATCCTTGTGCTTGTTAGACACAAAAGTCAGAAGATAACGTGTTAAAAAGGAGGACGAGTAGTGAACTGGATGGGCTATGGCTAGCTTCCTGCCTTATAAACCGTCTTTTCAAAAGGCAAGGGGCTTCTTGTCCAAGGGGAAAACACCGGAGTTCCCTTGTCGTAGTAGGAAATCAATCTTGCTCGTTAGCTTTTCCCAATGGCTTATAGGCTTTCTACGCTACGGGACTTGGCTTTTTTGGATGGGGCCCAACCAACCTTTAGCTTATCTCAAGACAAACCCATGCAAGGAGGCTCGTGCAAGCTAGCTAGCCTCGGCTAATGGCGATCAGTGCCTGCCCTATACTTCTTCCTGCATTTGAGTATTGACACAACTCTGAATGGCTCTATTCCAATTATTTTGTTGTGATATTATTTTGATAATAGGCAGACCGTTACAAACCGTTTCCCTTTTGGCTGAATTGATCGTCATGACAAAAAGATCACCACTAAATCACATCCGGTTATTTTTCTAAAAATGAAAACACTACAATCGAGTGGGTCCATTGGTTACAGCTTTCACGAAAATAGAAAAAACCAAGTAAGCAGGTTGCCTTCACAATTTTCTGTCTTTTTTGCCTCAGTCTCTAAGCAATCTCGTGATGCTTGCTGGTGGTGGGTGAGTGGAGGAACTGGCTGGACGCAAATGCAATTTTCAGTCCACCAATTTATATTTTGTTTATCTTGGAATCATACGGTAAAAAATCACGCACAGTCGTATATTGACACTCAAATCAGAGCTTGGATCTACTGCCCCGCTGCAGAAGCTTAGAGAAGCTGTGTCAATATTGACTTATATAGCTGCACTTCACGTCACCTTTAGCCAAGCGGAAAGGCCCCCTTGCTACTGACAAGAACCAGACCGTTGACCCAAAATCATTTTGATTTTCTCTGCTGCACTACAGATGGCATTGCTACCAATGGTCCAAGCTGAAATGGTACACACAACAAATGAATGAATTGATTGAGATCGATGCGATCTACCTGACTACTTCAACTCAAATGGCAGACAAGAAAGTGACAACAATAGAACTATTTTGAGGGATTCAAGGGTGAGGGAAAAAGCTCACCCCTCTGTCGTGGTGGACTTCAATAGCATTGGCTGGCTCCTACCTGACCTATCCCTTACGATGAACCAATTCAGATCAAATTTACACCACTCTAGGTAAACCAAGCTGGCAACCATCATACATGCTCTCGACCTTACCAAGGGGTGCATTCTTCCGTCACAAACATTTTACTATTTTTCTCAAGCAGCATTTAAACAATTAGGGTTGCCTATAGCTTATTCTATTTCCGATGTACAAGGTGTTGGGTGCAGCTTACCTAAATCCAGAATACCTCCTAAGCATATGCCTTTTCATACAATGCTAAAACGAACCCTTTTTTTTCATTTAATAACATTTAATTCATGGAGCGGATGATGTGTTGTGTGCAACTTTAGCCATTTTGTTTTTTATATATATTCCTATCTCAGACATTGTCCCTGATCGGCAGCTATGGATGGACTCAGCAGAAAAACCTGTTACTGAATGGCCGAGTCCCCAGCATAGCCTGACGAAGGAAAGTCCTATTTCAATGACGACGAGCGGGTTGGTTGGTGTCGCGTAGTAGATAGAAAATTGAAGATACTGAGGAAGGTTGGTAGCAGCCAGAGATTGACAAATAATTATGTTGAAGGTGCTTTTCATCTCTTTTACCCACTGTCAATGTCATTCACGTGACCTGGGTCGTGCTTTGTCTTTGAGGGTCCCACAACATTATAAGCTGCATTCCCTCCAACCATGTCCAGCAGCGAGCAAGATTACGAGAAAATGACCGCCGAAGAGCGTGAGCAGCACGACAAGCTTCAAAAAGAGAGAGAAGAAGCCGAGCAAGCTCAATTACCTTACAAGTAAGTGGCCTTCTGCTCAGCCTATTTTCGAGAATCACCTAGCTGATTCCACTGGCGCACAGGTGGAAGCAAACACTGCAGGACGTGGACGTTAGCATTCCCGTCCCAGCTGGAACGAGGTCAAAGAATCTTGATGTCGTGATTGGCAGGAAGAAGATCAAAATCGGTGTAAAAGGTCAGCCACCAATACTGGAAGGCGAGTTGCCCCAGACCGTCAAAGTCGAGGACAGCACCTGGACCATAGGTAAGCGCGCGCGCCTGTCCATTTAATTTACATCTCTCAGTGTCATCTAATGCGTAAACGAAGAGGATCAAAAGGAAGTATTGGTGCATCTTGAAAAGGTCAACCAGATGACTTGGTGGGAGCACGTCGTGACTTCGGCACCCAAGATAAATACAAAATCCATTCAGCCGGAGAACTCCAAACTCGGTGATCTGGACGGAGACACCCGCGCCATGGTGGAAAAAATGATGGTAAGTTACATTGTGCATTGCACTGTATGGCGAGCGTGTTGCCGATCACTAATATCAAATCTGCACAGTATGACCAACGACAAAAAGCCATGAACCAGCCTACCAGTGATGAACAGCGAAAGCAAGATATGTTCAAAAAGTTCCAGCAGCAACATCCGGAGATGGACGTAAGTAAATGAATGTGATACGGGATGCAACTATGCAGTGTCCTAACTTATTGGCGCAGTTTTCCAATGCCAAGTTCAATTAGGAAATACACCAAAGAGAAATATACGGAAAGCCTATCAGAACGGGTAAAATAGAACAGCGAGCTTGTGTATATGGAAAATGGATCGGATAATAAACCGTAGTATTGGCTGGGTATACAATGTACGTACACAAAGGCGAAATATGCCTTCAGCTAACTTGCATGCAACGGCTCAGGCAGGGCAGGACTGCACAGCGTTTATGCTCAGCGTTTCCAAAATGAAGACATTGATCACAGTCTATATATGCAAGTCAACAGCATCGATCAAGCTCCCTCCATTGTGAAAATGATCTTACACCGCCTTCCAAAATTTATTCAATCGTGCTAATGATAAAAGGCTATAACTATAACTCCAATTTCACAAACGCTTATAGGCTTGGTTTGGAGAACTTTGGGAACAGCGCCAAGGCATTTTCACGGTTCACTTTTTCAGCTAAATGTTTGTTTTCATCGCTCGAGAAGAAATCGTCCAGCTGCTTTGTCACATACTGAACTACTTCTAAAGGAGCGTACGGTACATCGCTACCAAAAAAGATGCGAGACGGATCAGCTACTTCCAGCAAAGCCAGCAACTGCCCTTTGGAAGAGCTCAAGGCAGTATCAAAGTAGAAAGATCTGAAGTCCTCTCGAAGCTGTTGAGGTGTTCTGAAGCCGGTCGGAATACCAGAAATGCGTGGGGCAAGGAAGGGTATAGTACCACCAGCATGCGAGAGGATTATCTTGATGTTGGGGTATTTCGCCTTGGTTCCAGACAGAACCAAGTCGGCAGCTGTACGAGTGGTCTCTTGCGGGAAGTCAAACAGAGGCTGTGGAGCGAACTTGTTCACCGGCGGCGTTACGGAGCCTGTTGGATGGATGAAGACAATAGCATTGAGTGACGCCAGCTTTTCCCAGATAGGCTGGAACAATTCGTTTCCAAGGTAGAGGGATTGGTTGTCTTTTGGACAGCTGGAAAGCAGCGTGACTCCATCTGCGCCAAGGTGGTTGAAAGCGCGATCGATTTCCTCGAGACATCCAGCAAGGTCTGTAAGAGGGGGGACGGTAGCGAACCATCCGAATCGGCTAGGATCGTCCTTTGCCAGCTTTGCACAATAGTCATTGCACTTGCGGGCCAACTCTCTGCCTTTGTCAATATTATCTGAGTAAATATTGGTACCTGGGGCTGTGATCGACATGACAGCGCTTTGAATGCCAAGTTGTTCCATGTGGGCTTTGGCCTGCTCTACGCTCCAGCCTGGGGTCTTCCATCCTGACGGATCACCGCCTGTTTCTTCTATTGCCTGAGCAAAGAAGTCGGGTACGATATGGAAGTGAGTATCAATTCGACCGAGAGTTTGCATGGTGGGTGATATAAGCAAAAATAAATTGTAAAGTGAGCGGCCCATTATATAGTGTATTGAGACCGTCACACACGGTCCGAAAGATACCGTATTCCCCAGACCAAATGCCTTTGGTAGGATTTTATCACTTTTCATTGACATTTCTGTACAAATTACGTCTGATGTAGGCTGATTGTACTATGAAGTCACTGACTTCATTTGCAGTTCCTTTGATTAATGTCCCCTAAGGCTTATTCTCCATTCCAACCCACGGAGAAATGGGTAAACTTGCCAAAATATGTTTCAGCTGGAGGAGAAATGGGTGTGAACGACGTTTGCCAAATATGGTATATTAATAGCGCTGTAATCTTTGCTAGGAGTGATACAAGGCTCACAGCCGGATGAATATTCTAAGCCTGGAACAGTTTTAAAGAAGCGAGACGAAAATGAGAGGTGAAGTAACGGCTTATCCGATGTCATTAGTGATGTGATGTAGACACTCTTCGGTTACCTATATGTTTTTTTTTAAAAAATAAAATAAATTGGAAATAATGAGTTTTTGAAAAAGTATTGAAAGGCTCAGCTGCTCTAGTATTTCATTTTATTCGATCATACTAAGAAGGCCATAAATCTATTTAATCACATCACTGTCAAATAATACCAATAAATAAAATACTTTTATCTGATTTACAGCAGACGCTTATTGACCTGCTTTGGAGAATCTTGGGAACAGCGCCAAGGCATTTTCCCGGTCCACTTTTTGTGCTAAATGCTTGTACTCCTCATGTGCAAAAAATTCATCTAATCGCATAGTGATGGCATTGGCGGCTTCAATTGGAGCATACGGTACGTCGCTGCCGAAGAAAATATGGGACGGATCGGAAAATTCTAACAAAGCTAGCAACTGGCCTTTGGAAGAGGACAAAGCGGTGTCAAAATAGAACGATCTGAAATCCTCTTCAAGCTGCTCCGTTGTTCTCATTCCGGTACTGATACTACAGATTCGAGGTGCAAGGAAGGCTAAAGTGCCACCAGCATGCGAAAGAATCATCTTGACATTAGGGTACTTGGCTTTGGTTCCCGATAAAACAAGGTCAGCAGCGGTACGTGTAGTCTCCTGCGGGTAATCAAAGAGCGGCTTCGGTGCGTACTGGTTAACGATGGGCATGATTGAACTCGAGGGATGAATGAAAACCGCAGCGTTGATAGAATTCAGCTTTTCCCATACAGGGTGAACTATTTCATTTCCAAGGTACAATGACGTTCCCTGGTAAGGGTATGTTGTCAGCACCGTAACACCATCCACACTAAGGTGATTGAAAGCGTAATCGATTTCTTCGATACATCCAGCAACGTCGGTTAAAGGAGGAAGGGTAGCGAACCACCCGAATCGAGCAGGATCGTCGTTTGCCAGCTTTGCGCAAAATTCATTGCACCTGCGAGCCAACTCTCTACCTTTTTTAATGTCATCTGCGTACATGGTAGTTCCAGGAGCGGTGACCGAAACGACGGCGGATGCAATGCCTAATTGCGCCATGTGAGCTTTGGCTTGCTCGAGCGTCCATCCTGGTGTCGGCCATCCTGATGGATCGCCTCCTGTTTCTTCTACAATCTTAGCATAGAAATCCGGTACAACATGGAAGTGCGTATCAATTCTTCGGTGGGTGTTCATTGTAAATGGGAATGAGAGGTATCAAAAGGAAAAGGAAGGGCTGATATATGCCTTACCGTGACAGTCACAGCCCATGGATATACAATGACAAGGGGCTACGCATGGAGCTATTATGGCACTTGAAATTGGGTTACGTTCCAATGATATCATGGTCAATTCTCCGGTTATATCTACAGCCAATACTGTGGTAAAACATCCAAGTTTTGGGATGTCTAGAAATAGTGTATAGACCAATACTGAGTCCAGCTATAATTTCGAGTTTTCATGGATAGACCTTTTGTGCAATAGAAACATTCAAAGGAAAGTAACAGAGATAATAAACTGTAACGTGAAGTCGTAATATTTATCAAGCTCCTCACCTCCATTTAATCTACTTTGCGTACCTAAAGTTGACTACTGTGTAATAAATGCCAGCTACGGAGTAAGGTTAAACTTTTGAGCTTGCATCGGCTAATATACGTCGGCTAATACAGTAAAGAAATTTGATTGACTGAATGAGATATTCCCGACTGTCCAAGGATAATATATAACCCATCCGATCATTTGTTGAAATAAACATGTGGGAGCCACTATGTTTAAATTAGAGGCTTTGTAGAATGGCAGCCTGCCCGCTAATGAGCGCGATTTGAAATGCAAGGTAAAAATAATGGCCATCCATATTTTGCAAAGTATTGGTGTCCCAACTTCAACACATCTATTGAGTGAGGGATTTCGATGATGCTCACCATATATAGCAAGCTACAGTTACGTGAAGAATTTACTGCAGATGAAAGCTCTTGCCGTCCTTCCCTTCAAAGACAGCAGCGCACTGGGCATCGCCCGCCAAAAAGTCAGCTTGGGCCCACTCCACGTGACCGTTAAAGCGTACCGGCTTTTTTGGGATTCCTTTGACAGCCGTGACGTTTTTTTCATTGCTACCCTCCTTTCGAACAATGGTCGCAGTAACCCGGAAATTGAGAATCCTCTGTTTACATGGGTATACTCAGAACTCAATCGCCTTTTCGAAAAAGACAGCTGTACTTCGAAAGGCTTTGAAGGATATGGCAGAATTAGGTAATGGCTGATGCATGACCAAACAGTCCAAGCTGGCAAAACGGCTAATGGCTTCACCTGTAGTGTATGTCACTGGACCCCATAAGGTTTTAGAACCCGAGTTTCTGACAGTTGAGGAGAGACAGGCGGCGGCTGAGCAGGAGGTGTCCGAAGGTACGTGGTCGTAATTGCTCCACAGATAATAGAGTTTGCGTCATGACCGATCGATCAAATAGAATTGATGCCATATGCGTGGTTTTTCGGCCGAAAGGATGATGACAAATATGAAGGATTTGAAGCATCCGTCTCTTTCCTGAAAGATGTCATGATAAAGCAGGTAAATTTTTTTTTGTATATTTACAAACGGAGCTCCGAGGTCGCCGCCGGCTAACTCCTCAACCTTCTCTTAGGGACCCTTTGACGGTGTATTTGGCTTCTCGCAGGGAGCGGCTATGGCAGCGCTTCTATGTGCTATGCTAGAACACCCATCGGCCCTACCTGGATTGATACCGGAGGACTTTGATCATCCACGATTTTTATTTTCCATTATTTGTGCAGGGTTTGTATCACGAGCTACCGCTCACCAGCCCCTATTTGAAAAAATCATCCAGACGCCTAGCCTTCACATCATGGGCGAATTGGATACCTTGGTGGCCCCTGAGCGAATGATGGCCCTGGCAGAACGCTTCCACCAGCCAGATATATTCCGACATGCTGGAGGGTAAGTAGGACTGACCTTGGAGCGGGTCGATCTTTCTAGTCTACTAAAACTCCACACCCCCTTAGACATTTTGTTCCTACCAATGCCGCCAGTAGGAACACCATTAAAGACTATGTAGGAAAATACACTGTTCCAAGTGATGATAAGCAATAGATCCCATAGACTATCAGTAACCCCGCCCGGACCCTCTTTTTTTTTTTTTATTATCTGCATGGCATTAGACATCTATTCTATAAATTCCCTTATATCCTAGTGGGTGACGATTTCTCTTTTCATGGTGAAATGGCCGGGCACGTTGTTGTTACTCCGATCCATTTCTCGAGGTTTCTCCGTGGAAGAGTTTGTCCATCCATATGAATCTATCAGTGTATGCTCTTCGGTTTGCTGCGGATGACATGCTCTCAGAGTTATAGACAGAACAGAACAAAGTGATCTTTGGAATACAGCTCCCTAACCGCCAGCGGAATTTACCAGAATAAGACAACCACATGGCAAATTCGCTAGCCTTTTCTTGATACCATGTCTCGATCCGAGGTATTTTTTCAAACCATCGTCATTCTCGTTTTATACAATGGTCTCGCTATGGTGGGCAGGGTTTTTCAATATAGAAAAGTGGTGTGAGTTGAATACGTCTTACTAAAAGACAAGCTTCTCATTGGTCGTTGGCTTTGAAATCCCAAAAGGGACAATAGTTCTGATTGGAGCGTTTTACATTTGGAAATGAAAACCGAACCAATCAAAGAGCCGATGTACCTTGTGTAGAATGGGCGTTGGGGGCCAGTGTCTTTGAGTTGGGTTTAATGACACGTTGTTTGCTGGGAGTGAAGAAGGACGAGTGGAGTTACTACGTAGCATTTATGCCACTGGTGAGCGATGAAGGAGATACTTCCACGGTGTTTGCTGTGGACAAACGACGTTGCTTGATCTTGGGTGCTAGTGTGCGTGTCCCCCAAAAAGACGGATACGGGTTCTACCGTGATCGAACTTGTCTCAAAAAAAAAGGCAGAAGCAAGAGAAAATTTTTTTTTACATAATAAAGGATTCTCTCGTATAAAAGAACCCAAGGCAACAACTTTCTTCTCTTTTGATCTTTTTTCCTTCTTTTCTCTCGCCATCTTCCCTTTCTTCCACACTTCTTTACTTTGAAATAATAAAAATCTTGCAGTATTCAAAAAGGTAAGCATGTGGGTGCACGCGGAAAGGAATGGAATTAGAAAATTTTATACTGGATAATTTTTTAATTGTCGGGTTCAAGCTTCACGTTTTCTCTTGCCTTCTTTTTGAAACAAAAAAAAAAAAAATACCCTTGCTCACACTCTTTTTTTTTACTTTAGAAACCTCTTTTCCCTCGATGCAGTCCATTCCGCCCCAATACTACGCTCCTTATGGCAACGCTACTGCCCATTATCAACCTCCCCCGCCTCACATGATGCAGCAGCAGCAGCAACCCCCAATGGGTATGGGCATGTCTCAGCTGCCTCCACAAGCTTCGTCTCAGACTGAACTCAACGCAAGTGGCAAGCCCAAGCGTAAGCAAGTGAAGAATGCTTGTGGTAAGTGAAAAAAAAAGGCAGTGGAAGGGTGTTTTGAGTTATTTTTGCTGACATGTTGGGTGGGGTGTTTAGTCAACTGCCAGAAAGCTTGCAAGAAGTGCGACGATGGTCGTCCTTGTCAACGCTGTATCAAGTACGGTTTGACTGAAACATGTATTGATTCCGTTCGTAAAGAACGCAAGAAGGGAGTCAAGCGAGGTCCTTATAAGCGTAGAAATCAAGCTAACAGCTCCAGTGCATCAGCTTCACCCACTCCCACTCCCAGCAACCTTTACGCCCAATCACCTGCCGCCGCTGCCAACCCTGGAATGAGACAATCTTTGCCTTTTAACTATTCGCAATTTCCTCAGTATGATTCTTTCAACGCTACTAGCGGCTATCCTACCTATGGCTACAGCAACATGATGCCACCCAACTACCAACATAATCCTAACATGGTGTCTTATCAAGGATTGGGAGTCATGCCGTCTCCCCAACAGCAGCATCACCAGCAACAACAACATCATCAGCAGCAGCATGATATGAACGGCCGGCCTGTGAATCACTCCCCACAGTATCAACAACAACAACAACAACAGCATCAACAACCCCAAGCAGCAGAGTCGAAGTCGCAGCCAAATGAGGCTGGTGAAGATGAGGATGGTAACAAGCTTTCTATTTTGTCACAACTGTGCAGCGCGGTGTTGGACAACACTGACGCCCCGAAACAGGAAGAAGGCATTGAAGATGGCCAAACAGCCAGCCAACAAAGACAACAACAGTCACAAGAGCAAGCTTCATCCCGTTACCTCCCCGTGCATAGCAATGGCACTCCACCTCCAAGTCGTGGACATTCTCGCACCTCCTCGTTTGAGCAGCAGCAGCAGCAGTACCCATCATCACAATTTGGTCATGACTCTCCACATACCTATGTGAATGGTCAGTTACGCGCTAATGTCTATGGTACTCCCAACTCATCCCCCTCCAACTCGCCTGTGAACAATGGCTATAACAAGTCTGGTTCGCAACCACCTGCCTCAGGTTCGTCTTGGCCACTTCCATCGCTTCAATCCGTTGTGTCGCCGGCTCAGAACAACCAAGGCAATTGGCAGCAAGGTTGGTAAAGGGTGTCGTACCTATATAATCGCACTGCTTTGCTCTCTTTCTCTCTCCCTCTCCTCTTGCTCTTTTGTCGCTTTTTTTGCTTTGATATAATTTCTTAGTTGCCCCCCATGCCTCTCTCTTTTTTCTTCCGTTGTCGTTTAGTTCGTATTTCTGTCTCCCTCCTTAGAATCATGTAATTCTTTTTTTGTTCTCTTTAGACGTGTATTTCCCACCTGCTCCCGCCTTGCAAGTAGAGCCGTGATGCTCCACGAGTAAGCCAACAAATGTTTCTTTTTTTCAAAAGAAAAGAAAAAAAAATCCCAAAAGCCCTTTGTGAAGGGTCAAAATCAATAAATTCTCTGTAAATACCCTACCTACCTCGAATCGTGTCTAGTGAGTGACTGGGGGAGAAGATTCATGATGAAGGCGACGGAACGAAACGTTACGTTACGCAAGGCAAGGCAGTTGCAAAAGTGGTTCTGAACCATGCGATACGGTATATTGGTATCGTTTGAGGTTGTCATGCACACACCACAGGTTACATGGACCTGTGGACGCTGCTCCGCTACGTTCACCTGCCACACTACTCCGTTCACATCTGTTTGTTGCATTGTTTAATCTCCCGCTGTTTGAAGCATGCAACGTTATGGGGAAAATGAAAGACGTCACGGGTTCTAAATTACATTAAATATAGGATGGACCTCTTCTATGATAAAAGTACATGGTCCGGTTTACAGTCGATCCGTGTGCCTTATAAAGTGGAGGTAGGTTGGATGTACACGAAACGATTGAAGAACCGCTCATAATCTTTGATCAGTTGCGGGGTAGCGACAACGCGGTGTCTAGCGGAAGCACAAACGGGTGAATGGATGCAAGTTTACACGACGCATATGGCTCAGAACTTACCCTAGGTCGTGGGAGGCATGGACAGCATCGGTAAACATGGTATCAATAAGTTGAAGGGATCGGTCGATGGAAATAATGTCATCTTGTCTGCTGTACACGTGCAAGGTTGGGGTAGTGATCTTGCCTTGCTGGTAAAACTCGGCATAGGAAGGTGTGTAGAGCATGAATCCAGACAGAATGACGCCTAGTCGAAAGGGTTGGACATGGTCGGGAACATGGTATCGTTCTCGCCAATCATCGTGACTGAGGATAGACATTAAGATCACCGACAACCCAGCTCCTTGCGAAAATCCAAGAATGCCGTCGAACGGTCCTTGATCGCTTAAAAATTGAACCAAAAATTCCATTGTCTCTGAGAATCCTTCTAGTTCCACCAAGTCGCCGCCATCGGATCTCTTTGGAATCATCCAAGCTGCCAGTGGGGTATTGGCTGTTTGCAAAGCAAAAGAAAAATTCAGATGAGTGTGAGAGCCGTTTTTGATCTACAAATCCCATGGCTTACTAGGTCTTCCGGGTCTCATGGAGGTAGGCAACTCAAAAGTTCCATTGGGGATGACTAGGAAATGGGGATGGTAAGGTAATGGGTCGGTTGTAGGGTTTATATGTACAGCTAGTTACCAAATTCAATGGAATCCTTGAAGCGGTTGATGATAGCGCCCATGTTCCTGGTCATCACTTCTGTATTCTGCATCCATCCGTGTAAGCAGAGAATACGAAGTTTACTGGACTGTGGGGGAGCCATGGTATTACAGCAAAGTAAAAAGAAAAGTAAAGAGATAAAGGGACAAAAGCTCTTCAGTCAGCGAAATTACTTTATTTGCAACAGCGGCTCCACTGAATTAACCGCTTCCCAACCCTCAATCACGTGTAATAAGGTTGCCCGACAGTTTCGAGAAGCGTCCGTGGCAAGCATGGTCTTCGATTGAATAGCGAGTGAGGAGAGTTGTCTGGATGAAGGGATTCGTTAAAAATCGGGAAAAGTCTGCTGTCATTGACCTTTCATGACTTTGGCATGGGGATCTTTGCTTCGACGACAGCATGATAGAGCCCATAAGGTCTACATTATGTAACAGCGATTATCCCCAAGATCAAACAACACTGACCAGTGCATTCATTTTTCACCAATTTTATTATTCCATCCTGTGAGATGACTTCTGTCCCAGTTTACGACCTTTTTTTTTTTTTTTACAATTTGACCTTTTTATTGAAGAAGGCTTTATGGGCATGTCTGGCTATTCCGGTGGTCAACACGCACAAACTCTATACAAGGGTGAGTTACATCCTCTCTACGACGGCTCCTTCACAAGGACGATAAGAAGTCATCCAGCCCAAAGGATGATTGGGTAGGCACTTTCTTCTGATTGATCATAGCCTGCAAATCAAGTTTCTTCTTTTGTTTCTTTTTGCCTGCAGGTGGGCCAGGAGGCGGCGTCGCCACCGGGCTGGCCAACGGAGCACCTTTTCCTGGACGTTCTACTGCTTTTAGTATGGTGGTGGTGGAGCCATTCATAACAGTGGGATGACGGCAAGCATGACAGGTTATTCGAACATGGTTACGACACCGCCTTGAGGCAGGGGTCTTTCTCCTCTTTGAGGCGTCGATAGAATTGACTCTAACTTTGCAATTAATTCCCGCCACAAACAACGCCCCACAACGAGCACAACACAGACGTTGAACCGCATCGGCTAATGTGACATTAGCATGGTCGGCGGTCTTTTGGAATTGGTGCAGGTAGAAATTAGAGAGTTCGGGACATGAGGCGAATTGTGTATTGGCAGCCTTGAATAGAAAAGAAAGCTTGGCTTGCACTGCTTGAGATGCTGCCATTTGCCAATGCAAGCGGGATAGACGGTCAAAAAAAAACCGAAAAAAAAAAATTTGTGACGCCTTTGAGTCGGCCGTGCCTTGGAGCCTCTACCATTTCCATATTTTGATGTTGACCCCGAACCATGCCATTCAATATCCTTTCCCCCGAAAAAAAGATAGATGGCTGTTCTACCATGTCCGATTATTTTTAGAATTTAATGGTGGAGAGTTTACTTTGTTTCTATAAAGCATAAGAGGGAAATACATTTACAAGAAGTCTTTGGAAATGAAAAGAACTATGGAGCCGAAGGTAAAGGAAAAATTTGGGATGGGAAATAATAGTTATTTGTAAACACACACAGGATCGGTGGGACATTCTTCTGTTTTCTCTCTGTGAGTCTTTTTTTACCAGCTTTGACAATAGGGCGGTGACTGTCCTCCGTTGTCTTTTGGTGGGCCATTTGATTTTTGTACAGTTGGGAAAAGGGTTCCTGAATCATAACGCAAGATCATCCCCTTCGTCGGTTGGATCCATTCACTTCTTCATCCTCACTTTCATCCTCCTCGTCTTTTAATTCCTGGTGGTCCATACCAGGATCGGTTTCGATGATGCGACTTAGTCGGTATTTTACTCCGAGGTAGCTGAGATAATTGCTCTTGGGAAACACTCTCACTCGCTTTACAGCCGGGAAATGAGAGTCTTGTATGTCGACAAACGTGCCGCCCAGGTTGAGAGTTTGTTCCACTTTTCGTTGGTTGGCAGCGTCAAATGGGATCCACTTTTCTAATAGAAATACCAGCCAAGTAAAGTAGGCAGACGTATGCGTTGACGGCGGTGAAGCAGGTTGTTCAGGATCTTCTACCTGTTGTTGTAGAGCATGTTCAAATGTATAGGCGTGGTTACGTATATTTTGTCTCATTCGTTGGGGAATATCAGATGAAGGAGTATCTTGTATTCGCGGGGACATCTCATATCGCTTTACCACCATGAGTATGTATGGTTGGGTTGGTATCGCTGCTGGCGATAATAAAATTAAAACAAACCAAGAAAGGGCGGCTGATGTGAGGCCACCTCAACACGCACGGATTATAAGCAAAAGAGAAAAAAGAAGCGAGCGAGCCCCTGTAGAATACTGTGCAAGCTATTTGTGAAAGAAGAGGAAAGAGAGGGAACAATGATGATGTTGCTTGTTTTGTAAAAAAAAAAAAAAAAAAAAACACACACCATGGCAATGGTCGTGCAAAAACGTGACTTAGAAGAGGGAGCAAGAGTGAGGACATCTGCGTACAAACCCTTCGATAACGTGATAAACCTTTTGCATGTATGTTATGTAGACAAAAACTTATTTCCAAAACATGTCTCTTTGCCTCGGAACTGATTATCCGAATCCAAGAGAGACACTGAAGATGGGCTCACGGGGTAGGTATTCAGCACATGTTCAAACCAGCCTCATACAGTGTGTGACCCTACCGTCCACGCCAGTCCAACATGAGCCAATCTCTAATGTAAGTCCAACATGTCAAACACTGGAGTATGGAGGTGAAAAAAGTCTCTACATACACCAAAAGGGTACCTTTTTCATGAGCCAGATAAGAGGATCCTAGTAGCGTGTCAAGTTTTGATCTTGTCGTGTAAACGCTTTTCCATGGATTTGAACAATAAAAAAAAAAGGGTGCTCTACTTAAAATAAACCCAAGGCGCACATGCACATATTACCCGCTCCAAGCGTTCAAAATCAATTTGACACTCGTCATTTACAGTTTACAGTCTTTCCTATCGTCACTAGCTGTCACTCAGACGCATGATAGCCCACCCTCCCTGTTGTTATTCACAATCCGCTCCATAAGAAAAGAAAAAAGATACCATCGGCTGGCTTTAAGAAAACAGTGTGTTCTAGAAAGGCCGTTGGATATCGCCTTATTGTGATGGCTGGGCCGTTCCATAAATATTGAGGCCACTTACGTACGACCCAAGAAATTGGCTGGAGGTCGATCTGGAATAATTATTGCGAACGACGCCCATCCTATCGCTTCACTGTACCTGCATCCCCCCCGCAAGCATATTAACCTTTTATGTTGGCCTGGCTGGCCTATTGTTCCTCGTGGTAAGAACCGCGTGTCCGTGCAACGGTTTGTTCATCGCACGATCTCGCTAGCCAATACTGCGTTTTGTCCCATGGCATTCATCTTTGATGGGCAATCAAAAAAAAAAAAATGTGTTGGTAGCATGGGGGCACAAGAGCTTAATGAGTTGGAGGTAGTGATGACGTTTTTGTTTTCCGGCGATATATATTCAACTGTGATACGTCGATCCTCATCTGAAGAGTCATGACAACACCCCCTTCGTCTGCTGCCTGAACCGTTTTCCTCTCTCTTCATGATAGACGGACGCTGACCGTCATTTGGGCTAGGTTTCATTCCATGACAGTTGAGTAACCGCATGAATGTGTCCTATTACTCGATATGGGTAGTGATGGTTTATGCTCTTGGAAGCCGCGATGGACCCCTAATGCAGGGTAACCCACCACGGATAAAGTGAACACTCAAAAAAAGGATTCATGAATGCACTGGGAGTTAATTAAACTTGCGCTATTGTTTTCTTGAGCTTGGTGGTGGATATTGGAACAGGGCAGATCATGCCGGAATGCGGAACGTCCAGAAGCCCACGCCGTAGAGGCGACAAGAATTCAGATCGTCCTGGATAACGCTGAGTAGGTCATGATATGGCTGCAGCGATCCAGGTATCAGAGTCTTTTTCTTTTGCCTGAAATTTTATCTCCCCATTCAGGTACCCTCATGAGTTTGGAAAATCGTCCTCTGCTTCTTGCAGCGGCTTTTGTTAACAAGGCATCCATTTGGCGACACAAAAAGCAGTGGTCAAAGTTGACTAATTTCCCGCTATAGTTCACTTGCTATGCGCACAGAACATGGGCTAGCTGTTCATGAAGGGGCGGTGCCTAGGCGGTCAGCTCTTTTCCTAACGCAGAACGGTCGATCCATCGGCTGATCGTTTCCACCCAGGCGTGATGATGCCAGAGTGTCATCATACCATAGGAAACACTACTCAACAATGGGCTTTTTGTTGACCCAGCCACCAGACAATTGAAAAGATGGGATGGGCATGATAGGAAAATGCTCTAGCACCGGAAATTATCGGAGCATATGCGATGTCAGGGCAAAGGATGCAATTGACCACAACATACTCACCTGGAGCGAGAGGCTTTGGAAATCATGTATAGCCGGTCTATTCCGTTCAGCATTCCCCTTTAGAATGAATCGTTTTGCTTTTCAAGTCAAACAAGGTCGCATTTATAGCTTATAATCATGGTAAGGCAGCGAAAATGACAAAATGGTAGCCAAGGAGAGACTAATCTGATGGAGCAGGAGGTAATCGGAGCTGTGTCAATCCCGCCGCCCTGCGATGAGAACTGCCAGGGTTCAAGCAGTGCCTTAAGCAAGAATACTGGGAAGTTACGTAGACCGCATTTTATCCTTCTCATAAGGTATACAAAATTTAGCTTTGATCAACATGCCAGGCATCCGTCTCAGCAGCGGTGACTGATATTCAGCTGCGCACAGACGGTTCGGTCTTCTTGGTGACGGTGATATCATCCTTCCATAAAGAGACGCAAAGCCGACGACATGCGCAAGCTGTCAACTCTGAAAGACCATGATACGCACATGAATATCAAATGAATCAGCTCGAATCTCCCCATAAACCAAATTTTACTTTTTGCCTGATCTTCACGATAACGACGAACTTCGCAGTTACAGCAGCAAAAAGGAAAGGTTCACTTCACAGCGTCGCCTTCGATTAACATTGCAGTTCACACTGGCTGGCAGTTGAAAGCACCCAATGGCCTTAGTCATAGTTCAGTGCAAAAGCAAAGACAGAAAGCGAAGACAGCTTGGAAGGTAACGTGATGGCATACCGATCATTTTCACATGTCAGGTTGTTTCAAGGAATCCAAAGTCAGCTCCGATATTTTTTCAACCATAAAGCAATCCGATAAGCAACTAGCTTCTTTGCTTTTACTCTAATGACTACAGAAAACCCTTACCAAGCTTTGAAGGATGATGCATCCACAACCTATCCTGAAGGTAAGTTCTCTGCGATGTTCACAAAAAGCACACCGCAATCCACTCACCCACTCCATAGAGAATATCTCTGTCAAACAGGAAAACCAACCACGTTCCAAGTTCTTCAGCAGACTGGTATCGATCCCCGTGGTGAAAGATAGCTTGACCACAGTGTATCATTATGTCAACGAGAATAGTCTTGGCCGTTACGCCTTGACCTCGACAGAAGGCACCCTTCAAAAGGCGTCAGTCATTGTGGCGCCTTACGTTGAGCGCTTCTCTGATCAGCTCAAGACCATGGATGAAATGGGCTACAAGTCCTTGGACTATGTGGAACAATATACCATCGTCAACAAGCCTACCGCCGAACTTCTTGCTAACGTCACTGAGCCTGTTCGTCAGGTCAGAACAACAGCCAAGGGCTATTTGGATACCACGGTGCATGTCGTCACTTGGCCAGTGGATCGCGCGGCTCAAAACATTTTGGATAATTTGGAGTATGCAGTGGACCGGGTTCTTCCCGCCGCCGCAGCTACAGCCAAGGAACCAAACCATCCTTTGACTCAGCAAGAAAGAGCATATAGCTTGGCCATTGATACCAAGGCTCGTTTGATGTCAAGATTGCCTTCGGCTGTGGATCAAATTCCCCGCTCGCGTACGGAGCTTCAACAAACCTTACAAGCCAACACTTTGCTTCAAGGTGCGTTTGACCGATTGCAAAAATTGGATCAAAGCTTGAGACACACCACAGAAACCACCAAACGTAACATCATCACCACTCCCATCGAAACCCTGTCCAAGACGGTTCATGATCGCTATGAAGCTGCTCGGTCTTTTACCGACCAACGTATCAATAACGTCACTGCTGAGTTGGTGGCTCATCTAGATCACACTATTGCTTATGTGCAAAAGCATAATCATCTGTTCCCTGAAGCTGTCCGCACTCGCCTGCAACCTCTGGTTTCATTTGCCGGTCAAGAATATGATATTGTTCGTGAACAAGTCCTCAAGACCGACATCTCGTCTGTGCAAAAAGCCAAAAATGTTCTTGCCCTGTCCACCAACTACATCCTCCCTCTTATGAAGGATAGCATGGATGCTCTACATGAAGAGTTGCGCTATTACCGGGTGTACATGGACAAGTCTAGAAACGATGCTCTCAACACCTTACGAGGTCACATCGAGACCTCCACTACCACCATCAAGGCGTAAGTCGACAAAAACAACTTTGTATATTTTGCACATTCACTTTATAGAAAAAAAGAAAACCCCTCTCCCATTCAAAAAATATTTGCCAGCCATAGGCAACGTTTACCTTCATTCCACTGTTACCCAGTATATGCATTATGATAATAAAGCAACATCAATAACGAGATATTTATTTACCTACAAAGGATTTATTCATTCATTCATTTACATACAGCGGCTACCCATTCATTCTGCGTCCTTTTGCTGACTGCGGACAATGGAAGGGTCGAGCACAGGGTTTTCGCGTTTGTCCATTTGTCTTTGTAAGTGACTGTCTCGCTGGCCCTCGGGTTCCTGGTGATCGGGTGTGGGTTGGTCTGTGGCGCGAGGGTTGCGGTCCATGTACTCGTTGACAGGGTTATTAGGATGTTCATCGACTTCGTGCTGGATGACGTTTTCCGCGTCGGGAATGCCGGATTTCTCGCTCTCGTGCATGGTATTCTGGTGCAGTGGGTTGGTGTGTTGTGTCAGTCGCACCCGCGCCTCCTTGGCTGCTTGGATCTGATCCATGGCCTCGTTTCTCTCCTGCTCGCCACTTTCCTTCAACGATGGTTTGCGAGTCAATCCTCCCAGCGCGTGCTAAGAACCCCCCAGGTTAAAATCAGAGAAAAATTCCCGTCCCACCGCTGCTTCTTACCTTCACGGCTCCTTCATACTTGTGTGCAATCCCTTTCACCACCGTCTTGTCAGCTTCTGCTTTGGACATGTCGGATGACGGTGTGGAGGTGGTAAGATTGTCGACATCGTGGGGTACACCTGGATGAGACATTTCGTAAGGGAAAAACAACAGGCTTCTCACATTTCGTCATTGTTTGCCATTTTTATTCATTACACGATTTTCACTGGACTGCCTTTCTCGTTTCGGTCGATGGTAATTAAGCTATTGGCTACAAGCATATAGATGGACTGATTGCCTTGGGTTTCTCCACAGTTTAAAGAGGTAGCAAACGAACTGATACTCGACTTGAGCTGGCTGAGCGGTATGCCCTTGTCGTGTTCAATTTGGTAATCTCGGATGGTGCGGAGAACCATCGCACTAAGTGCCGCTTGGACGACGGAGGTATATGTTTTGGATCTGGCCTGGTCAATCACAGTGTTGATCAACGTTTGATTGACATCGCTATTGGGGGTAATCGGTCATAAATATCCAATTTTCCTGGCCACCACAGAGTCCCATATAACGCCACTCACCCTAATATCGTTATATGAGAGTCATAACTTTGTACAAGCTGAAGGTTATCGATAACATCTTGTAGCGTTGATCCAATACGTTCCTATTAGGTTTGTATGTAGGTCAGAAAAAGCTTCTTCACGTTGCTGACATTGAACATGGTGACTTACCGTCAAGGATATAACGTCATTCTGCATATCTTCGGCCACACTCGGTGTTGTTGGTCGAATCGATGCCCTTGCTTTCTCCCATACTTCTGTGAGCTTGTCATACACATCCGTTGATGCGCTGATATGCGTGATATCCATCTCCTGGCTGGGACTGGCCACTTTTGATTGTTTTGAATATGATTTGAATGTCTCCTCTGTAATGCAGAGTCGATGAGAAATCTGGGCATAGATGGTAAGGTAAGGAAACGCAAGACCATACACTTACCCGTTTTCTCCAATTCTGCTTTTTTAGCATTGATGTTTTTTCGCAATTGCCAAAGCTCCTATACCAAATGTTAATATCGTTCTCGTCCTTCACACTGGGCCACTTTTCTTCCACGTACCCGTTCTTCAGAAGACATATTGCTTAATTCCTCTGCAGAGACATCCGTATATTCAAAGCTCATGTCATCCAACTCATCCATCATATTATCCATATCATTAAAATGGCTCTGGAGCTCCAACTGTTCCGTCACGCTGTCCGACAACTGGCTGATCTGTAGCAAAACATAATTTGAGATTGAGTGGAAGACGGTTCTCCACTGCTCATCCATGGTACATACCGATACATCTTTGTTCTTGAGTACCCGCTGTAACCGGCCGATGGTGGCTTCGTATTCGGCTATATCGTGCTGAAGATGAACTGCGTTTTCATCCTCATCCTTGTAATTAGTTGGTTTTTTGGGTTGTGACTGAGATCGTTGTAAAGCCAACATCTCTTTTTCGTTCTTTGTTCGCGTTGATTCGAGGTAATCGATATTTAATTGAAGTTCTTCATGCTTTTGCGCCAATTCCTCGATACGATCCCGCGTACCTGACGGATTATCGCTAGGAGGAAAGTCAGTGACTGACATGACAGTGCATGTGACTAGGTCATCCCACTCACCATATTTGATTCAAGGTATTGGCTGCTGATAACAGTCGCTCCAACGTCTGGCGATGAGCAGGGCCGGTAGGTGCTGAATACTCTGCTGAAATCCTGGAATGACGAGCGAAGGTTAACATGGGCCTGATAAGTTCATTGTGCCTGGTGGAAAAAATCATACCTGGCTACAGCTTGCTCGTTGCCACCCAGGGAGTAGAGCTTGCATTCGTAACTTTCCGCATCTCGGACGAGCTTTTTGTGCTTTGGCGGTATTAAATAGTTGGACACACGCTCTGAAGGTTTGGAGAGGTCAACCGAAGCGACATTGGCAGAATGGCCGACCAGAGATTCTAGAATGTCGTTGAGTGGCATGGGATTATGTGTATTGAAAAATAAAATATAAAAAATTAGTCGCGCGAGTGAACGCGTTTGGAGGAATTGGGAATAAAATCAAGCCAGCTGAGCTGAGCTGACCTACCAAAATCGCGTCACGTCATCCCAAAAGCTTACGTTGTGCACTGCTGCCTGCATTAGCATTGCCCTTCAACCATGTCCCTCTTCCCAACTCCCCAAAGACCAAGGCATCTAGTCGAATTCAACGCTGGAAAATGCTATCGCGATGGCAATATGTTGAAACCAGACCTTCGAAAAGGGTAAGTAGTGCTTCGCTATGGCTCTCCCAACTTTCTCATGACTAACCCATAGCGATCTATAGACTCATATATATGGACCAGGTTGGCTTATTGAAAAGCATATTGACTATTTATCCCATGCCCTTCGCTTACTCTCCCTCCTGTTTCAGACCGACGACCAACTATTGCATTTTTACTGGAAAGACCGAAAAGCCAACATTGTTGAGGAAGATTTGATCATATTCCCTGAGGAAGCCGAGATGGTGCCCGTACCAGAGTGTGAAACTGGAAGAGTCTTTCTGTTAAAGTTCAAGTCGTCAAGTCAAAAGCTGTTCTTCTGGATGCAGAATGCCAACGATGAGAAAGACAAGGAGAATGTGGATAGAGTGAATAAGTTGATTAACGACCTGCAAAGTGCTCTCAATGACCAACATGGTAGAAGCGGTAGAGCTGAAGGCGATGACGAGGACTCTGCGGCCGATGTGCTCAGTTTGCTTGGCAGCAGCGGTCAAGGTAAGGCGCCTTTGCATGAGGCCTTTGTAAGCTTGCCCATGTTACTTACTTTGTCCTTTTTTTTTTTTCAAGAGCTGGGATTGACACAAGAACAGATTTACCAATTTTTACAATCGGCTGGCGGTGTAGGGTAAGTTGTCTAGCGTAGTCAGAGAATGAGAGGTGAACACGATGCTGACTCATCTCTTGCTAGCTCTGTGACATTATCAAGTGACGGAGACGACCATGCTACAGTTACGATCACAGCAAGAGATACAGAATCCGACGTTCCTGCATTGGATTCAGACTTGCTGCGAGCGTTGAAGGAAGTTGTGTCTGGCAAAAGTGTTTCTGGTAAGTGAAGCTTGCAGAATGGGAAAGCGGCCCAGGGACTATCGATAATAACGCGGCCATGTTTCAGACGATGCGCCATTGACTAGCGATGTCGGTGAGGTCTTGTCGGCCGATGAAATTGGAAGTATTTTAAATGATGAAGAATTATCGGAAGCTGTCTTCCCTACTATACCGTATGTAAAGGGCCGATCAACAGATGAAGTCAATACTTTGGTACAAGAGGACGACTTCCGAACATCATTGCGAAAGTTAGAGGCTGCCTATCGTGCAGAAGAGCTTGAACCCTTTGCTGAAGCTCTCAAAATAGAGCCATCAGGAGGTAAGCGTTGCGGCTGATGAACATCATAGAAACCGCTCAACTAATGTTTGTATACAGGTCTGGCTAGTTTCATAAAGGCATTGCAAAAGCAAGCAAAGGATCGTGAAGAGGGTGCTGATATATCCGAATCAATGGATGAAGATTAAAGCTCTCCCCCTCCCCCTTTTTTTTTTGTGAATAAAACCTTCCCGCCCATGATGACTGTCAAGTACTGTTTGGATGACTACCTCTTTTTTCAATTTATTTACTGGGTTGGTTGGGTCAGACGTCCAATGCATTAGGGTTTAAAAGTACAAGTGATTACAAAGGTTATATTGTATAGTACAAAAAGAAACATTACCATCGACCACTGACTCGACGAAACCGACCAGCTCGATCACCCACATAATCAGCATCGTTTTGTAAGCCTGATAAGAAATCACCCATGAGCTCAGAGTCCGTAAACTGATCAGTGGAGTACATGGACACAGGGCGACGGTGCATATTGGGTGAACTGGGACCAGGTCGATGATGATCGAATGACACACGGATGATCTCGGGTGGTTGGTGGACACTGGGAGAACGCACTCGACTATGCGGTTCAGAACGGCTTGATACAGCGCTTAGCGAACGCTCAAGACGTGGTGCAATGGGGGACACCGGTGTTACCGGTTTCTCTAGGGATGAAGAGCTACTGGGTCGGTCGTCAGGAAATTGAAGAGATTTGAATTGTGAATTAATGATCGGTGTAGAGCTTGAGATGGTGGGTGATGTAGTCGATATCATGGGCTTCCCATCGCCCAGCATCCATTCTTCATGTCGAGATTTAGACTGGTCAAATTGATTATGCGCTACCATCTTTTTCTTGGTAGGTTCCTTCAAGATGGGAACGACAATTTGCGGTTTGATGGAGACACTGGGAGAAATCGATTTCCGCCGAGCAGGTGATGGTTGTTCGGATGGGTGGGGTTTCATGGCTGTACCAAGGTCAGTGCTACGTGATTTTCGATGCTGAATGGTCTTAGCCACTGGTATGATAGGCACGTTAAGAGTGGGAGGTGATTCGGGTGAACTTCGCTCAGGAACGGATGCGGATCGATAATGATTAGGTAAACTACTCCAACTGGTGTTATGTCGAGGGTATCCGTAAGGAGTATTGAACTTTGGTGGTGAGGAAAAGTGATGTTGTAAAGAGAGTTCATCTTTGCGAATAAATTCTATTGCTGTTGTAAACGTGACGAGTGCGAAACTACAGACAGCGAGTGTGAGATAAGAGGGACAGTAAGTGAACATGTTAGGCTGTGATTCTTTACCTGAGTTCCGGTCGTTCAACTTGGTTCAGACGAAAGTGTCGAACGTAAAAGAGGGTACTCATGAGCCGCGGTAGGTGGGTTTGTGCGAGAGCGCAGGCGAGTAAGGTGATAAGGTCATCCGAAGCAACTTTGAAAAGAGTTAGGAAAAGAGGTATTTTCAAGCATGTTGACCATTGCCCTGAGGTAAAAAAAAAATGACTCACCACTTGTGTGAAAAACCGTCAGGCCGTTTTCTTGCAGGTACTTGTCAGCAGCAGCCGATATCAAAGACAAGGCAGTTCGTATACACACAAGTTTCTCAATGGGAGTGGTTGCCAGTTCAGGCTCCTTGCCACTGTCTTCTATGCCAGTCAAGCCATCTTCTACGTTCACAACAAACCTCGGCATTTCATTGTCGGAATCCAATCTCCGTAAACATAACACAGCGGCATCAAGGTAGCTGATGGGCATTTCTCGTAGATGTGTAGATATGCCGTAGCCACTGAGAGTGTTGATTCCATGTCGATAGGCTGTACACATATCCACCAAGGACTTGTCATCTCTGCTCATGTAAGGCGGGAGGAATTTATGCCATATTTTTGCGTGAAGGAGGCCCAATAGATAGCTTCAGTAACGCAGTTAGTTAAAAAAAAAATCAATGTAAATCAGTGGCATGACAATGGTTCATTTGGACTCACTTCTCTACGAGTTCTTGGAAATGCTCCATTTCCTTGGGCATTTTACAGGCTTCTTTGATTAAAAAGTTACATACCAGCAGGTTCTATGGCGGGGAGCAGGTGAGCAATTATACAGCGTATGGCTATGAGACCACATGGTATCAACAAACCTGGTATAATTGGGTATAAATGTGAAGTATCTTCTCAACAGCATAAGCGGTATACTCTTTTAAAAATAAATATGTGCTGGAGAATTCCTGAATGGCAGCATTGGCGTCTCTCAAGGCTTCTTCATTCTCATCGAACGTGATTAAAAACTCGCCATCTCTGCGCAGATAAACTTCAATTAGCTCGTAGGTAAAAATAGAAAAATTAGAAGTTTCTTCCTTCACTTACAATTTATGATTGCGCCAGGCTGGAATAAGGTACACGGCTTCTTCCTCCGAGTGCTGAGAGGAATGGGATTTAGGGCCATAAACAAATGAAAAGAATAACGAACATCCATCCCTCCATACCTTTATTTCCCCTTCTAGTGGCCTGTCAATAGTGAGGACTGTAATTTTTCGTCGTTGGGAATAATGTGTTTCTTCACTGATGATTCGGATGGTTCGTAATTGTTGGAAGCCTTGGGGAAGCGGTTTGAGTTTGGATGATGGTTCTGTGCAGTTGCATTGGAGGACAAAACTTACCAGATACTTCAGTGACGTAGCCTTTCTCAATAGCCACTACTTTGCCATTGAGAGACTGATACTGGCCCTTATAGAATGGGGATGGTAGAAAGGCATGTGTTTCTGAGGATAACAAAAATGGAACATTAATTAAAAAGAAAACGGTGTGGGTTTGTGCTTAATTGCAGGGAGGTTAGCGCACTCACCAAGCGTACGCTTATTGATCGTCAAGCCAACGATACTTTGCGCATGTGGAATACAGACGAGCGCCGAGCGTAAAAAGATATTGATGTGGGGTAGACTTTTGAAAGCAACAAAAAACGGATTTTCTTCCAAGTCGTCTGACTCCAAGGCTGGATTTTGCTGCTCTGTCGGCCACTTGGGATCATAACTGCTGCTGGTCATTCTAGTTGCCACAGACTTAACGGAGGCCATGGAAATGGTTCGGGATCTCGGTGGGGGGAGCGGTGGTTGTGGTCGGTCTTTTGCAACCTGACTCTGAGAAGTAGAGCGAGTTTTACTTTGCTTAAAGACATTTGGGAATGTAAAAGACATTGGGTCCCCGTTTTTCCCTTTGATTATAAAAGCTCGGTCAAAGTGAAATGCTCAAGTGGACGAAAGGTGTCGCAACAGAAATAAATATAAAATACTGTGTGGTACAGCGCAAGAGCAGTGCGTAATTTTTTTTTTCTTTTCTTTTACATAAAAATTCGGTTTACAACGCTTTCCTCCTACGTTTCGAGGTCGATAGCCGTTCGTCTTCAGAATCGCTAGTCTAGAAACACACCATGTCAGAAAAAGATCTCTATACCATCATCCTATTTGCATCCCAGTTTGCTCACCGTATCAGCCGTAGGGGATCGTCCTTCAACAGGCCCAACACTGGCAGCCTAGAGGAACGAAAACACGTTGTTAAATCACCATATCAGGTAAAAGAGACTCCATTTCCACTTACTCGTTTGACAGTGACTTCCTCCTCATCTGAACTTGGCACAGGAAGACAGTCCACGCGAATTCGAAAGTCTCGAGCTGTGCTTCGTTTCATATTTTGCATCAAGTTGACTTTGGACTTCTTGGACAGCTTGATTAAATTTCCCTCAAACTGTTCTACAACATAGATCAAATTGGGAACCAGTTTGGATTCTCGAATGATTTTCGCCTAAGGGGGAGTCAGTGAAAAAGGGGATGGGTGATCATTCCATGAACATTACGTACCTTCTCCTTGAGGTTTGTACTCGCTTTCATTTTGCCTTTGTGATTGACCCTTGACCTTTCTTCAAGTTCTTCAAATCGTTGACCATACAATGTCAAGAATTTGTACATGTTATCCGTGAGCTGACTGACTTGTATTTTCACGACTTGGCAAAATTCCGGAGATAATTGCCAAGGCGTTCCTAGTTTCTAGACGTTGCCAAATTCAGGTATGAGCAACCCACCCGAGGTTATCCATCTGCAATGTACGTGCGTTGCTTACCAATCTGATCAGCCCGAGTAGCGCCTTGTAGCATTTAGCCAATGTTTTGACAAAGTTTTCCGCCGTTGCTCCCAGCAAATACGTCGATGCCAGTTTGATTTGGATATCAATGTACACTTTGATCCTTTCGCAAACTATCTGTTCAAAGTCTTGGGCATGGCTGGTTGGGTTGGTTCCTACTGCAAGGTTTAGGCTAACATGTAAAGCAAACAAAACAAAACCGCACCTTACCATCTTGAACAATATCTCCAGCCAATCGAAGTCTATTTAGAATCCACTCTATACCCTCGTATTCATGCTCAAGGAACGCAAACAATGAGCTGGTGGTGATTTGAAAAGTGTTGTTGTTGACGATCATGAAATGAGTTGGTTGTTGTTGAGTAGCTTGTGTATCGCTGTCGTTATCTATATCTCCAGCAATGGCGTTGATATCATTACCAATATGTACAATATTTTGGAATTGCCCTTGCTGTTCACTAAAAGCCATCAGAAGAGATAGGGCAGATTTGGCAACGCCTTGATCTTCGATGGCCCGATCTACACAAAAACCTTCTATCCACGTCGATTCGGCTGTCACATAGCCGGACTTTTCAGGGTCATGCGATGAGTAGGACTGGAGTAAAAAGGTCTTGAGATTCAGTAAACTTGCCGCCTCTTTGTACTGTGGTGTACGGTGTGTGATTAAGTCCTCCACGAGTTCCTGGAGGAAAGGCAGTGTGTAAGAAAAAGATTCGGTGCTTCTGTTCAGAACATGCTAGTACACACTTACCTGTAGAACCATAATCAAATGTTTGACTAGGATTTCCCCATCAACGTCGGAAGACATCTGAGAAGCTTGAGCAGCTTGTAGCAAGTTGACCAGAAAATGAACCATTTTGGTAGGATATAGATTATGGATAAGTTGAGGAAGCAGCACAAGACATTCTATGCTTAATGAGAGCTCAGTCGATGCCTGTTGATGATGCGAAAAGTCAAGTTAGAAAGTGGGCCATCCTATCTATGCATGCCTCTCGAATGATATACCTTGGATGGATTCTCTCCCACTGTTTGATCATCTTTATCACCAACTTTGGCCACTACTTCGGCCATGTAGAGGTGTGCCAAGCTGGCAAGGTGTTGATATGTAGATACATCAAGGTCTTCCTGTGAGGTAAGCTAGGAGAAAAACGTAGAGGTTTGGTTGTTACAGAACGATCATCGATATGAACTATTAACTATATTTACCTTAGAAAGCTTATGGTGAGTCACTGTCAAGATATACTTTACGAAATCAGTGTTACTGCGAAGAACAGTGGGTCCGGAGTCACCCGCAAATAATATATTGGAAATCATGGTGATGCCAGGCAAGGTGAGGATGGAGCTTTCCGCCATGGAAAGGGCTGATTTTCGACCTATACGTGGCACAGATGTCAATTCTCCTTCTATTGCCTGCAAGGTACTATGCACAGATTACAACATACCTCTTTCATTGGTGGACTTTTCTTTCAGTATACCGTGTAGAATTTTGAACTTGTTGAATAGTTTGGCTATAGATTCGGCATTTTCATCCGAATAGGTTTGAATCAAATGCTCCATACAAGCCTATAATCGTGTTAAATACCATTTTATACAGGTGATCCATTTGACAATTATCATTTCACTCACCTCATACGTACTGAGTAGCAGCTGTGCCCTGCAGTTATTACGCATTCCCACATTGGTCACCATATCGTAATTGGATGATTTATCGAGCTCAAAATCTTCTGGATCCGCCTTGCACAACCGGAAACAAAGTGAATCGATATGACCTTGTAAAGAGGCGATGTCAGATGAAGTTGCTGCCAAAAAATGGGTTAGAAATAACGGTTTAGTTAACGTGGCAAATAGTAGTTTACATCTTAATGCATGTAAGTGAGGGTACATACTGCCTTGATGACTTGATCTCATGGCAACCATAGTCTTTAGTAGTGCTTGGACCAAGGAGTGAATGGGTTCTACGATATGTACACTGCCTCCTGAGCTGGATTGTTCGACACATTTATCCAGCTGTAATGGATTATCAAACGACTGGTCTACAACAAAATATTTTTTGAACTGAAAGGTATGAGGTAAGTCAACCATTTGCATTGTCTGTGCTAGGAGAGTGATACACGTACTTGTAGCTGCAGCATGGCCAATATATCGCTTGCCAATTCCGGATGTTCGATGGATATCTTGGACAGATTCTCATACACCAGTAGTCGTACCTCAGGCTGCTGGCTGAAGCAACGCCTCAAGAGTCCTAAAAGCATCAAAAGGTTAGATTATGGGATTCACTAGTAATCACGCATTATACCCTAGTCTTCTTAATTGAATTAAAACCAGCATACCGAGAATTTCTAAGATTGATGAATCAGTAGAACTGACCGACGAGGTTCCAGAAGTGGTGGTGGGATTAGCATGTATGGAGTGAACGAGCAGAAGGAATCCATGGACGGCAATCTGTCTTCCTTCGGTGGCTCTAAAGGACATGGAATTGATCAGGACTTGTTCATGCTAGGCTGCAGTTTTATATCAATGTACATACTTTGCAAAGAGACCTTTACGTAGGATCAACATCAGAGCTTCCTTCAGTCGATTGTTACGTTGTATAATAGGGTTGAGTGAGCTCATCAAACGCTTTGCACTACCCAAGGGCAAATAAGACAAATAGTCGAGAGTTTCTCGAATCTATATGGATACATTAGCACTATGAACAACATGGATGGTCATATCATCACTCTTGTAGTCATTTGACACTCACTTTACTCATGTTATCTGATTCCATCAAGATATTTGGGCATTCCTTTCCGAGCAGATCTAAGAGGTCTAAAAAGTAGCTCACACTGTTGGCACGAGTAACAATACGAGAGAGGATGTGATTCATAATTTCGTGTCTGACAATGTCATGTAGCTTCACATAAAAAGGTTAATTTTGATATTCTCTATGTCAGACGCGTGAATATGTCCTTACCTTGAAGGTCCTTGCCAGAATATTAATGGCGAGTCGTGCGGCCTCTTCAGTCGGTGACAAATTACCAGAAGAAGTCCTTCCTATGAAATGTTATCTATTGAGCGAACCATATACGGAGTTATGGCATAGTCTTCTACCTACCTGAAGTTTTCTTAAATGGCGATAATGATACCGAGGAGTCAAGAAGCAGTACAGCCAATTGCACCAAGCTTTGCGTCACTTGGTCCCAGCCAGATGTAGTCTTGTCAATGACCGTATTCATCATGTCTTTGATGGGCACCTTGTACAATCCAAGTTGCTCCGCTGGATACCGTATTTAATCAGAGGGGTTATGGTTTATATGTGCCAGTCAAGTACTTACCATCTTTGAACCAAGGATATTGTTCTAATTTCTCAGCATCTTTGTAGACTGACATAATAGTAGACTTTAATAATTCCAGTACCTACGGGAACAATCACCTTGATAGGTTAGTCGGTGTACGATGACGCCAAGGCAAGTGTCTGCCTCTCGCACATCTCATATTCCTCTACCGATAGGCGAGCTTACCGTGTCTTCAAAGCGATGTATCCGGGCCATAGACAGCATGCATGCCAACGTGAAGGGAGTTAGAGCCCTGATCTTGTTTCGTTTTATGTACTTTAAGAATTCTGAACCAAGGTCCTATTGTTCGATTTGCCTTTGGTTTCAGTAGGTGCCACGACAAACACAAAGCTGCAAGGCAAGAAGGGATGTCATACCTGATCTTGCTTGATGGCAAAGCACATGTGTACAATAATTGTTCCTTCCACACGATTGAAATCGACTGCCTGCTTGTTCGCCCTTGAATATGAAAGTAGAAAGTTGAGGAAAGCGCGATGTGGTCAAACATAAAAATCATTACAAAGTCACGGACCGTTTCGTTGGCGTAGGTATATATTGTTCTTCTGCATCCTGAAAGTGACTGCAAATTTTGGTAATAATGAGTTGCTTCTCGCCCTGAAAGAGTGACATAAGTACAACAGCAAGGTCTTTTGCGGAAAGAAAAACTCTGAAGACTGGCATTACCTTTCGCGACAGGAGAAACAACTGGTATGCAAGTGGGGGGAGTTCATTGAGTTCGAGAACCGCCAGCTGTCTAAATCATCCCATTGATATGAGTGGACTGTTCGATAGGAGCAACAGCACACGTAATACACTGACCGCAATAACTTTTCGGTAACACGCTTCAGTTGCTTTGAGTTACATTCCATTTCATTGAAAGCCGATGCTATACCGACAGCGTAGGACGGATGCCATTTGCATGACACTAGCTTGTCGATGATATAATCCATATATTCGACTCCAGAGAGGATCTGAAACTTTCCCTCTATTTCCACCTCTATGACCTCTCTATCTACAGAGGTCACCAGTAGTTTTGGTAACAGATCAAACAACTTTGGTTGAACAGGCTCGCCTTTGCGCACAACATCAACAACAAACAGATTGACATCTCGAATAGCTTCCGTTGGCAAGGAGTCAATTTCCGGCAAAAGAAAATTAGCCATTGACGCGATTCTCTCATCTATCGGAGAACTTTTTTCTGGTATTTGCTCTGACAGCCTATTTTGATAATGAATACGATGAAATAGCAACAGTTAGATACGTGCTGCTGTACATTCCCCCAGGTGTGCGTATGATCCACTGACCAGTTCAAAGCTACCATAAACGTCGCTAATCTCCTTTCCCGTCCCAGAATGCTTTCCGAGTTTAATGGAGAACCTATGGATAGGAGGAATATTATAAAATTACGGCCATAGGTAGAGATAAAAAAGAGGGGTAGATAGTAAGCAAAATCATCGACAGAAAAATTACACACCTATGAATACAGCTCTAAACACGAGAATTGGGTCTGTATCATTGTTAGTCCCATACTTTTGGTTTGTATTAAGAATGTCTCGCAGCAACGTGGTGATCTGACAGTCAGTAAGACAATGAGGTTAGGAGCGGAGGGTTTTGACAGCAAAACCTAGGCAAGTGCTTGACATTCTCACATTTTCAATTCCCTGTTCATTTAGGTACTGTTCTAACTCTGCGTGGTTTGGTTTCTTAGCTAGCTTTAGAATGTGGGAATCCATTCTGACTGCCGCGCGACAAGTTCGCGTTGAGTTTTTTTTTTTTTTTTTAATAAGTGGCCCTTTTCGCCTGACCATGGTTCGCGTCGCGGTCACGTGGGACCAACATTCCTTTGACTGAACTGCACTATCTAACAGATCGAACGGCTAGTCCCATCATGATCAAAGTGATCTAGCAAAAGGGCCGTCAAAACTTGAATATGCAATGATGAGCATAGGATAACGACAAGATTTGATGGCAGGATATCGGTTCTTTCACGGCATAATTCATGATTGAGCGCACACATCTTCGAGAACTCGATGCCTATGCTAGCCTACAACAAGAAGTTCATCCATGATTGGCTCTACAGTAGCTTTCTTGGAGAATATTGGGGTAATCAAACTCAAGATCTTTGGCGATGGGTGACGTCTCATGAGAAGCTATGACTGCTTTCTGGGCAAGGTGGACAAGGCATCAACTCAGCCTCTCCTTCACCGTTTGTTTCTTTTTCCCTCTCGCTTTTTGATTGAACTCGGAAAAAAGCATCGACAAGCAAAAAGCGAGTTCTTCCACAGATTAATGAATACTTCTCAAACTGCACCTAACGCCAAACCCGCCTTGCATGGTGTCAAAATAAAGCAAAGAAAGGTACGTTGATCGACTATGCGGATTGGGAAGTTTTTTTTTTGCAACCACCGATCTCACCTCTTGGCACCTTTGATCAGAGTGTACAAAAGGCCCAAGCCAAACACGAACCTGAGAGTAAGTGGATCATCTAACATAGCGCAGGTTCAGATTGGACGGGCGTTGACTAATCATGCTTGCCACCAGTTTTTAGAGATTCCTTTTTAAAACCGCTCAACGCAGCCAAACCTAACGACTACGACGACTTGTCACAAAAGCTTGACGTTGCTGGAAACACACTTGATTACAGAAAATACAGTGACTCTTTGTTTGAAATCCTTATCATTGGTGGTATCCTTGGTACGTCTTTCATTGGCTGTTGATAAAAACATCATTTGCCGTTCTTATACTCACTGAAACCCCCAACCAATGTTTTTAGAACCTGGTGGTGTAATCGATGAAGATGCTGAACGCAGTCCTTTTAGTATCTTTTCTGCAACCGACGAACTCGATGATGTTAGAAAACACGTAGAAGTGTTTAACAAACTGATTCGTCGTTACAAGTATTTGCAAAGATCCTTTGAAGAGACTCTGCAAAATATTCTCCAATATATCAACAAATGGACGCCTGAAGAGAACAACAAGCTGGCCACCGCCGTTGGTTTCTTTATCACCTCCCAGCTTGCCTCTTTGTCGGTTCTTAAGACCCTTCTTAAGGATTATTTGGTCAAGGATGGTAAGTTCTTCATTTCATGATATATAGTTAAATGGATCTACGGTTTCTAATGCTGTCCCCTGTAGGTCATTCTCTGCAGTTTGTCACTGCTACCTTCAAGGCTATTCTGCTTGATCAGTCCATGGAACAACTTGGTCGTGCATTGATTAGTTGTGGCCTGGATAGCAGATTGATCGACCTCTTCCCTCCTAACAAGAGAGACGAAGAATGTCTTGCTCGCCACTTTGAGGCTGAAGACATGAAGCCTCTCGTTGAATTCCATCAAAGAAATCAACGCAACTCTCACAAGGATGAGATTTTAGATCATATGAAGGAGATGGTCGATAACGAAGCTAGTCCACAGGAGGTAAGCCATCCTGATAGCATTCTTGTTAACTCTGAATAGATTTTTATTAACATGGATTCTCAGTTCACTGCCTACATCAAGGGTGAAATCAAGAACGGGCTCTCTGAACAAGATGCCATTCAAATGACCTGGACCGCCATCATTGACAGTGTTGATCTCCTCAATGCTCGTCCAGATCAAATCGAGCAGACGGTGATGGGCTATTTGAAGGTAAGATAGGATGAAACCGATTTATGTGTTGTTCATGCTGGACACTGACTGATGTGCAAACTAGGAATGGGTTTCTGTTCTCGAAACATTCTCCAACTCACCCAAGACGGAGATCATCTTGTTGCAAAAGGTGCAACTTAGCTGCTACGAGAACGCCAAGTTAACCAAGTTCTATCGTCAAATCGTCACGCTCTTGTACAAGGAGGATGTCGTGTCTGACACCGCCATTGTTTATTGGTCAGAGAAGGGCATTAAGCCTCAAGGCAAGAATGTTTTCTTGAAGCAGATGGAGCCTTTCATCAAGTGGCTTCGTGATAATGCTGAAGATAGCGAAGAGTCTGATGAAGAGTAGATGTGTTTTTCCTTTCGTACCGTGGTTGGTTTGCTTTACAATTTTTCTCTTTTTATGATTTTGTGAATAATTAAACGATTAAAACCAAAAAAGAAGGGTGATAATACAAGTGTATGGGTTCTATTCCATGTCCATGTCGACAATGCGTTCATCGCCGTGTTCAAGCTTACGCTGCTCGTAATGGTCTCGATGGTGAAGAATGGCTTGTTTGACTTGGTCAAGGGTCAAACCGGTACTGACCGTGAAAGCAGGCATAATGACCCGCCTTGACTCGGCTGCTTCTTGCTGTCGCTTCATTTCATCTCGCCACTCGCTGTCAGCCCAACACTCTCTTTCAAACCGTTCCATCGTTCGCTTTTGTTTATACAAATCCACTGTCCAAAGTTTCTGAAGCCCAAAGCGTATCAGTGTGCCGTACAGCAAGTGTATGGTTTTCTTTTTTTTTTTTGGAAAAAAAAAAAAAAAACTTACCGCTTGTTCCTGAAGCTGACGATGGTATGCTCTTCGTCTCTCTCGTTCGGCTTCTTCTTTCGCTCTGAACATAACGAGAAAAAGGGTGGAGAGTGATAAGTATAAGGCTCACAGCAGTGGAATTAACATAGCAACTGACCTCTTGGCAGCTTCAAGTTGCTCCATCAACTTCATTTCTTCCTCTTTGCGCTCCTTCTCTTTTCGTTTGACCAGTTCCCTAGCCTCTCGCTCATTCTCCTCTCGCAACCGACGCTCTTCTTGGAATTTCTGCCACAGTGGATCCACCTTCTGACTGTCCTGCGCTGGCGATGTGTTTGCTGAGGGTGACGTCGAGTCAACCCCGGCGGATGGAGGTCCAGCGTTGTGTGATGAAACTTGGGATCCTCCATCCGCCCGCATCAAGGCCAACCACTTGTCTTCGTTCTGCAACACAATCTCCGGCTAAAAAGTGCGTCAGCAATGTATAGATACAACAATATGCTAGCTCAACCCCATCACGTACCTTCTTCTCTTGGTCTTTCTCGGGAGGAGGACTAGGACCTGATATGGTCGCACCCAATGCCAGCTTGGGACGGTTACCAGACAGTGAAGTGGATGCAAGTGAAATAGGAGGTGATTTGGATAATGCTGGTGCGTTCGCTGGTATGACGGGTTTGGGTGGTTGTGGAGCTTGTGCCGGTGGTGGAGATAGTTGTAACTAGCAACATGAAGATGGTTAGATGTCAGAGTTAAACAGCTGCTGCTGGTTTAAAGTTACATACGTCTTGTTTTACACTGGGGAATGACTTTGACGTTCGCCGTTTCTTGGGTACAAATTCTGCTATATGCCATGATTAGCCATAAGCAACAAGGTAAGGCTAAACACTGAGAACTTCGGAGCATACCTGTGTCATCATCCGAACCTTGCGTCAACCGTCGAGAAGTTGATCTCACACGTTTGGAAGGAGCAGGGGTGAAGTCTACTATCCGTATAGTCAGAGACTGAACTTCGCACGGCAACTATTGGCAAAAACATGCAAGCTAACCTTTAAATTCATCGTCGTCGTCTTCTTCTTCCTCAGCTTCCTGGATTTCTTGCTGCTCATTCAATTGCTCCTTTAACCGCCTCAATTGTTCTTCCAGCTGCTCGATGCGTTTCTCTGAATACACACAAGTGAAGTCAGATGGTCAGGTTCTCGAATGAAAGTAGAGGTATGTAACGGCCGGTGTGAGACTTACCTTTGGCTGACATGACCTTCTTTGGAGCGGGAGCAGGGACTTCGGCGGAGGAGGGAGCCTGCTTATTCCATCGCTCATTGAACACGGCTTCCAGCGCTTGACCCATCTGGTAAACTTCATTGTCGGGGGTATTGAAAATGTAGCAATTGTGGAAAATGAGTCGTACGTCTGCCTCAAACTCGGCTACATTCTTGTACTCGCCGGCATTCAATTTCTTTTCAACCGTGGAAATATCCATAGGGTGCTTGACCACGTCAAAGTAACCGACGATATTCCAAGCAACCGGATCAACAGGGAGAAGGAATGGCCAAGCAATGGCATTATGCGCTGGCTTTTTCATTTCATCTAATGCTTTTCGACATCGTTTTCGTTCATCCGACGACAACCCTGTGGATGCGTCTTTTGGCTCCTTTTTCGATACCTTGGCTGGTGCGGGGGTTTCTACTTTTTTCGGCGGGACAGGCTAAGGGAACAAAGGATGAGTGGATGTCAATGGTAAGTTTGACGATAGTCTACTACATACAGCGGGAGCCGATGGCTTTTTGTACACGGCTCGATCAAAGGCTTTCTCGACTTCAGCCGCCATCAAGGAGACGGGAGAATCAACGCCATTGAAGGTATAGCAGTTCGTAAATATGAGTCGAACGTCGGCTATGAACTGGTCCAAGCTAGAGTACTGACGAGCATTGACCTTGGTTTGAACGGTACCGAGATCCATGGGATGCTTAATAAGGTCAGGATAATGGGGTATGTTGAATTTGACAATATCTACAGGTTCAAGAAAAGGGCCGGCACTTTTGTTTTTCTTGAGGTTTTTGAGTGTGGTGGTACACCATTGCCATTGTTCTTTGGAAATGGCCGGGTTATCGATGGCGTTGTCTGGACCAGGCTGAGCATGGTGAATGCTGGAAGATGGCTGCATGGCTGACGGTTGTACAACGGGATGCTCTACAGGCATTGCGTCGATCTCAGTGAATTGTTCGCCCATAGGTTGATTATATACAGGTTGTTCGTAGGATACATTCATAGACTGAGATGATTCATGTTCTTGTGTATGATTCTGGCTGCTGCTGGGTCAAGAAAAAAAAAGGGGGGGGGAGGTTCAGACAACGTAGTGGAATCAATTGCAGCCTGGCTTCTTGCTCTACTTACACAGTCGAGTCTGTCACAAAGTTCATGATTTCACCACGCTAAAAAAAAACGAATGTCTGGCTAGTCTCGCGTCTCCCAAAATTTAATTTCCAGAAAAAAAAAAGCTCCCTCTCGGCGGTCAAAGCACCTTCTATCATCGCTAAGCCACCGTCCATGAACATCCGTTTTCAAGCTTTGACAGGCGTGGATTTTACTCTTTTCTTTTTGAGCTTCCAGATTTCTACGTCTTCATTTACAGAAAGCCGAAGAAGCTTCTTAGGAACAAGTTTGATTTCAAATCCTAGTCGTTTAGCCTCCGAGACAAAGTGGTTCACCACTAAATCATCTCGATGCTCAAGGGATACAAGAATGGTCGATAGGGGGGATGCTAATCGGTAGATGCATGTGAGGAATATCTCAATGAGATCCATGCTATATATACAGTCTGCTGCTACGATGTAAGAATATGGGGGATCAAAGTCGTTGATGCGTTCGGGGTGATTGTAAAAGTCGATCCAATCCAACGCCGTGACTCTCGCTTTGGGGTCTTGAACCTGCACACCCACGGACGCTCCCTCCGCCATCCATTGTCGAATTTCCCACTGGTTGCGACGTACGTTTTCGCCTAACACTCGGTCGATGACTTCTTGTAGATCCGTCAACACCACATCATAGCCACAAGCTGCCATAGCCAGTCCTCCCAGACCACAGCCGCTACCTAACTCTATACATTTTTTCGTTCCAAAGTCGTCGTTGACTAACCGCTTCACAGAATCCATTAAATAATACGCCAGTACTCGTGAGCTGTCCCATACGGTTGTACCGTGGTTTTGAGTATTATTTTGCTGGGTCATGGTAAGAGATAAGGTGGGAGTGAGTGGAAAGGAGAACACTGGAAGGTGTTTTATTTCTTGTGCAGAGTCTTCCATGTTGCAAGCAAAAGGGTATGAAGAAGGCAAACCTGAGTTGATTGCGAAGACCGAAAAAAAATAAGTGCTGCCCAGTGGAGATCCGTGTCACGTGAATAGACGTTAAGCTACACATGAAACACTCTTTGCCCATTGTAAAGGGTGGTTAGCAAGCATTTATTAGACAGAACGGTAATGAAATCTCATTAATTCGTGTTAGCGCTTTCGTTGGAGAGGGATCAATGTGATGTAGGTACAGCATAGGCCATATTACAGCGAGCGGCCGGCATTATGATACATAGTTGCATTTATTTCTTCTAATTATGTGGTTTCGGTAATGAAGATATGGCTAAGAAAATCTATAGAATGAAATTGTGAGGCCACTGTGATAGCACGAACAGAGCATGAAGTATCCGAGTGGGGGGCGGAGGTGTATACATGAGACAAGAGGGAAATGACAATAAGATTATAAAACTACACTACACTGAGCTCTACCAAGGAATAGTCACCTTGATTCCTTCGCGTTGACCAATGCCTTCAACGACAACCTTCTCAGCGCTCACTACGCATCCTTCTAACAAAGGAATGCCAGACCATGCGTATGACCCAATGAACCACAGACGAGCTTTGCCCTGTCGATCACCCAAAATCTTTTCACGCGGGTTGGAAGGAGAACTGCAGAACAAGTCCTTCAGTGCTTCCTTTGAGTCAAGCGTAACGGTGGCTCTTTGAAACCATGACATGGAGAGAATGGACTCAGGTTTGGGAGATGCAATTGGATTTGTAGTTTGTAGGTAAACCGTGTCGGAACCAATGTCGGTATGGGTCATGTTCAAGATATGCGTGGTCATGGTGGTATCGTATGGGTATGAAATGATGTTAGTTGTATCAGTTAGTTTGATGGACTTGTCCAAGGTGGCCAAGTTAAGGGCTCTCCATGACGAGCGATCTCGTGGTAACAAACCGGTGTCCTTGTGGTTGATGACCAGAGAGGTATCGTACTGGAATCGAGAGAGGGTGCTCATTTGATCCTCAAGTTGACAGGCAATGCGTTGAACGGTTTTGCTGTCCCCTTGATGTGCAAGCACAGTGTCTCTGTACCGTTGAATCAATTGGAGCGCTTGGTTGCCCTGCGTGGCAAATACGATGTGATCAAACACATAAGCCTGGCCAGTGGCATCGATGACGCGAATCAAAGGATCGTCTTCGCCCATAAACACCGGCTCCATGCTGACAATTTCCGTCCCCAAATGAATATTCTTGACAGGTGCGATGAGCTGCCTTACCACCGCCTCTACGCCTTGTGCCACAATATACGACTCATTAAACAGTCCCATGGCGATGTACTCTAACCGCCCAATGAAATTCAAACATTAATCACCGTTACCGGGGTTGATAGCCTCTGACAAGTCGATCGATCCCTTCCTTGGATTGTTCTTACCTAATACGTCAACAGCGGGATAGCTGAGCATGGATGCCCAAGAATTGGTGCAAACAGCGGCAAAGAGTGGGACAAACACGTGAAGGACAAAAAATGAATGGAAATAGTTGCTTTGAAACCACTGCCCCAGGGTCATGTTGGCCATGCGGTGTCGGTCATTGCTGAGATTGCCTCGGGTATGATGCCATGCCGCCAAGATGAGAAGTTGGAAATAAGAAAGTGTAACAATGGTAGAGTGATACAGCCATATTAAAAAGCCGGAGACGGAGTGCCGTGCCTTGGTGTAGCGAGACAAGGTGCCTACGGATCGACTGCCCGAGTATAACAGGTACGAGGACGTATGGGACTTTTCAGGCACATCTTGCGGCTTCAGGAGAATGGGATCATAGCCGCTGCCACTTTTGTACGGCGAATGGATGGTATACCAGCCAAAGCTGAAGTTGGCCCGCTTGACGGAAATATTGAGGTGTTTATACATTTTGGTCAGTCGATCATAATATCCTACACGGTAAAATGATGTTAAGACAAAATAGCTCGCATATCCAACATATGACGTCTCAAGTTTGATCTAACCTGACATAAACGATCGCATCGGTACCTATACACACATGAAACAGTCAGGCGTCAGGGATCAAGTCAAGGAGGGAGTGGGTCAAGCACTTACGTCGATTCGTATATTCTTTTCCTCAACGCCAGTCGACACCGAGATGGACGCAGCGTCCATGCCCAGGGAGGAGGCTTTCTCGAACAAATGAACATCGACCGATGCATTTGCCAACAGATGAGCAGCAGTTAGACCAGCTAACCCTGAGCCGATAATGGCTACCTTGGCGGCCGAGCTGGGTTGGGTCATATGGAAGGAAGGGATATGTGAAAAGTAATTGAAAAAAGCAAAATTTTATTACTGGGCTGGGTATGAAATGGGCATGTGGCGTATGGGAGACAAAACGTATGTCCGCGTCATCTGGTTGCCACTAATATACTTTTTATAGAAATCAAGCCACTGTCTATCGATCGTCTTCATCATCTTCAGGTGCTGGTGCTGGGGCAGCAGCAGGCATGGGGTTTTGAAATCGAAACTGGCGAACATACACCAACCATCCAACCAGGACACAGAGCGCCAAAATCATCAAACTTTCCACTAATTCATCTTCTTCAGAGTAATCCTCGTCGTCTATGCCATTGCCACCTTCATACAAGCTATCTTCTTCGTCAATTTCATTCTGTCGTCGATGCCGATCGTATTGCCGCGCTAAATGCTCTCCTTCATCGCCGATATCCCATTCCGGCCGATTGTCGTCCATGACCTTCCGCTGGATCTCATTGTTTTTCTTTTTGATGGCTTTGGTCCACCAAGCCGTCCAACTAGTGAACTGTTCATCTTCGGAGGAGTCGGCATCATCGCCCGATGAGAGGGGACGCCCGACATCTCGGCCAAAGAAATAATTCCAGTAGTATCGAGCATGCAGCTTGATCAATGACAACTTGACCACCAGATACGCTTCACGGTTGTAATGGAGCGAGCTATCGTACCACCGCTTGGCCAAATGGAAATCACGCACGGTGCCAATACCGTTCTCATACATCCAGCCAAGGTTCCACATGGCTAGCGATGACCGTTCCATTTCAGCTGCCACTTGATAGCATGACGCGGCCTTTTCGTAATCCACCGAAGTGCCAATACCATGATAATAGCAATCGCCCATCTTGACCCGAGCTTCGACATTGTTTTGATTGGCAGCTCTGGTCCAATAGATTAAGGCATGCTCTTGGGCTGCTTGATTGTCCATGTCGTCCGTGACATTGCGCACTCGATTGAAAAGTGATGGTTCTTGATAGATAAAGATGAATTAAAAAAAAAAATGAGTGTGGGTCATGAGGCATTCAAAAAAAGAACTTACGGTCATCCAGTAGCCATGCAACATTCGACTGCGCAAGCTCAAACCCTTTCTCAGCAGCCAGCATGTAATACAACACAGCTGAATCATAATCATCCCGCATATAGGCATGGTATGCTTCGTCAAACGTGGAGTATAACCAGTCACCGCGCTCTACCATCATCTTGTAGTACTGTAGTAGCAGGTATTAGTCAATGCCACAGCGAGATGAGAAAATGGCTCACTTACGGTAACTGCGAGGACACAAGACTGTTGATTGGATACTTCGGAAGAATAGATATTAGCAAGCATGTACATGGCTCGCAGGTTCTTCTTGTGACTGGCAGCTTTTAGCAATGCCATAGCCTCGTCTGTCATTTCGCCAGTATTGAAGTACAGAGTAGCCAAGTTGACCTGTGCTTCATCGTATTCCAATTCAGCTGCTTGTTTGAAGAGAACTCTGGCATTGACCAAATCCTATGGGAAAGTCAGGTATGAGTGCTATGCGGGCCAACCTCTTTTTTTTTTTTCACTCTGTCGCTCCACTCGTACCTGTTTTCCAAGAGCGCCGGTATAAAGCATCTCTCCTAAACTATTGGCAGAAGCAGGATCATCCAATTGCGTGCCGCGCATAAACCACATTTTGGCCTTCTCCAAGCTGGGTTGTACGCCGTCCCCTCGTCTGTACATTCTCCCCAGCATACCAGCTGCTTTTCCGGCGAGTTTGGCTTCCTGTGGCTGCAGTTCCGGTGCATTGGTATCGTCGTTGTCGGGAAAGAACTGTTTGGTCACCATGCTAAAGAATTTGAACGCCGCTTTCATGTTGCGTTGAACAATGGAAGTTCCAACGCTGGAACCTTGATAGTAAATTTGTCCCAAAACAATCTACAGGAAAATGAGCAAGTAAGGACAGATAGCAAGTGAGAGGATGAGATGGAAAATAGCTTACCTGTGCTTGAGGATCCTTCCTATTCTCAGCTTTGGTGTGATACATGTGAAGAATTTCGTCCAAGCTGACACCATCTTGTTTTTTGGAGCTGGTCATGGAACTTGCCTTGGAACCGAAAAGCCCGCCTTTATCATCCCAGATGGGTAATTTCGTCAGTCTCAACGGTGGCCCACCCGGTGGTCCTTCTCGGTAATGTTCCATAACTAGATGTAAAGAGGTTCAGTGAGTGCTACAATAGGATGGAATTCCACGAAGACTTGAATGGCTCTCTGGCTGAATGCCCGGGCGACGGTTGCCTTTCCATCCCTGCCATGCCATACGCACCTTTGTCAGCCACTTCTCGATAGTAATACAGTGCGTCTGCACAAGATTGTTCGGTTCCAATGCCCATGAGGTATCGATAGCCAAGAGTGAGACTTGCACCCACATCACCGCCAAACGATGCAAATGTATGATAGATCAATGCCTTTGCTTGGTCCCGTTCTACGGCGTTGCCAATGCCTGTAGCATACATAAAGCCCAGGTGTTGTTGGGCTGTAGCATTGCCTGTCCGCGAAGCCAGCGTGGAGTAATATTGAAAGGCTGCCGTGTAATTTCTGGGATGATTGTATTTGGCATACTAAAGATGGAAGGGGACTGAGTGGGGAGACAGTGAGAGATGGCAAAGAAAGCAAGGATGACTCACGAAATTCATATCGGCAAGCGCAAATAAAGCATCATCATGGCTATGAACTGAAGCGGCTTCTTCAAGCAAAGTCACAGCCAGCTGTAGCTTGGCGTCTACAGAGGAAGACCGAGCGAGGGCGTCGTGTCTGAAACTAGGTTCATCTTTGGGGTGGTAAGGTCGATAAGCTGAGCTAGACAATGAATAAGGAGCTCCCAAGAACTCACTGATAATTTGTAAAATGTCAGAAACAAACGGAAGTTGTGAAGACTTTCGCACGTTAGCCTCTCTTTCTCGTTGTTTCTGAGCAATGAGCTGGAGCTGATACATGGCCGAATCATACAACGCCTGTCCGCCTTGCCCTTTTAACCGCAATGGATCAGGGTCTACTGTTTCGCGCGGTTGCTAAATGAAGAGGGTTAAAAGAGGTCGGGTCTATGTATCGAGGGTTCGAGATACCGTACCTCTTGCGTGTCCTGAACCTGTTCCTGTGCATAAACCGAGAGATTGGCGAGGTTTAAAGCAACCATGGCCATGGCCAAAGCTGAAGCAGCAATGAATAAGAGAGTGCTTGATTGAAGTTAGAATAGTGAGCAATGACGTACCTGACCATGGTGAGAGCCATTTAGCAGGCTGTAAATGATGGATTCGCATTGAATGAATGACAATGGAGAGGCTGCCCAATACCGCACAGCAACGTTATTACCACACCGGGGTTTGAATTTTGGGCACAGAAGTTTTGAGACAAACTCTCCCAAATTATAAAATTGAATCAAACGCACTGCTGATCAATCAATCCATCTTGGACGCATTCCATTCATCATGGCTGCTGTCCTTTCACCATTGTATTCATCAGAATGCCGAAACTTCACTTTTGATTTTGAGGAATTCATTAAGAATGAACTAGGACTTGATTTAGATAAACCCAAGAAGAAAGAAGGTAAGCATTCGTAATGATGCTTTACCAACCTCATTATGAACAACCCTGACTAATCCCAATTCAACTCGTAGACGAAAACATTTGTAAATACTTTTTGCGAGGAACGTGTCATAAAGGTGCATCATGTCAATACAAACATACACGGGGTGACCGTGAAAAGTCCGTGGTCTGCAAGCACTGGTTGCGTGGATTATGTAAAAAGGGCGAACACTGTGAATTTTTGCACGTATTCAATATGAAGAAGATGCCAGAGTGCTGGTTTTATTCCAAGTACGGAGAGTGCTGCAACGGTGATGAGTGTCAATATCAGCATATCGACCCAGAGAGCAAAGTCAAGGAGTGCCCATGGTATGCTCGAGGTTTCTGCAAACATGGTAAGTTGAACGGAACAGTTTTTTGGTTTAATAACGCTGCCGTCCATACTAATATCATTGCCATCGATTTTAGGACCTAATTGCCGAAATAAACATGTTCGAAAGTTGATCTGCCAGAATTATCTGACGGGTTTCTGTCCGCTTGGCTTAAACTGTCCAAATGGCCATCCTCGATACGAATTACCTGTCATGCACAACGACGACCGAATGGACGACATGGCACCTGAACAACAGCAACAACCTCCGCGCGTTCCATTCACACGAGGCGACCAGGCACCGCAACAACAGCAACGCTTCAATCACAGCAACAACGCTGGACCACCTGGTGGTGGCGGTGGTAACTTTGTACGAAGACCATTAGAAGAAGTTACATGCTTCAAGTGTGGACAGCAAGGTCATTATGCCAACAAGTGCCCCAACGGACGAGCGAACGTACGATAAGGATAGCATAGCATAGTACAGAAGGCTAGTGTTCTTATGACAAATGGAATGTAAGGATGTCACTGCCTCAGAATACCTCATGGCAATAAGTTCATGCTGTACAAAGCAGACAATCAGATCAATAACAAAATGAAAATAAAGAACAAAATAAAATAAAATCCCATCAAAATGTCTGTTTGATAATGAAGGGCCTATTTGAATGAATACTGTTGTGAATTTTTGTGTAAACGTACAGGCCAAGAATGAATTTTTCTATATAAAGTGAATATAAGATGACCGTCGATGCAACAAGCATGAGAGTGTATTAATACAGTTTGAAGTAAATGAACGGCGTGAGCAATTTGTCAGAGCTTGATACCATTGAAGCGCCGCGGACAAAGCAATAACCAATGGAATTACAAAGTAGTAATGATAGCACCGTGAGAACCCTTCACAGCCTATCATTCCCTCAATCCAACAACCATAAGTAAAAAAAACTCCCCAATGGCTCAATCATCCTCCCTCCCTCTCTCATGTTCTCATATTCAATCGTATCCATTGCCTTGGCCAGCTTGTGCCTTATCAAGGCAGACGCTCATCAAGTTGCTTATCAGCAAAACTCTCAAGCTGATCCATTTGCCGTCAATAGCAAGCGTCCGGTGTTGGAAAAAGATTCGTATGTCCCCTCGTTCGCTGGTATCTCTACCTTTGCCCACCTGCCGTACGTTCAATGCTGGGAAGAGAATGTGGCTGAAGACTATGATATTGCCGTGATGGGTGTACCTTATGATATTGGCGTTACGTTCCGAACTGGAGCTCGATTTGGTCCCTCTAGCATCCGTTTGGGGTCTATGCGCACCAAGGTAAGATAGGAATGGGAAGGAGCTAGCTGATCAGATGGACGGCCATGAACTGACATGAATGACAGGGTTACAATTCTGAGATCGGAGTCAACCCTTTTAGATCTTGGGCCAAGTTGGTGGATTGCGGTGATATCCCGTTTACCCCTTTTGATAGCTTGCAGGCTATTAATCAGATCGAACAATATACCAAATATCTGTTGAACCGCCCTCTTGTTCCTGGTCAATCGGTTCCCAAGATCCCTCAATTGGTTACTCTGGGTGGCGATCACACTGTGTTGTTGCCTGTTTTGCGTGCTATGGCTGAAGCACATGGTAGACCCATCAGCGTCATCCACTTTGACTCTCATCTTGATACCTGGTAAGTTGGGCATTGGAGGCGAAAGATCTCGTTCAAACAGCTAAAGTCATCATCGATCACAGGTCTCCAGAAGCATATGGAATCAAACCACCGTCACTTTTCAACCATGGAAACCCATTGTATCATGCAGCTAGAGAGGGTCTCATTGCCAATGGAACTTCTATGCATGTTGGTATTCGGTCATCCCTTTATGAAGAAGACGATTTCGCCAAAGACGAGGCGTTAGGTTTCCGCATTATCAAGGCGAACGACATTTTCGATATTGGTGTGGATGGCATCATCGCCCGTATGAAGGAAATTCTTGGTGATAAGAACGACGCTCTTGTCTACCTCTCTATTGATATTGATGTTGTAGACCCAAGTGCTGCTCCTGGAACCGGCACCATTGAGTCTGGAGGTTTCCTGGTGCGAGAAATGCGTCGCATCATCCGCAGCTTGAGGGATTACCAACTCGTCGGCGCTGACGTCGTTGAGGTTTCCCCTCCCTATGACAACCCTGCCCAAATCACATCCATCCTGGCCGCCGACCTTATCTACGAAATTATGTCCATGATGGTTAAGCACGGGGAGGAAGCCAATTGAAGTGGCTAATGCCTTGGATCGACCCGGTTGAATGTACATAGTGCCGCGGACTCCTATTTCTTTATATTTTAGTATAGATAACGTTGGGATGTCAAACCAAACACAAACCACCCAAAGAAAAACAGAAATAATAATAAAAAACTTTCTATACAACAAATGTCTGTTCCAAATCGAAAAGGCGACTATGCATTTATTTTTGTTTGAGTTTCTTATTGTTTACAAGGTAAACAATGGGTGATGATGTTAATGATTCTGACTGAGGTTGTCCGCGGGATGGGATGATTGGGGTTTATCCATTGAAATCAGTGTACAGATCGTCTACATGGTTTTTTTTTTTCCCTTTTGCTCAGCTTCACCATGACTGACCCCCGCCCGCCCGTGACAACAAAAGAAAGACCCAACCTATAGGCACTCCAGTGCTCATCATCTGGCCATCCCACGTATACCAAACTCATCCAGTCATGCAGTCGCTGAACACCATGTCATGAAGGGTTGAAGGCTCAAGTTATAGAAAAAAAGGTCCACGACATTATCAAGGTTACTCCGAGGATCTTTTACAAAAAAATTCTCTAGAGCGGAACTTCTCCAACTCTACTACGCACAGCACTGATTTCTAAAAAAGTGGATTGGCTCCGAGCGCCTTTCATACAACGATGAGACCTTCCTTATCAGCCTATCCATCTTACCATTTTGGCTGGTGAAGAGAGATCGCTGTAGAGCCAGCCATCTCCTTATCAGGAAATTAGCCATTCTGAGGCGCACCCTTTCGCCCACCGTAAAGCAGTATCCAAAAGATATGTGGACCACGTTCTGCAAATATAAAAAAAAAATGGGATGGGGGCCTATTTCGTTCAGGGCACTAGCTACAGAATATATTACAAAATGCACTGCTATCCGAGATACGCTGGTCGTACATTGATGATAGCCGGATTGAGGTGGAATGATCTCGCAGGCAGGTGATATAATCATTTGTTCCGTCCATTGCGTTCACTGGGATAGCCCAACCCCCATCCTTTTCTATTTAGAATGAGGGAAAGTAGTACGAAATGTACAGAGTAAACAATCGGGGGGGGGGGGAGATAGAAAAGGAAGGGAAGCTGCCAGCTAAGCGGTGCAGTCGAACCGAGGAGGTGGACACGCCACTCTGGTGCCTGGACTGACGTAAAGACTATTTTTCAATTTTGGCTTCTCCCGCGCAAGTAAGCCTGTGAGAAAAACTTGAGTAGCCAGGGACGTTGTTGCAAGGTCAAATGTAGCAAGTATGGACTACGCAAGGTCATAGTGATAAACCATGCTGACTTTTGGGAATGACACCCTGCATGTTTCCATTCACCATGACCACGTTCAGTGCAAGCAGGCCGGTTTTCCTTGCCTGTATTTTAAAACAACAGTCCGGAATAATCAAGTTGCATCCGAAGTGTTCGGGCCCACGTTCAGCTATCTCTCGTGCACATGACATACTCCAGATACCAAGTTGACGGGCGCACAGATCAGCCTGCCCAGCATTGTTACACCTCTTTCCCATAAAACAACGATCATGTTGACGTCGCTAGCATCGGTGTATGACTTCCGCGATACTGTAATAAAAAAAATAAAAAAGAAAAAAATGTCTTGCTGGAAATTCTCCATGTACCCATAATTTTCCCTCGTATTCCAATTTCAACCAACCTTACTCTGAACAAGTTGTTTGATCGGTGTATTCCGGCATTATGCGGTTGAGGAAGCGGAGACATGTTCTCAAAATAAAATGGGCTTTCGTTCTCCATTTCCGTCCGAGACCTATTTTGACCCACACAACACAAAACCGACGTTATTGTTACTCAACTTGCTTAAATTACACGCGCCTTTATATATAAAAATAATCCCTACGCCCACCCTTTATATCACTTTTCTTTTGGTCAGTCCACCTTCTTCTTTTACTTCTTCCATGGCCGCCTTTCCAAATATCTTGGAAACTGCGAGCATAGCAGCCCTTCATCATCTCGTCAAATCATGTATTACTCCAGACATGCTCGGTATGTATTTTCCAGTGACTGCGCCAGCCATGTACGTCTTTGTTGAAAACTGAACTTTACCTCATTTTACTTAGCTCTCGTCACTACCCATGCCGCCACCGTCATCGATTGCCAACCACAACCCTTTGTAGCAGCAAAGAAATCCATCGTTCATGAGACTGCACCTACGTCAAAAATACAACGTACCAAACTCAGCCCTGAGCAACTCCTCCCTTCACCCCCCGCTACACCGTCGGTCAATGATTATCAGACATCCACAGCGGCCACCACCAGCTCCTATCAAATAGACATACCGCCATTGGAAGAATTCATTCGCTATGTTGTCAAGCGATCGAATGTGCAAACCGGCACGCTGCTGGCTTCGTTGGTGTATACAGCTCGTTTACAACGGAAATTGGTGGCCGTTGCTAAAGGCTTAGCGTGCACGTGCCATCGTATTTTCTTGGCAACGTTAATTGTCACCTCCAAGTATTTGAACGATACTTCACCTAAGAACAAGCACTGGGCACGCTATGCCGTTATCTTTTCTGTGCCTGAGATTAATCTGATGGAAAAACAACTCTTGTTGCTTTTGGTAAGTACTAGAACATTGGTTCGTGAGAAAAAAGGTGATACGGGTGTGAAAAAAAATGCGCAGGAGTTCAACTCACTCACCCACCTATTTTTTTTCACAGGAGTACAACTTGAGAATCTCTCAGGATGAATTATTACAAGCTGTCTCCGAACTCCTTCCTTTGCCTTCACCCAAGGCCGTCCATTTGAGAGAAGACGATGACGAGCTGACAGATTATATTCAACATTATATGGTGGATCATAGTCCGCCCCTTTCGGAATATACGGTTTCGCATAGCAATCGATTGAGAAACAAGCGCCAAATGCTCCATGACAGTGCATATAGCTCTGATAATTATTCGCCCATCTCTTCACATAGAAACAGCTATCCAATCACGTTACACTCCATGGGCGACCAACTAGAACATGGCCATCAACGATAAAGCACCCCCCCCCATTATATATTAATATGCCATCGCTTAATTTTTTTCCCTCCTCCAACCAATTGTACATAATCAGCTCATGTTTTCTTTCTTGTATTGTTGCATTTTCTAAACCGCTCAGGCAATTTCATCTATTACATGCTCTCTGTGTTTCATTTTACTAGTAAGGTGACCTTAGCTGGTGGGTTGTACATGCGCGCCAGTCCGCGCCATTGTTTCATGCGGTTCGCCCGATCGTATAATCTGGGGTGGGAAGAGAGGCGTCACCTCAAACAGGTGGTGAAACTCGAGATACACCTAGGGTAGCCTAACGGTAAAACAAGTTTAATCTCCAGCCGGTGATATCAGTCGGCTAGATGTCCAGCCCTCTTCGCTCTGGATATCCATTCAATGGAATCCAAGGAATAGCGTCCAAAAAAAAACCGTGTCATGGTAAAAATAAAAGCCCCTTCACCAATATAATAAATAACAGCGTCTTTGTTTTTTATACATATGATTTGAAAAGAAAAAACGGTCTTATGGCACAAAGCGGTGGGAGGATGTTACATACAAAACGACTATACATAAAAGAGAAAAAAGGTACAAGAATAGTAGCATAGGTCAGGTTAGGGTAGAGCAGGTGAGGTTAGGGCAGGCATGGCTTATTACACAAAATGGGTGACAGTGACGAAATTTCAATTGGGGGGTGGGGGGTATATGCAAGCACAGGGTAATGGTATCGATTGGGATGACTCTACCAAGTCAAATAGTCATTGGTCCATTGAGCCTCTTCTTCTTGTGAGTAGAGGGAGGACGATTGGGTTAACAACAGATTCTCTTCGAATTCACCTCCTTGGTCAGGGGAAAAGAAGGACCCTCCAGGTGAGGAAGCAGGTTCGTCTAAAAATGACGACAGTGTGGTCGGAGAATCACAATCCGCTAGATAGCTCAAGTCTGGATCGGCTAAGATCAAGTCGTGGGAGGGCAGCATAAGGTAAGGTAATGAGGCATCGACCAAGCCAGAGGTTAGCTTCTTGTGTGCATCGTCCAACAGTTTTTCAGGGACAAACTCGTTCCCCACGTCGACACCACTATCACAATCAGAATCATGGTCTTCGTGTTTGTGAGCACGACGTCGTTTTCGGAGAACCGATTTGGTGGTACCTGTGAAGGGTTTTTTCTGCACACGACTCATTGACGATCTTGGTCTATATGCGTCATTCACCATTGGGGCCATACGGAATATAGTAATCATGGAGGAGGAGTTGGCCGCCGATGATGTCGTGCTGGACGTTCGCACGTGAGCGGTAGGTGGTAACGACACGGGCTCGGAACTGGTCAACGACGTGGTAATAGAATGCGTTGGCTTTGAGCATTTCTCAAAATCTTGAGGTCCCATTATTAACAGGTTTTCACAATGATGATTTTGTTGGTGGTTGGCAGGGTGTTTGATATTATTAGAGAGGGTACGTTTTCCCACATTGACGGTCTGTTTGCGTAATGGGCCACCGGGTCTGGTTAAGGAATCGATGAAACCATGTTCATGACCAGCTTGAAGAGTCCAATAGCTGCCCTTTCCTGGTCTAGCATCAGACGGTTTACGATCCAGTTTAATAAACGACTTGTTCAATGACAGATTGTGACGAATGGAGTTCTGTGGGTTAGGATAGCAGTTAATGGATCATGGCTCACTTCATTTCGGAGTATCAAACATCATTGCATGGTCCAAAAAAATAAAAAATAAAAAAAAGTCTCACCTGCCAGCCATTGTCGCCAAGGACATAGTAGGGGAAGTGGCCCGAGATAGTCATGTAGATATCACTCAGGGGCAGCTTACGATCAGGACTGGTCAAGATGGCATAAGCAATCAGTGTAGCATAGGAGTACGGCGGCTTCTCATCATGGCTGGCTGGCTTCCAGGAGGGAATAATCTTGGAGGGAAGGCTGGTCTTTTCTTTGACCACCAGCACCGAGTCCGATAACGAACGATGAGGGAACTTCTTTACCAAAGGCTGCGGCGGCGACGAAGGTGTGGCGCGGTTCTTCTTGTGATGATGGTGTGCAAGGATGGAGTTTGAAATTAGGTCAGGTACGACCTCCTCCCGGCTATCATGGTCTTGAGACTGTCTCAAATAGCATACTGATTCAGCATCATTGCTGGTATTATAGATACTTCCATTATCGCTAGGACAATAGTGCGTTGGGATATCTGAGAGTTGGAACGAGAACTCTGCGATGGAATTACGACGTTTCGTCATGAGGAAAGTAGAAAGAGGAGAAGAAAAGCTGAGACGACGTATTTTTTTGGAGAAAGCACGGGCTTTTATAAGCGATTGGGTTGCAGAGGAGGGGGGGAGTGGAAAAAGGCAGTCAGTCCTAGCGAGAGGCGTACGTTTGGAGTAACGTAAATAAAAAGTCATCCCAGTAAGCGATGGATCGTCCGTCTCCCCCCCCCGAATTCCCGAGCAGCACTTTGTTCCACTTTTGCACGATAGAAGTGGTTTTCATTTTATTGGCTGGCTTCTATTAAAAAATGCAGGGCAATGAGAAGCAGAGGGGTTCGGATGTCCTCGCGTCCACAGAGCGAAAGAGAGAAACGACAGAAGCGGCGGGGTGGATGGGTTCTTCGGTCCCATAATAGGTACCGTTGTACCCAAAGCGGGAGGCCCCCAAATAGGAGATTGGATATCTCCACCCACCACCAGCATCGCAAGTTTTGAAGGGAAGTCGTGTCCATGAATCCATGCCACGGAAGCATACGTGGTGCATCCATGTCCATCGACCTCGGCCCACTTTTCTTGAAGGGCCGTAGTGCAAGAAGACATGCCAAGACGGAGTGCTTCCGCTGCTTCCGAAACCCGTGGCATTTTCTTTTGGGTGTGCCACGCTTTTTCCCTCCAAAAAATGGCGGGCAAGGTTTCATTTTCACGCTTGAGCCTCGCGTCGTCGATGCTGGCCCAATGTTTCAAATCATACTAAAGCAATGGAAGATGCTTACTCTCTACTCAACACTGTCAAAAAATCTCTCCTTCCCCCCAATATCGTTCTTTTCTCTACAAGACTGTCGGTTTTTTTTTTTCTTCACGTTGGTAAACACAGATCATCCCCTGTGTGCAATGCAAGGGGCCAGATCTGCCGTTCGTTCTAAGCTGCTTGACTAAGGTTGCACATAATCGCTGTTCGACGGCGATCCTGATGTGCCCCAGTGAAAATATAGTAATGAATCACATTCTATGTGTGACCATCGGTCATCATGAAGCAAGAACGGTGGATAGAGATAAAACGCTATGGGAACATGATAACATAGCAATTTTTTTTTAAGGTGCATGACTAAAAACAGCAATGGATGGCTCTAGCGCAAGCGTCACTCGATTTCATCATCCTTGGCTTGTCAGCTGGTTACCATCGATACACTTAAAAAGCCGGAAGAACGGAGGAGTACTCCGCGTCCATTTGGTGAGACGGACAAGACCAACCATCTTGTGCATGCCAGCATGCTGTTACAGCAACGCTGTACTGGCTGATCAGCACACGATCGATCCGCTTCCAATTTCATCGTTTTACTGAAGACAAGTCAGACTTCTTGGTGGATTTCATTGAAGGGATTCCCACCTTGTATGCATGTCAGCCGGGTCATTTGCTACTTACAGCGGTTGGGGTCTGCGCGCATGAGCTAAACTTATCCGAGAGTTAGTAAGGTCCAGCTCATGTGCGGTCCCGGTACAACTGGTGCGGTGGATTTGTACAACCTCGGACCAAGAGGCTGAGCTCATCCCACTACATCGAAAAGCCGATGGCTTGCAAGCCACTGCAACGAAGTTCGATTGTAACGTACTTTTTTTTTAATCATGCTATGCTTCATTTCTATTGGTATCACGAGAACTTGCTCTGTCATACAGCCAGCTGTTCTATCTACTACTTCTTTGCCTTTCCAGTTTGCGCAGCTCGCTGCTTCTTGTTAGATCCGTTCTCAGCTGGCTGGTTCTTCTCCCATCTTTTTCGCTTCAATGCCTTGCGACGCTCTTTTTCTTTCTGTAGACACATAGCTTGGTAAATACCATACACTGAGAAAGGCAATATTCCGACCCATGGACTACTTACTAATCGTTTTTCTTCTTTCTTTTCTTCTTTACGCTTGGCCATCTCTTCCTTCTTCTTAGCCTTCTTGGCTCCAGCTGGTTTGGCCGGTTCAACTTCTTCCACACCTTGTTTTTGGAGATACCGTAATCTTCTGTTATGTTCCTAGACATCAAACTAGGGTTAGATTCGGATGGTGTCTATTTTTCCATACACCGCCGTACGACATTACCTTTCCTTGTAAATGGACTTCAACAGCCTTTTCATTCTTTAGTATTCGGTGAGGGCAGATTTTGCAGGAATAGATCATGTCGCCTTCATCCTCTTCTTCGGCGGCTGACCCTTCTGCATCTTCTTCGGCGTCTCCTTCTTCTTCCGCAGAATCTTGACCCTCTTCATCGCCGTCCTCTTCTTCGTCGTTCTCACTGCCTTCGTCTTCCAAGTCTTCCAGGTCATCCAAATCAGCAAGACCTTCTTCCTCAATCAACTTCTTAAGAGCTTCTTCGTCGTCCAAATCAAGGTCATCTTCACCTGACTCCTCTGCCTTTTGTCGAATAAGTTCCTTCAGGTCAACGCTGTCTTCAATATCGTCGTCTTCGTCGACGTCAGAGTCAAGACCACCAACATTGTCCAGATCATCGTCCATGTCTGAATCGGACGAAGCACCAAGATACTGCTCCTCGTCATCACTCGCAGCAAACTCTTCAGTTGCGATGGTCTGCTTGGCTAATTCCTTCTTTGCACGTTTGAACATGGTTCAGTCAAGCTGTTAGAGGACTGCTTTTTTCTCTAAACCAGTTGCCATTGAAAAAAAAAAAGTTTGCAGCCAGTCATTTGAGGTGGAAAATTCTAGCTTTGTTTTATGCTGACGCAGCTCATCATATGACCTCTCGTGGCTTATATGAAGACCAGTTGGCTGCGAGAGGTCTCAGCTTGCTCAAGACATTTCTTTGTCATCTCCCTTTCGAGATTCACCCATTGGCTTGGCCATCCATATATCTCTTTGATCAGACTCTGTCGTTCATTGCCCTACCTTTCTTTCTGTACTTATAAACACCCTTTCACCATGGCACCTGGAATTCCCTTCCCACTGAGAGATCCTCAGCCAAAGGATGCCACCGCGCAACCACCACAGCCAATGCCCAACTTGAACGTCAAAGTCATTTGTCCTGATTGCAGAAAGATTCCACCTAATATCGTTGAAGAATTCGCTTCTGGTGATCTGGTATGTGGCGATTGTGGACTTGTGCTCGGTGATCGCATCATTGACACACGATCCGAGTGGCGTACTTTTGCAAATGACGATGGCGATGTATGTTTGTGAATCTTTTCTGCTGTGTTGATGGATGGGGGGTTATTTTCTGCTGTGATGGGTGGTCCCAGTGTGTGTTCATTGTGATGTGAGAACCTATCACTAACCTGAAAGTCTCTTTTGATTTCATCATCTTGTCTTTTATTTTTTTCAAAATTCACCTATGTACATCTATAGGACCCT